AGCTTTTTCATCCAGAAGAAGGTAGTGGACCACCTCAGGATCATACCGCAGAGGAAAGTAGCGGTAGGGAGGTCCCTTCGGACATTGCCCATCCAGAATGCCCAGCCAGTTAAGACATACACCCACGTAGGTCAAAGCGCCTGCAGGAAAAACGGCAGACAGGCAAGTGGCCGAGCGCAGTTACTTAAGTGTATGATACCCCATTGACTGATAGTGTAGTAAAATTTGTATTCGATAATGTATCACGTGTCGACGGATAATGTAACTACAAAATAACTGCATCCGATAATGTATCACCACGGAACAGATACTGTATCAACCGATAATGTATCAAAAATCAACCGATAACGTATAAGGTGTACACAAATGTCTGTTTTATGTCCGATTATCCCGCCCCACGTTTCGACCAGGGAGGGGGGTCTGGGCTAGTTGATCACCATCACCCCCATTATTTTGTATTTAGAAAAAAAGGCAGATTTTGAGGTATTTTTCAAACTTTCCAACCGCCGAAATGTATTAAAAAGTACTGAGAAAGGGAGAAAAAATACAAATAGCTTGAAATGCGCTGGGACGTCTGTATCATGAACAGCGCCCCCAGTGTCATGTGGTCTCCAGCAAGGCCCCCCCCCCCTGTTTGTCAGGACTTTTTGTTTTAGCTACCCCCATCCCCAAGTCCCCAGCACAGATTGACGCTACTGTTGCAGGGGCGGATCCAGGAATTTTCGCGGGGAGGGGTGGGGGGGGGGGTTCATCAGCAAAACAATCTGAAAATGTACACAGGATTTTTTTCCGGACACTTGGCCTCCGTAAAATAAAAAACTTGGGGAAGGGGGTATCATATTTCAATAGGGGACGCTGTTCAAATTTGACAATTATTAACACTGGATTACAGAATGGTGTAAAAATACCCCCTATCTAAGCTGCCTCCGTCCGTATTTTGAACAGGCGGACATTATACCAGTATTTTTTTTTTGGGGGGGGGTGTCACAGCAGAGGGGGGGGGGTGCATTATTTTTTAGGAATTTGTATGCAATTTGTTTTGGGACACAGCTGGGGGACCCCCCCCCCCTCTGGATCCGCGCCTGTGTTGGCCTAAGGAAGCGGCAGGCTCGTGACGTTTGGACTCCAAACTGTGTGGGTTGAACAAACTGGTCAGTGGGTAAATAACAAATGACGTCACATGCGAACGGTACCCCTCCCCCCCCCCTAAAAAAAGCCGGGGCATTATTTTGTATGGTACAGTAATATTGTGTACATGATTCCCGTTGAAAATATGGCACGACCCCCCCCCCTCATCGACCCCCTCTCCTCATCCCCCCTCCCCCCCATCCCCCCACTAAATGAGCAGTAATGCTGTGATTGTGCCCTTTTCAAATCTGTAAGAAAAAAATTCGACTGGGGTCGACAAGGGACCCATGAAGCTTGATCGCATCTTCGACGATTGCCGCCTAAATCCGGCAAACTTGTTACATTGTATCTTTTGTGACAGCTAAAGTTACAAGATCATTTCAGATGGTAGTTTTGCTGTACACATGCCTCGCCACTCGTATGTGTTCCCGGTTCATGCACAGCGCGTATTTTGAATGTGCAAAGTTATTGGGGGAGGGAATAGTCTGGGAGACCATCGCAAGTTAAATTGAACGTATGCGCGCGCCGACGTTGCCTGACGCTCATGCGAAGACGCTGTTGCTAATAGTAATAGCCACATTCTGGCACATTCTGGAAGTGGTGTGAAACTTTGCGCGCGAACCAGTACAGTACAGTACGCACATGCTGTATCCCGTCCATTGATCTCCATACGGAGATAACTGGGCCCGTAGTGGTAAAACGCGCCCTCTTGTGTCGCAGCACGGAGCCCATATGGAGGCCAAGTGTCCAGAGAAAAAACTTGTCCACATTTCGGTGCGGATGTGCGAGTGCGGTTACCGCCCCCCCCCCCCCCGACATCAAAAGCTGGATACGCCACTAGCTTAGGCCCACGTGGAAGTAGAGCGTCTCCAAACCAGACCATGCAACTCCCTACCTCCCGAATTAAAAAAAATATTCTTAATGATAAACTTTCTCGAGTGGGGACTTATCATAGTAAAGACACTTATTAGACTTTAATTAATTTGCAATATTTCCACCTTTTCCCAATACTGATACATTATCGGTTGATTTTTGATACATTATCGGTTGATACAGTATCCGTTCCGTGGTGATACATTATCGGATACAGTTATTTTGTAGTTACATTATCCGTCGACACGTGATACATTATCGGATAAAAATTTTACTACACTATCAGTCAATTTTTGGTACATTATCGGTTAGTGATACAATATCGGTCAATTTGTGATACATTATCGGTTGGTGATACGTTATCGGTTGGTTACTACATTATCAGTTGTAACACAGGCTGTCCCGATCTGGTCAGGTCGCACTCACAATGTTCAATCATAGATTGAGACGTTTTAACTCGCTCTTACCTCGCAGGATGCGCGCGTACCCAAGAGTGCACGTGAATCAGCAAAGACGAGTAAACTATCCTCGATACCTAGTGGATGGTTGCCATCTGACCTTTGATGGCATGCACAAATACCGTAGAAGCATTAAGGAGGTAGCTCTTCGTTACCGACGTAGGTAGATGTAAAATCTAAGCTTATTGGTTGTATTCTTGGCTCAAAGGACCCACGGGTGATGTAAAAGAAAAAAATTGTGCCTTTATTGCTAGATAGCCCAAAGTCTCTTATGCCTGATGTTGTGGTGGTAACAGTAATAACATTCAAAGTTTTGGATCAGTATTGTCCTGATTTTGTCTATTTTAAAGGATTTCCATTTGTAATCCAAATCTGGACATTCTGCAGTAAAAAAAAGTCTCTTAGCACATAAAGATTATGTAGAACAAAAGAAATTGATATTTTAGGCATTGTTTAATATAAATGCTGACCATTGACATAACATTGTATGTTGATCTGAAATCATCAATCTCTTTTTGCAAATTGTTTTGTGGACTATTTCATTTTCCACAACTCGTCTCTAGTTTTAAATGATTTATTCTCATTCTTGTGAGTAAACCTGTTTATGCTGTATAATAACACATTCAGTATCTGCAGCTCTGATTCACTATGAAGTAATAACAAAGCTCGGCTGTGTGGACGGTGAGTTGTTGCTTCCATTTTGAGGGTTAAACCTCAAGTATCCAAATTCCACATTGTTTGGTAAGGCTATTGTCTTACACGTTTAAAGGAACCTAATCAGTGTAAAAAAAATACTATTAAATCATTTTCATAAAGGTAAGAAGTTTTATAACTGCTAATTTGCTAGTTTTACCATTTGATGTTCTGACAAGTTCACTTTCATTGTGCATGTACCATGCCAGGTATTGATTCTCTCAATAGTGTTCCGCAACCACTTTTATTGTGTACAAATGTATTAAAGAAGGAATAATGTTGATAAATGGGTGAATAATTTGGACATCTTTGAAATTGTAATTGAAAGTTTGATATTTTATTAATGGAACCACTCGTGGTCGAGGGTTCTTAAGCAGGGAACTTATAGGGATCATGAATATTGATAAGCGTCTTCTGACGCTCCGCCCACTTTTCTATCTCTCTCTCTCTCTCGTCTTAATGCGTTCTTGTGAGCTGCCCTTTTGAATTTATGCCGAAAACACCTCATTTTACAAGCACCAGGAATCGAGCCAGACAACCCACACATACCAGGCTAACAATAATCAACTACTGGGTATGTTCATATTCATTTTTATGTTATGTCATTCTTATTATTGACACAAGTGGGAATTTTCTGATGGTCTTGTCCGTGGACAAAGTCTAAAAACTTTCTCCACGTGATACGTTTCTCTGTGCACTGTACACGTAGCGCCACAGGGCATGTACGTGAAAGTTGCATACGTACTGCATTGCACTGTTTCGATTTGCATGACCCTTGACCACAGCTTATCACTGTGGCGCGCGTACATATGATTCTCGCGGTACATGTATATCTTAGGGGCTCACAAAACAATAACAATAATCATTTGGGTGCTTTTTCAGATGTAATCTGTGGGTTATTTAATATCATATCATCCCCTTATATGTCATTAATATTGTATAATTTTAACATTGTATTACAGAAGCTCTGTAGCCTCCCGCACCTGAGGTTTGCATTAATAACTGCACATAGACGAGGTGCTGGGAAAGTTTTATAGCTCCGTGGCTTATCGCAGAGTGAGACTACATGTCACTGTATACGCATTCATGTTGATATAATAACTTTATTGTCAAGTGAATTCAAAACATTGTGTTTATTGTAATCACATGTATTTACAATTGTAAACACTATCATTTTCATTTAGGTTTTTAATTTGCTGGGTTTTTAATTTGCTGGGATTAATTTACTGGAACTAATTCGCCAGGATTATCTTGCTGGGATTATTTACTGGAACTGGAATAAAAGCTCAGTGAACATCAACATTTTGTACAGTCTTCCTTACCGAGGCATCAAACCTCAAACCACGTGGGCTGACTGCTCGCGTAAAACCCGAACCGACGCACACGCGTCGCTTCACTTTATTATTAATTCATATGTTTTCATGTAAAAATTAGCTGATGACGTCATAATGACGTCATACCTGCCCTTTCCATCATCCAATTTTTTGCGTCCGTCTTTTTTTCGAAAAGGTATACCATGGAGATGCTTTGGTGAAAAAATGGTGCTTTTGTCCACTGTGTAACGATCCTTAACATTATTGTTACTAATGTACCTCACTACTGGTAGTGCTGTGCATGCCTACCGGTACATGAGGATTGTGAACTTTCATCCAGTAACCCTCCATGATTTCATAGGAGTCCAAATTTCATGTGACACAGGAAAAGTATTTAAGACCAGCCAGCCGGTCTTTATCAGCCAATAAACACAGTTTGAGGAGAGTCAGTTTCAATTTCAAATTCAATTTATAGCGGCACACCAATATTGGTGCATTTTTGTGCATAAAGTTGCTCTTTTTGGTTAAAGGAGAAAAGATGGAGCAGTTGTACCTCTCGGAGAAAGGAAACGATGATTCGGTAGATGGTACACAGCAAAAACCGCTCGATACACTTCTTAAGGTAAGGATCACTTAAAGACAATCTAGCAGGATTTCCACCGCTAAGGAAAAAAGAAACCTGGAAAAGTCATGGTATTTCATTTTCAATTTCCAGGCCAGGAAAAGTCATGGAATTTGAAAAAGAGTCATGGCATTTTGTGAGGACCAATTTATTTTAAGTTGTAAACTTGGTATAATGAAACGCTGTGGTCCAATGGTTAAGGTGTTGTGGTACATGGGTTCGAATCCTGACAGGGAACATACCGGTAGTGCTTGTGTTCTTGGGCAAGACACTTTACTATGATTGCCTCTCTCCACCCTGGAGTATAAATGGGTACCTGTGAAGGTAGAGACCAAATTGCGCTGATCTCGAGCTGCTACAGGGTCTCATTCCTGATGAACAGGGATAATAATTGTGACGCGCATTTGATCATATTCCTATGGAATTTGCACAATATAAATGTATAAATTATTATTCATAATTTAGTATCGAAAATCTGATTTCTACACGTATATCCGACAAATTGCAACAAATTTCACTGATACAAGCATTTTGATATCGACAGCCATTGTTTCATTGTTTTTCAGTTTTCATGGAACAAATTCTACAGTTTTGATCTGCATTTTGATGAACTAGGTCAAGGTTTTCATAATTTAGTCATGAAATAGTAAAGGAATTATATTGTCCTTAAGGTATAGGAACCCTGACACACATGTTTAATGATCAATTCATTTGTCTTGCACAATTTCAAGCTTTTCCAGCGAGATCAGAAGAAGAAAGATGAGAAGGAAAAGAGAGAGGTAATGACTTACATGTATTAACCCTAACCATCCCAATCCTCCTAAATCCTTTTTGCAAATTGGAGGAATCTGCAGGATTGAGGTTACATGGCAAAGTGCGTTGCTGATTTCGAAGGACGCACTGTGTCAAGGTCTTGGGCCGGACCTTGTGTTGTTTATGCTCAGCTTAGCATAAATTTAGTCCTTGATTATACTTGAAGTCCTCCGCACTGCTCCAGGATGTCACTGGCTCTGCCTCAGCCTATTGACAGACATAGCTGGAGAATTTTGCAGGATTCAGGCAGTGGTCACCTCTCCACGGACCATATTCAAGAAATAATGGAGGAATTTGCAGGATTGGGGCTATATGCTATTTTTCCAGGAGGCCAATTGGAGGATTTTGCAGGATTGAGGCTACATCCTAGCAAAAAGGCCTAGGGAGTTAATTTTAGTTGGATGCATTCGAACCCGTCACCCTCAGGAATGATGTATTACAATACCTGATACATATTCACGATCGAAAGCCGAATTCTAACTGGTCCATTCACCGTCACGTGCCAGATGCTATTTTTGAGATGCGAGTATTCACGCACAGGGTTAATATGCATGCGTAGTAGATTGTCTTTACCCGTGCGACAGTCTACTACGCATGCGCTTTACAAAGCAATCGTGGAACTGTCGCATGGGTGGAGTACGCACATGCGAACATTGCCCTAGCTACACATGAAAAGATAGTTGCACACGTGTTTTCCCGAGCTCAGTGATGCCAATCTGGAGAATATTGTGGACAACAAAGATGCCTCCTGTACCCAAAAAAAGTTGTCCACAAAAAACTGCATTTACAACGAGACGACGGCTGATTTCCGTTAGTAATTCTGCATTTTCATTGGTCAATTCACAATGGGTAATGCATTATGCATGTCTACCAAATCGGTAGACAGATGTAAAGAAAATCATAAGCGTTCTCCACGAGATGGTAAAGGCCTAGAAAAACCACACGGTGCCTTTTTCAACACACCTGTGATTTTTAAATCAGAAGGACTGCAACTTAAAAGTGTATGTATAAAACAAATAATATCAATGCTAAAAATCCCCTCTTATGGTGCGTACTGCGCGATGTGACACAGAACGCTGCGGTGCCGGTGTAGTGTGAATTTAGGACTCTATAAAATATGGACTCATTGGTAGTAATGCACATGCAACCAATAAAAGGGCAAAAGGGACCGGATTTTATAGGAGTCCAAAGTTCAAGTGACACTGGGAAAGTGTTTAAGACCTGCCAACCGGTCTTTATCATCCGTTTAAGACCAGCCACGTGACTGGCTCTCGACCAATAGGAATGGGTAAAAAGCTGTCCTAGGTATTTATGAATGCAGTTTCGTTACAAACAGTGTTTGGATTTGTTGATGAGAAATGCTGTCCAAAGTTTAAGGCATAATCCAGCAATTACTTTCACTTCCCTTGACTGCATTTTTCTTTTGTCAATGCAAGTCCCTCGTCCGACAATGTGCAAACAAAAGGAGTCGGCCTTGCACAAGCGATCAGACCTCTAGTGCTGCGTCCTGCGAGAGTACATCCGGAACGGCTCCCGTGAAGATAAAGTGAAGGGGGCTCGCCTGAAACAAAGATGGACATCATCACGGCAGTGGACTCTGGATACAAAAAGGCCGATGTGGGGCGAGAGTACTGTGGCGTCCGTGCCGGTCGGCCGCCAGAGGGCACCGGCGCGGTTCCACGGTGGAGCCGCGCAGAGGAGCCCCTGGTGGCCGGCCGGGGAGGCCCGTTCTTCCGGGCGGCGCATGCCCAGTAGTATTGTTATTGCCTCGTTGCTGAAGAGAATAGTTGTGTTTTGCGGTGTACGTTTTTGTGAGGAATAAACAGCCTAGAACCAGCAGAAACGAGTATACCTGTGTTGGAGTCCTTTTTGAGTGCGTGTGAGGAACCCCAGAATTGTTCTACGCTACATTGGTGGCAGCGGCGGCACGCAGAAGGCGGAAAAACAGGTGAATTTTTCAGATATTTTCTGCAATGAATTCAGGACATCACGGAAGTCTGGCACCTAACTCGCCACACGGCGAGAAGGCAGGCTGGAGTGCGGGCTCACGGAGTGGGGGCCCGTCTAGTGGATCGGCCGGCAGTACCTTCGTCACGATAGACGAGTTGGAATCCGTTTTGCGGGATAGTCCGGGGAATTTTGGTGGGAGGAAAGGGGAAACAAGGGGGTTTCTGGGGACGGATTTTCTCATGAGGGAGGATGTGGGGATGGTAAAGTGGAATTTCGGGACTTGGGAGGGGGGTTAAGTTATTACAGTACGTCTACCCCTGCGGGGGGCGGGTGTGCTCATTACCATAAATCATCAATGACTGGTAGCCAGTCCCATGAGGGGCCGCCCCGTGCTGTAGACGGCAGCGCAGCAGACGGTTCGATCCAATGGGAACGATCCCGAATTGTGCTCGTCGATGCAGCGGGGGTGGAGCTTCGTCGGGATATACCCCATATATTCTGTAACAACACAGTATAAGCCAGGTCCCACGAGGGGCCGCCCCATGCTGTAGACGATGGCGCAACAGACGTTTCATTCCATTTGGAACAATCCCGATTTGTGCTGTCCGATGCAGCGGGGGCGGGGCTTCGTCGGGACATGCCCCAGTTTGTTGGTAATAAAGCCGCATACGCCGGGTCCCGCCAGGGGCCGCCCCGTGCTGTAGACGCTGGCGCAGTAGACGTTTTGTTCCATTCGGAACGATCCCGAGCTGTGCTGGTTGATTTGATGCAGCGGGGGCGGGGTTTCGTCCTGGGGCAACCCACAATCCCTACGCTCATGAAAATAGTGTTAGGCCCTACATGGAAGCGCCACTCGGTGCTTACATGGATACGACTGGTGTGGCCTCCCATTCGGGGCGCCCCCAGGCTGGATTTGCCCATATAGCGGGGGCGGGAAACCGTCCGAGCACGCATCAGGCGGCACAACCGGGCGCGGATCTCCCCAAGCAGTACCTTCGTCCCCACTATCGCAGTACGGCGAGTCCTGACATTCACTCGGAGCTGGCCCGCACTGCACGACTCTATGGGACAGAGCCGGTGGACTTGCTCCGCACGGGTGTCTATGAGGCAGAGCCGACAGAGTTGCTCCGCACGGGAGTTTATGGGGCGGAGCCGACAGAGTTGCTCCGCACACGAGTCAATGGAGTTGCTTTGCACGGACCTCTATGGCGCGGAGCCAGCAAGGCTGCTCCGCACGGGAGTCAGTGGGGCAGAGCTGCTCCGCACACATGTCAATGGTGCGGAGCCGACGAGGTTGCTCCACGCGGGAGTTTATGGGGCGGAGCCGACAGAGTTGCTCCGCACACGAGTCAATGGAGTGGAACCCGTGGAGTTGCTCAGCACACAAGTCAATGGGGCGGAGCCAACAGAGTTGCTCCGCACGGACGTCTATGAGGCGGAACCAGCAGGATTGCTCCGCACAGACGTCTGTGTGGTGGAGCCGGCAAGGTTGCTCCGCACGGAAGTCAATGGGGCAGAGTTGCTCCGCACACATGCCAATGGGGCGGAGCCGGCACGGTTGCTCTGCACACAAACCAACGGAGCAGAACCGACCCGGCTGCTCGGCCATAAACCACTGCAGTTGGGAGATCCCCTGGGACGTCACCACTCGGTGCTCCCAGGGGGGCCGACCCGGTTTCTGCCGATGTTTGGGCGGCCCCTAAACAGGCGGGGGGGGGGGGGGGGCGCACTCCCCAAGTGCCAGTCAAGCGGGGGACTACAATGCCTGATCACTTCGGGCCGGGGGGTTGGAGACCACTGATGCTCCCCAACAAGTTTGACGGGATCTCGTCATGGACGGATTACTTGATCCATTTTGAGAGCGTTGCAGCAGTCAATCAGTGGGGTGAGGCTGAGAGGGCGATGTTCCTTGCATCTCACCTAAAGGGCACGGCTCAGGAGGCATTGGCGGATATGGTACCGGAAATGCGGAACATGATAATACCAGCTGGTCACTAGGCGATCCTCACGGGGGAGATAAAGACTGAACCACGGGTGGGAGTCGGGATGGTTTACCCCAGCTTGGAGGCTACGGACAATTGCCGACCCTGTAACGGTCTACAAAGGCAGCCGCTTGGCTCTCTTCTCACCGATGGAGGGTCTGGATGTGATCGAGCTGGAGGACGGGCAACAAGGATCTGCCATCAACCACCTCCCTTTGGGTGACACCGGACAGAGGACGGATGCCCAGAGAGAGGTACTGCCCCTTCTGCAAGACCTCCTGGAGCGAGGAGCCGCGGAGGAACCTTGACTGTGTTGAACGTTCCTGACTGGCTGAATTGCTGACGGAATTCGCTGGAGCATTCACCGGTCCGGACGGCAAACTTGGTCAGACCGAATTGACCCGACTCACAATAAATACAGGGACAGCAATGCCTATACGTCAACCGCCGAGGAGATTGCCGATACATAAACGGCAAGAAGCCGAACGGGAGGTAAAACAGTTCAACTACCGGAAAGTCAACGAGGTGACGATGAAGGACGCCTACCCCATCCCCAGAATCGAGGACAACCTTGACGCTTTGAGCGGGGCGAAGTGGTTCAGCACCCTTGATCTGGCCAGTGGCTACTGGCAAGTCGGCATGGACCAGGGTGACCGGGAGAAGACGGCTTTTGGGATGCGAACGGCCTGTACCAGTTCACCGTTATGCCCTTTTGGCCTTTGCAACGCTCCTGCGACATTTGAGCGTCTGATGGAGCAAGTGTTGAGGGGGGTGACGTGATCGTGTGGGGGCAGACTTCAAGGAACACCACAAGCGGCTGACCACGGTCATGGAGCGATTTTGAGCCACCGGCCTGAAGCTCAAACCGAAGAAATGCGATCTCTTCAAGACGGAGATGTCCTTCTTGGGTCACCTCGTGTCGGTCGAGGGAGTAAGGACGGATCCGGAAAAGGTCGCGGCCATCAGGAACTGGCCGCAACCAGCAAACCTGACTCAAGTACGGAGTTTCCTGGGCCTCGTGTCCTACTACAGGCACTTCATTGCGAACTTTGCCGAGATTGCTCGCCTCCTCCATGCCCTTACCATCAAGAGCCAAAGGGCGTTCTCCTGGTCGAGTGCTTGTCAGTCAGCATTGGAGCACCTCTAGGACGCATTGACCACCGCACCCGTGTTGTGCTACCCGAATACGGAGCGCCGCTACGTCCTGGACACAGATGCCAGCTACTGCACCATCGGAGCAGTGCTGTCGCAGGAGGGGGACAATGCTGAACGAGTGGTCGCCTATGGCAGCCGTACCCTGTCTAAGGCCGAACGCAACTACTGTACCACTCGGAGAGAGTTGCTGACCGTGGTCCATTTCGTTCACTATTTCAAACACTACCTTCTTGGTAAACAGTTCCTGCTCCGAACGGATCACGGATCGCTGCGATGGCTGTTCAACTTCCGCGAACCCGAGGGGCAGACGGCCAGGTGGATTCAGAGGCTGGGGTGCTACGAGTTCGATGTGGAACATCGGGCGGGTAGGAAGCACACGAACGCCGACGCCGTCTCTAGAATGCCGTGTGGCCAGTGTGGGCGATCAAAAGAAGCAAGTCAAGAATGTTTTACTAAAGAAAGCCCCCTTGCTCAGCGGGACGCTGACTTGCAGCCGAGCCAGCGCGCGATGCTGGGAAGACGCAACCAGGGGAGGTGCAGGTGGAAGCCGTTACGGGAGCTGGGTAGGAAGAAGCCACCACCACAGAAGGGCTCCTGGAAGCCTGGGACCAGGAAGAACTCAAACAGGAACAACGTAGTGACCCAGAGCTGGACAAGATCGTGCAGTGGCTGGAAGACGGGGTCCCCAAACCCAGCTGGCGGGACGTCTCGGTGCTGGGTGAAGGCCCGAAGTACTGGTGGGCTAAGTGGGAGACGCTGCAGCTGTCCCAGGGCATATTGCAGGTGAAGTGGGAGCAGCCCAATGGCGAACCGCCGGAATGGAAGGTCTTGGTACCACGGGTGAAAGTCGACGACGTCTTGCGACTGGCGCATGACAATAGGACTTCAGGACATTTGGGGATTACCCGGACCGTCGCGCGGCTGAGACAGGCTCCGGTGTTCTGGAGGGGGATGCGACACCAGGCAGAAGAGTGGTGTCAAAAGTGCCACAAGTGCGGGTCAAAGAAGTCACCTCCTCGAACCCTTAAGGCCCCACTTCAACAGTGACTGGTAGGGGCTCCGATGGAGCGCCTCGCAATCGACCTTACGGGTCGATTTCCGAGGACGAGGACAGGAAATTCTAGCATCATGGTGGTGGCTGACTTGTTTACGAAGTGGGTGCAGGCGTTTCCGATCCCGGACCAGACTGCTCAGACTGTCGCCGGAGTCCTCGTCGAACAGGTCATCAAAACGATTCAGCAAAGCCGCTCAGGATGATGTTGAGGAGATGCTGCTGAATTGGTTCCGGAAGGCCTCTGCTAAAAATCTCCCCATTAATGGGCCGATTCTCTAGAAAACGGCAGAACAGCTGGCTAGAATGATGGGCCACGACAACTTCTCAGCAAATGCAGCGTGGGTTATGCGCTTCAAGAACCGACACAACATCAGGTTCAAACAGGTTAGACCCACAAAATTTAAAACAAAAATAAAAGTCTTAACGCACTTCAATATACCGGCACCCAATCTGATTTCCTGTAATCCTTATCCAAATCCAATTAAGAAAAAGCTGAAACAATTCAGTTATCTCCATAGATCAGGAACACAGAATCGTTCCAGTTAAACAGACACTTCTACAATGTACATGTGCATGAGGTCCTTCCAAATTTGCATATTAAGCCCTGCCCACCTTGCATAATGGACGCAAAATTTGCGTGTCACGGTTGTGATTGGTCAAAACGTCATGGGGCGGGGCTTGCATCGTATAATCGTTGTCTTTCCCGTACAAGGGACTGTATTAAATAATGATTAATTATGCGCCAGTATTTCTCATCAACAAACGAAAGACTACAAGACATGCTTTCTGTAACAAACCCCTTGTAGTGGACATTGGCAGATCGGGGAGGGGGGGGGAGGTCAACTGGAGCCATTTCCCCCACCCCTTCATTTTTTTCATTTTTTTTATTAATTTTCATGAAATAAATAAAAGTATGTATATGCCCCTGATTTGCCATCAGCAATACATACCTTTTAGTGTTAGTATTACAATGTGGAAATATATGGTTCAGGATCCGTCCTTGGTAGTGGCATGAGAACTGCAATACAGAAACCCCTGAGTGCGGAATAAGAACCTCAACATCTATTGTCCGTCTATTAGGAAACTCCCTCTGTTGCCATGGCGGTATGAGACACAAAACGGAGAACGCTCCGTGTAAAAATCGCAACACTGGCTTACTAAACACCGCAATGATTACGTTTTTCTACTGGACTGACTGCACGACAGAGTTTGTTCAAAACTATTAGCTGTAGGCCTAAATCAGTCTACACAATTGGGTCGACGAAAAGGCTCGTGCTAACTAATTTTTTTTTCTTGCAGGATTGTGAAAATGTTGGGACCGATCAAATAGAAACATGCCTAATATTGTAATAATGTGATTCAACTACATATACTTACATGAGTGTGATTAGAATGGTTCTGTGTTTCTGATCTGTCATGTGTCTGTGCAGCTGTTATCGGGCGTCAACTTTTCTTTATATATCAGTGCAGATTTGTAAACACAGCAAAAAAAAGTCTACGTTCAATAATTGGAGGGGTCATAGTTTTGAAATCTGATCATCTTACGATGATGTCATTTATATAGACCTTTGGGGAATGTTGTTAGCTACATTTTGATACCCTGTCTGCTACCAAAGACTAAATCGTTCAAGATTTACAACGGTTTATGAAAAATGATGCAATTTGAAAAGTCGCAAATTTAAAGATTACGCGATGAGAAATTGCTAAGCGCAAACCCACATGCCCGTAATTGGTCCCTATCGACTGCACAGTGCGCGAACAAAGGGAGGGTAAATCAAATTATGGTTTTGCCCTTCACCGACGTTTAAACACTGTACAGTGAGTTACCTCCCGAGTGAAAGTTGGAAAAAATCACTCGGGTGGGACTCGAACCCACGACTACCTGCTTTCTAGTGCAGATGTCTTACCACTCGACCACCGAGCTAACGGGATCGGTTGGCTGGTTCGAATCTGATGTACATAGCAGCGGGTACCGCATAAACTATTATAAGATGGAATTTTGCGTCGGGGTGATATAAATCAAATTAGGTTTTGCCCTTCACCGATGTATAAACACTGTATACTCAGTGTGTTAGCTCCCGAGTGAAAGTTGGGAAAAATCACTCGGGTGGGATTCTAACCCGCGACCTCCTGCTTTCTAATGCAGATGTCTTACCACTCGACCACCGAGCTAACGGGATCGATTGGCTGGCTCCAATCTGATGTACATAGCAGCGGGTACCGCATAAACTATTATAAGATGGAATTTTGAAAGCAGGAGGTCGTGGGTTCGAGTCCCACCAAGGTGATTTTTTCTAACTTTCACTCGGGAGGTAACGCACTGAGTATACAGTGTTTAAACGTCGGTGAAGGGCAAAACCTAATTTGATTTATATCACCCTGACGCAAAATTCCATCTTATAAAAGGCGGGTAATTCAATTCCGCGTGCTCCCATGCATACAAGCACTGTGCGATCGGTATTCCCTGCCGTTCGTTTTGGGCAGTGTGACATTGTCACGCAGTAATTTCCACTCGCGTACTCTTTAAATTTTCAAACAGCTTCATTTTTCATAAACCGTTGTCAATCTTGGACGATTTACAGTCGTTGGTAGCAAACGGGGTATCAAAATGTAGCTAACAACATTCCCCAAAGGTCTATATAAATGACATTATCATAAGACAATCAAAATTATGACCCCTCCAATGAGTGTGGACTTTCTTGTTTTGCGGTGTTTATTTAAAACCTTGTGTACGTAATAATGTACATGTTACATTTTCATTATAAAGCAACATCACTTTCCCAAACACGTTCAGTGCTGTGAAGTCAACTGTACATAATGAGTGAGAAAGACCAGTGCTCCACACAAGCTTTTTGGATTAGACAATTTTCTAATTCTCAACATTTTCTTGTTTTCAGGATGAAGATCGTGAAAGAAGAGAGAAAAATCTTGAGGAAGCCAAGAAGATAGTCATCGAAGAGGATCCTAGTCTGCCCAAGGCCAAGAGGGTAAGTTCTGTGGTTGCCATGGTAACAGATACCCTCTATACTAAATGGAGTACTGAAATCTGACATCATCTGTCTTTGTTCTGGTTCACGCGCTGTTTCACGTGCTCCAGCATATATGTGGCACCATTTTAAAGTTCTGTCCACGGATCACAAAATCGGAAGTGTTCTTTCAGCAAACCGAAAACAAATCACATAGGGATGTGTGTGAATAGTTTTCATTTGGCTGAAAGAACGGACACCTTTCACTTTGTGATCTGTGGACAAAACTAAAACGGTGGTTGTGTTTAAAATTCCGTAACTTGAAAAATACAGTGATTTGAATGATTCTTGTACTAAAAGAAAGCTTATGAAATAGGGTTTCATATTCTAGATTTTGAAAGTTGCTACATGCAAAACTTCAGTAAAACAATAGTCTCGACACTTGGGTTTCGGTTTTTTGGTTTTTTTTTTTTTACTCACCCAGTATAGCATAAAAAAGATGTATGGCGGTGAGGAGTGTTGAAAGTCAATAGGGACAGTACCATACATATGTCTCTGTAGTAGCTCACCTTAAAGTGGGCGGGCAAAGGAACAACTTGTCAAAAATTGGGTTTTGGAGGGGAGAATGCCCCATTCAACTCGCCCCCACCTCCACCGCACCCCCCCCCACCCCTAACGAACTTTAATCGTCCACTTGGTGTATTCACCCTAACTTATGTGTACTTTAATTGCACTCAAACCGTGACAAGTTTTATAGCCCTAACAGTCCTGAATCCTCCAATTTTAATATGATTTTGCACACACCCTAGAGAGTTATAGGATTAATTTGAAATTTTTACCTAAAATTGCAGATTCTGATCAAGGAAGGAACTGCAAACCGCGACCAGCGGGTGAAAGTCCAAGGCTGGGTGCATCGTCTACGCAGACAAGGTGAGGAATCGTCCTATGGAATGTCTTCATTTGGGGCATGGAAATACATCACTTGTTCTGGACGTGTATTTGAGCTGGATTTTTGCTGTTATATTTCATCTTTTGTCATCTGTTAACTAAAACCCTCCTTTTGTTTGATCAGTCACAGACAGTCAAAAATGCAATCCTGCTCCCCTACCACGCAGGCTAGTCACCAACAGTCAGATCATATTTCACTAAGCACCGTGACTAGTCAGATTCAGTCAACAGACAAAAGCAGGTGACTGGTTAGCCTTGACCAAGGCTATCAGCTTGTTCCCATACGAGCTTGTTCCCGCTACTGCACACCGCGCGCGCCGCGACACAATCACTAGTTGTACTATACCGTTAGCCTCAACGACCCTTGCGTGTGCTTTGTGTGCATGTACGTACGCTCCACACACACTTCCGCAAACAGCCGTACAGTATTAAGTCGAGGCGGAAGATAGCCTTGACGCAACCGCGGCGAATTCTTATGTGTTTCTTTATAGTTTCGACCGAAATCGGTCGAAAATTTCTGATGCGCATATATTACACGATATCCAATCAAAGCCCGTAAACTTTGACCCGCGACATACATATTCATGACCCGCAAATTACTGTATGCTCCACGTACATGTACATGTATGTTCACTCAAACCATGGTATGTCCAGGTATTTCAATCTCATTTTAAACCATTTCTCCAGTTTTATTACAAACAAATGAAATATGCCGCTATATGAGTGAACAATTGTTCAAAATGATACTATTTCCAATGTACGAAAAAAGTAGATGTAAATCGCACGAGATACAAGTCGTTCTCACAAGATATGTTGTGTACGACATAATCGACAAACAAGTCAAACATACGAGTTACAATTCATATTTTGTACACACGAGATATTAAGTAGTACTATATATACGACTTTGTCGTATGCGCCATATATCGTACCCTGTCGACTCGACTTATGCACGACATATATGTCGTACCGGCACCTGTCGACATTATGTCTTATGTTTGATATGTCATACCCTGTCGACATATATGTCGTACCCTGTCGATGATATTAGTCGTACCCTGTCGAAATATGTCGTACCCTGTCGATGATATTAGTGGTACATACGACATATAACTTATAAGTTGTTCATACAAGTTAAAATCAGTCTTACAGAATAAGTTTGCTGAAGGAGAAATATTTTTCCCCCATATCCCCTTGACAGCTTGGAAGAAATACCCCCCCCCCCAAAAAAAAAAGTCAGCGGTAGATATACTCAATAGTGTGAGCGCTTTTTTTGCCGCTGAACGTGAAAGCGCAGCGTGTCTCACTGCATGGCGCCAGCCGGGCCGGTGCCTACAGTGGACGGCCCCAACGTGGCCTCTGTGCATGGTGACATCGTTTTTGCCGGCGTGCAGTTTTGTACCGTTTGCCGTTTTTTGAAGGTCTAATTTTTCATCCTTTTCATTTCATTTTCGACCCAAACTATGTGTAACCTTATAAATATTATTCTACTATTATTTAAGATTTTAAGGGGGTGTTTTACAATAATTATTGTTACCACAGGCCGTCTGGTTTATAAACCTTTGGTCGTATTATGCAATTTAATAAATATTAATTTTTTTGTCAGCCGTTATCCAATGAGAGAAGACTATTTACCATAGCGCGTACTAATTATCATATTCAGCCTACACGGTTGCGTCAAGGCTATCTTCCGCCTCGACTTACTGTACGGCTGTTTGCGGAAGTGAGTGTGGGGCGTACGTACATGCACACAAAGCACACGCAAGGGTCGTTGGGGCTAACGGTATACATGTAGTACAGCATTGTGTTGCTGCGCGCGGTGTGCGGTAGAGGGAACAAGCTCATAATGGGAACAAGCTGATAGCCTTGGTCAAGGCTAGTGACTGGTAGGCACAGCTGGCTTATCAATCTCCAACAGTCGAAGCATAACTATATCAGTTTTCATAAAACTGGGGCGGGGCGGTGTGGTCCAATGGTTACGGTGTTTGACTCGTGTGCCGTGGTACACGGGTTCGAATCCTGACCGTGGGAACATGGTGTTTGTGCTCTTGAGCAAGGCACTTTACCATTATTGCTTCGTCCTTCGGATGGGACGGAAAGCCGTAGGTCCCGTGTGTTGTGTAATGCACATTAAAGAACCCAGTAACACTTGTCGCTAAGAGGAGAGGTTTGCCCCGCTGTTTTTGGCAGTGGCAGCAATTATGCGCCGCAGCACCTAGCAAAAAGGTGCTACATAATGGGTCTCATATGTTCATAAACTTCATTTACCTGGCTTTGGTTGCATTCTCCCCCAGCGCTTTGTATCCTCTGGCAAAAAGCGCTATATAAATACAGTTATTATTAATATTATTATAACAATCACAGCCTGTCAATCCTGCTTTATGAAGGCAGGGAGCACTCAACTGTTGAAAACAGTCACTTGATTTATTTGGACAGCTGGCCTTGTTGAAATTGCCAGCCAGAAAGGGAGGGTTAATCCAACTAGTCTTTTTCACTTCAAATCCCTTCAGGTTTTGATTAAAACATGTTTTGCCCTTAGAGCTGAACCCACACTTCAAGTTTGTTGAGGTAATCTTCTGTGGAGTATGGATAACACTTCAAATCCCTGCACAAGTCTTGTGCGTGGTTAAGCTCAGGGCAAGCGGGCAGATTCAGTCGTGCTTCACTGCTCTCCACAGTGCTGTATTTTGTGTGTTCAGTGACTCTCTGTGTGACACAGTTTACTTTAACACTTCATATCCCTCCACCTGAAACTGACCTGCAGGGTTTTAAAAGGTTTTTACATTTTGCTCTGAATGTTAAACATTGCTTTAACCCGAACACCCTCGGCAATTTTGCTAGAATGCAACCTTAGCCAATCCTTCAAAATCCTCCAACTGCTTATGTGTAAAAAATAGCATACAGCCTCAATCCTGCAAAATCTTCCATGTGGTTCTTGGAGGGGTGACCACTGCCTCAATCCTGTAAAATCCCCCAGCAATCACTGTCAATATGTTGAGGCAGAGCCAGTGACATCCTGGAGCAGTGCGGAGGATAACAAGTATAATCTAGGCCTATTTTATGCTTGGCTGAGCATAAACAACACAAGATCCGGCCTATGACCTTGACACAGTGCATCCTCACATTTTTGCTATAAAGCCTCAATCCCGCAAAATCCTCCACTTTACACAGAGGGGTTTGGAGGATTTGGGAAGGTTAGGGTTAATGTACAAGTTATCGTTATATACAGCTTCGTTGTTTTTTTCTCAAAACTTTTCTCTTGTAGGCAAGAATCTGATGTTTATTGTGTTGCGAGATGGAACCGGACTCATCCAATGTGTTCTGCATGACAAACTGGTACGCAACAATGGTTTACATGTATATGAGTCTCCTAAAAGAGGTGGTAATTATTAACTGTTGTGGATTTGTCGGCAAATAATTTAATCGGAATTTTAAAAGGGAATACCGTTAGTAATCCACATGCAAAATTGAAATGTTTCATCATCACTCCAGTGATCATAAATATTCTTGTAATCATACTCTTCCAACCTTTACCCCATCAGTGCATTCAATGGAGATGTAATATCCTGATGTAGTTCATGCTGAAGTTATCCACTTTGTTCAGTACTTTTTCATGTTATTTCTTGTTTTATATTGTTCACAGTGCCAGACGTACAACGCTCTCATCTTGTCGACAGAGAGTTCTGTATCACTGTATGGTGTCATCAAGGTTCTCCCAGAGGGCAAGATGGTAAGCTGTTCTCTTTCCATCATGATGTATCATTTGATTACTACAAACAGCTTGGTTTTTTTCCTGGTGGAGATGTAATAGCCTGATATAGTTATTTGCCGTTCTCTTTCCAACAGACATGAGGAGGTGATAAGTTATAGTGTGATTATTGGTGGGAACTTTTTGGTATTTCTTCCTCTGGGGATAGAGTAGCCAGTGGTATATTTGCTGTTCTCTTTCTAGGGGGCACAAGGAGGTCAATGTAATTATTGGAAACAATTTGATATTTCCCTACTCCAGAGATAAAATACCAGTAGCTGTCTTACATGTATGTGTAATTCTCATGTTATTATTGACAACAGTTTGGTGTATTTCTCCTTCTGGGGATAGAATAGCCTTTTGTATGTTTGCTGTTCTCTTTCCAACATGCACCAGGAGGTCATAAGTTATTGTGATTATTGAGAACAATTTAGTATTTCTCTCTCTGGGGATAGAATAGCCTTCTTATATATATATGTATATATGTGTGTTTGTCATTCTCTTTCCATCAGGCACCAGGAAGTCATGAGTTATCCTGTTATTATTGGGAACAATGTTGTATTTCTATCTCTGGGGATAGAATAGCCTTCTTATATGTGTTGTGTTTGCCGTTCTCTTTCCGTCAGGCACCAGGAGGCCATGAGTTATCCTGTGATTACTGGGAGCTGATTGGTGCAGCTCCGGCGGGTGGGGCTGATAATCTCGTCAACGAGGTAAACATTCTGTTAGAGATTTTTAAGCTCTGGCAGGAGCTTCTACATGTCACTTGGTGGTCAGTCAGTTGCTCGATCTCTCTGTCTGTCCCTGAAAATTGACCAAAAGTATGGTGTCCTATATATGCCATCAGCATCGCATTTTTTGGCATCACCTTTTAAGCTCTGGCAGAGATAATTTTGATCGATTTCATGCAAGACTGTCATGCGAGACTTCTTGAAACAAGGCCAGAGCTTATTGTGCACTGGCACGTGTTTTTTTTTTTAATACTGGAATTCGATTTGGAAAATAAATGTATGTGTGAATCTAGTTGTGTTTTTTTTTAGAAACCAATAGTTCTGAATCTGATTGTTGCAGGAGTCCCACATTGATGTTCAGCTGGACCAGCGGCACATGATGATGCGAGGAGAAACGGTGAGTAATAGACTGGTAAATAGGGTGACACACCCCAGGGCACATACCCAGGGGTGTGGGTGCGCTGAGGTTATTGAACGGCACGGCTGTACAGTCTTATTTTAAAGTTACCATCAGTCTAGAACAACTTGCCTTCTTAAAAAGAAAAAGTAGCTTTCATTGCTTTTAACCCTATAATTCCCAAATCCTCCAGAATCCTCTTTGCAAAACGGAGGATTTTGCATGGTTGAGGCTATATGGCAAAAATCTGTGGCTTATTTTGGAGGATGCACTGTGTCAAGGTCTTGGGCCGGACCTTGTGTTGTTTATGCCCAGCCGTACATATATTTTGGCCTAGATTATGCTTGAAATCCTCCACACTGCTCCACGATGTCACTGGCTCTGCCTCAACATACATGTATTGACAGTGATTGCCGGAGGATTTTGCAGGATTCAGGCAGTGGTCAACCCTCCATTGACCACATTCAAGAAATAGCGGAGGATTTGCAGGATTGAGGCTGGATGCTGAATGCAGTTGGAGGATTTTGTAGGATCGAAGTTGCATCCTAGCAAAAATGCCTAGGGAGTTTAAGGATTAATGTAGGTCTTTTCAGTAATTTTGCAATGTGTATACATAATTGTGAATGATTTCAATTTGTATAATTTCCTTGTATGTTTTGTTTCACAGCTTTCAAAGATTATGAGAGTCAGGTCCACTGTGGCTCAGTGGTAAGCCCAATTCTCATGAAATTGTATAAAATAACATAGTCATTACCCCATACGACAAAATAGAGCACTTTTGAAATGTCATGTTCACATTTAAGTATTTTTTCATGTTTGCTCAAATGTTGTAGATTACCATTTGCATTGATCATCAGTGAAGTTTGTTGTTTATAACTTCAAGCAAAATCATCCATTTTGCATTCGATTCCTTGTAGTTTCCGCGAACACTATTTCAACAGTGGTTACATTGAGGTATGTAGACTTTATTATTTCCAATATTGACATTTGTTTGTTTGGTAAAAAAATTGTGAGTTCTGTGTCATTTTTCACAAGCGTCAATAGTTTAGGAGATGGACTTTAATGTTGGATATGTTGTTTTAGTCAGTATGCAGTTTTGAGAAAAAGGACGCACAACGACAACGGAATCATTTGATTTTGGTTAGGATTAATAATGAAAAGACCAACTGAGGATCACAATCTGAACCACTTTGCGCCGGGATTATATTTGCTGAAAATTTCGATTCTCGCAAAATTGTTCAGCCAACTGCTGATATACAGCCAAACGCCACAAATACTGATTCGCAAGGGCCATTTCAACAGTATTTGTGTGATATTTCTTGCCGAAACCTCATATGTTTCATTACACTCCAGGATGTGCACTGGAGCCTAAATTGTAGAACAATAGGCCGTGTACAACAGTCAATTCAAGATCAACACACGGTCCGCCTCCACAGACTTCACAGACTTTGTGTGTTTGTACAAAAGGCACGAGGGATAAGCGTGTTTAGATGTCACCCGGAGGCAAGTCCAGGCAATCTTGACGTCTTAACCCATTAGCCGTGCCTGTGTATAAAAACAGCCAGTGCGTGTTATCACGTCCTCCAATGCGAACTGGTTGAAGCATCGATGGAAAAATGTTGGTCTCAGCATTTGGGTGTACAGGGCGAGTCAAAATAACGAAACCCAAATGTCGGGACTATTGTTTTGGTGAAGTTGTAGCACTTTCGAAATTAAGAATATGAAAGCTCAATTCATAAGCTTTCTTTTAGTACAAGAATCATTCAAATCACTCACGTAATTTTCAAGTTACAAAATTTTAAACACAGCCAACATTTTAAAGTTCTGTCCACGGATCACAAAAAAGGCGTGCGTTCGTTCAGCAAAACGAAAACCATTCACACACAACCCTATATGATTTGTTTTGGTTTTGCTGAAAGAACACTTTCCTGTGTGTGATCCGCAGACAGAACTGTAAAACAGTGGTTGCGTTTAAAATTCTGTAACTTGAGAAGTACATGAGTGATTCGAATGATTCTTGTACTAAAAGAAAGCTTATGAATTGGGCTCTCATATCTGAGATTTAAAAGTGCTACATGCAGAATTTTACTACAACATGTGGGTTTCGTTTTTTTTTTACTTACCCTTTATGTAGTGGATTTGGAAATTTGAAAATCCAGTGTGCCCATAGTTTTCATAGAATGTGCGTCTTTTATGATTATTTCGTCAGGTTTGCCCACCCACCACGGTCCTAACTCAATACGAAAGCGGGGCCTTCAAGTTAGACTTCTTTGGTGAACAGGTAAGTATTCCTGTTTCATGGCTATCAAGGAAAACGGCGAAAGATATTTTCCTTGTCCTTTCTGTATGTTGTCTTTTAGGAGCAATATTCATGAAACCTTACTAAGCCTAGTTGGTTACTATTTGGTATTCACGAAGCATTAATAGCGTTAGTTACATTCAAAGTTTCTTATTTAAGTTAGTGTTGATCCAGGGTGACTCCGATTCACTAGTTAGCAACTAAATCTTCTTTTTTTTGGTGCCAGAATTGGCTCTTTAGGTATGGTAGTTTTCCCCCTCCAAGGTTTCATGAATAACATTTTAGACATCTACTCCATAGTGGACTTAAGGGCATTTTTGTATCCTACTAAGCCCTAGTTGGCTGCTTAGTAAGTAAGGTTATATGAATATGGCTGCTGTCTCCTATTCTGGAGAAATTCTGAGTTGTAAAAGCGTAACGAAGCCATCCTTTTCCCCACCCTGTTTAACCAACACCTCTCCCAAAGTCATGATGACATCTCATCTCTTGTCTAGGCCTACCTGACTCGACCCTCTTAGCTCTACTTAGAGACTGCTCTACCATCGCTAGGTGACGTCTTCTATATCTCTCAATCTTACCCTTCCCCCATCCTACCCAAATCATGATGACCATCTCATATCTTGTCTAGGGCTACCCGACTCAATCCTCTTAGCTCTACTTAGAGACTGCTCTACCATCGCTAGGTGACGTCTTCTGTATTTTTCAATCTTACCCTGCCCCCATCCTACAAAATCATGCTGACCATCTCATCTCTTGTTCAGGCCTACCCGACTCAATCATCTCAGCTCTACTAAGAGACTACTCTACCATCGCTAGGTGACGTCTTCTATATCTCTCAGTCTTACCCTTCCCCCATCCTACTTTTGTCCTACCCAAATAATGATGACTATCTCATCTCTTGTCCAGGCCTACCTGACTCAATCCTCTCAGCTCTACTTAGAGACTACTCTACCATAGCTAAGGGACGTCTTCTGTATCTCTTAATCTTACCCTTCCCCATCCTACCCAAATCATGATGACCATCTCATCTCTTGTCTAGGCCTACCTAACTCAATCCTCTCTGCTCTACTTAGGGACTGCTCTAACATCGTTAGCTAGGTGACGTCTTCTGTATCTCTCAATCCCACACTTCCCCTATCCTACCCAAATCATGCTGACCATCTCATCTCTTGTCTAGGCCTACCTGACTCAATCCTCTCAGCTCTACTTAGATACTGCTCTACCATCGCTATGGATGACGTCTTCTGCATCTCTCAGTCAGCTGCTCTACTTAGAGACTGCTCTACCATCACTAGGGGACGTCTGCTATATCTCTCAATCTCATCCTTCCCCCTTCCTACCCAAATCATGATGACTATCTCTTGTCTAGGCCTACCTGTCTCAATATTCTCAGCAGACTGCTCTACCATCGCTCGGTGACGTCTTCTGTAGCTCTTAATCTTACCCTTCCCCCTTCCTACGGTGGAGAACTGGGCCGGTGGAAGGGGAGGATAGAGGAAGGAGGGGGCCAGGCACGCAGGTTCACGAGTACATGTACATGTGGCAGCCAGTGTTCTTCAGTTCTCTTCCTTCCAGAGGGTTTATTCTGCCAGTATTATAGTGGTAGTAGTCAGGCCCCGAGACCGGGGCTACCTGCAAATAGTCGGGCAGGCGGTTGTCACATTTGATCTGTAATTTTCTTATTTTGATGTGTAATTTTCTCATTTTAACAGTAATTTTGTACAAGTTGTTCCTTTAAATGACTAAAGTTCCTTTAAGAACCAGTCTGTGTCTATTTAATTCCCCAATACATTGATTGGCTAATAGTTTAGGCCTAATGAATATGTAATCAGGTCTTGCTCTCACATACTTTTCTTTTTCTCAGTTGAGTGAATGTACCTTATAAGGACAGATATGTGGTGTATGGTTGATTATATGAGTGTTGCTGGAATGTGCCTTTTGTTAAGTGCCATGGTTAGTGGAGCTTGGAATTTTTGTCAGTTTTTCTTGGGGTGCGGCCTAGTCAGTTGAGACCAGAGACCGATAGCAGAAGAGTCAATATATTGCAGGACTCTTGAATTTTGCTTTGCCAAACATATCCAGTGTGTCATTGCCTAAAAAGTGCTGAATAATTAAACAGCCTTGTGTGACAAGCAGATTCTCTGATTTATTCGAGTGAAGAAACTCCTAACCGTAAGTTTACACAAATTTTGGTTTTATTATTCATCACCATTTTCAAGTTGATTTATCTTTTATGTGAAATCTCAAAATCATTCATCAAGACAATGTAAAATTAAGGTACTTTGCAAAAACATGAAGATAAAATAATTCTGGTTTTCTTTAGGATTAAAAAATTTAAGGTTTCAATTTAGTGAATCGGATTTTGATATAATATTAATTCTTTAGATGGCACGTAATTCCGGGGTTTGAAGTTGAGCTACTTTTACACCATCTCTGTTGTGCCGAGAGCTACCTGTACTTCCCCTACCGCACTGGTTAGAAGTGACGTACCACCTGTATCTGATCTGTTGGACGGGAATCAGAGTGTGGCACTGCACATTATAGACTGGGATCACCAAGCTTAGCATCGCCAACTTCATCATCTTCCCTTATAAACTGTGACGTCCCCGGAACGTTTAGGACTGATAACATATCAAGTGTCGGGAACAATTTTGTAAATATTAAGATTTCCTGATCTAGAGGTCCAGAGATATTGAAAATACTTGTTAAAAACTTGCTAAAAACAGGAGAATGTTTATGGCATATATAACTGAAGTTGAAGGTTTTCAGAAGAGTTAGTTTCGAGGTTGACGATAGCGGATTGAGGTTAAAAGTAATATTGATTAAGGCCGGTTGGCATTGAAGATTTCAGTGGATTGTAAAAAGGTTAAATTAAAATTTTGATGTGAAAAAGGTTTTTCTGAATTGAAAACCGATTCAAAATTTTGGCTTGAAATTGGATGTGAAATATGGAAGTTGAAAACAGAAATTTAATTCACATAGATATTGGAGTTGAAGTTTATTGGATTTGAGATTGTTATTGAGGTGAATTTGGAAAATCTTGAAGTCAGTAGAAGTCTGGAGACTATATTTTGGAAGTGATTTTGAAGACAGACAATTTTCTGTTAGTTTAAGTGAGTTTCGTAAGTTTGAGAAGTATAGATTTTGAAACTCGAGTAAAATTTGAAATTTAAGTGTAGAAATTTGAAATTTAAGGTTATTGATCACATTTCGAGACAATTTTGTTTTTGGAGATTGGTTATTGATCAATGGTTTGAGACCTGAAGTTTGAAGATTGAGAATTAGTGCGAATTTATTGATAATTGAAATTCTCGTAGTTGAATTTGGAGTGATTTGTTTTTGAGAGTATTATTTCATCGAAGCGTTGAGAAATACCAAATTTGAAGAAGTTTGCAGATTGAGAATTAATTGGAAATCTGTACCTGATTTGAATAAGTCAAGTCATAGAAATTGTTTTGGACTTGTGAATTTATAATTTTGTGAAATTTGGGGATTTTGTGTAAATAAATGTGCTTGTATATTGTATATAGAATATTGAGAAGTGTCTAGTTGGTTTTCATTCATTTCATGGGAGTGTATGGCATATTTCCTAAATTCTATTTGTCCGATGGAGTCGCCAAAAGTGACTGTGTGACAGCGGTATGTTAATTTTGTTACACAGTATTCATTATCAATAAACATACACAATAAACATTAAACAATGATAACCAATTCGTGCCACACCTAACTTAAAACAACATACATGTAACTGAATAGGCATGAAGGCAGCGCCGGCTACACGGGTCAGGGACACAAGCAGACAAGTCAACCCCGCGCGCTGGCTGACCGACGATCGCACGCACACTCACCGCACACACACAAACCCTCCCCGCGTATCCAACACGGCCGCCATGCCTAAACTTGACAGCGAGCGATCCAGGGTTCTAGGTTAACTACACTTAATCCCACACATGTAAAGGTGTTACAGTTAAATTACTGATGTCACATAAAATCCAAATCTAATCCCACAATCCAATAAATTTCGTAAGTCTTGCACGTTAACCCAGGTGATGTTTTACACAATCACAACACACGTACATGTCACTATTGTCAAAAATCAACGTTAAAGTTCCAACATTACACTACCTCAAACTTCACCTAAATTCCACATTTTCAATCCAACAAAAGCCATCCCCATCCTTATTAAACCAGTCTATGATAAATTGCGGTAAAGGTAATAGGCCATCTGACCCAAAATAATGAATTTTACGCTACAAAAATGGTATTTATGGCGGTATTTATGTGCCCGTGTAGTACAGTCTAAACCCTTCGGAAATTCTTAAAGTTGATATCAGGCCGCCAAACCTCGAGAATTTACAACAAAGAGAACATTGATAAAAAATAAACAAATGTTGTTACATTTCAAGGTCCTTGGCCCGCATTTCCTATGATTAAAACTTATTATGAACTACACGTACTAAATTAAAGATCATTGCGCGATGTTTTCCGGACAACCCGTTACGAACAAAACTAAGGATGACAATGAAGGACATGAAACAAATTATAGGGGTAACATTGGTTCCTACACTACCCAAATCATGATGACTATCTCATCTCGTGTCTAGGCCTACCTGACTCAATCCTCTCAGCTCTACTTAGAGACTGCTCTACCATCGCTAGGTGACGTCTTCTGCATCTCTCAGTCCTACCGTGCCGAGATGTCCCGCACCAGGCGCCATGTAGCAGAGTAAGTCAGTCCTATTTATTTCATCGCACAAAGTTCAGTCAGTTATGACTGGTTCTTACAAAAATGAAATAAAACCCTACTAGCAAATATGTGAGGCGTTCTGGCAAAATAAAATAAGACAGAGCTGTGCTGAGGTTAAAATGAGAGTTTTTGATTGGTAAGGATATTTCAAAAGATCCTTGATATCACACTACATGAAATCTCTATGATGGACTTGATTCAAACCCACAGATTGAGCAATATTCGTTTATTCTTCAAGGGAGACATACCCACATTGAGGTAGAATGTCCACTCATCATCCCTTGGAAGATCTCTCAAGTGGGCTATAATATTTTGTTTATCCCCCAATGCGGGTATACCTTTCTGATGGGGGCAATGATATTGCTTTTATCCCCACTGCAAGTTTACTCACATTGAGGTAGAATGTCCATCACTTTAACTTAGTGTGATATAATGATTGCTTTTTATCCCCCGATGTAGGTTTACCCACATTGAGGCGGAATGTCCCTTCATCTGCTTTGATGATCTACTCACTCGATTGGAGGATCTTATCTGTGACACTGTGGACAAAGCCTTGGCGTCCCCTATCGGACCTCTCATCATGGAATTCAACCCGGTGAGATACAATGAAAAAGTCTTTTCGACAAAAAGCTGTTGTTAAATTTCCAGAACCCAATACAGTGGAACGCCGCTATACCGAACACAGCTGGACCGAACATTCGGCTGTACCGAACATCATCCTAGGCCCCCGGTTTTAATGTACAAAACGTACCGAACATTGTTATTGAAAAAAGTCAACAGATTAACAAAAACTCTACCGGTTGGACATGTATTAAACACTATTTGGGCCACTTTTTAATTCCCGAACATCAAACGACCCATAGTTACATCGTGTCTGATTGTTGAAGAGCGATAGATGGCTATTTTTTCCCCAAGGAATAAAAGGGAAACCACTCGTGATAAATGCCAGTTCACTGTTGGTCAAAAGAGGGTACCGGCTCAAAACCGCTATATCGAACGATCGTTATTACGAACACTTTCTGTGGATCCAACGATGTTCGTTATAGCGGCGTTTCACTGTACTCCCTTGTCCCCGAAAAACACCAAGGGAACACACAGTCATGTGTAAGATTATAGATAATGCCCGCGGGCAACCTATTGTGTTTTCCTTTGTCCCTGTAATACAGGGTGATTCCAAAAAAGTGAAACCCAAATGTCAGGACTATTGTTTTAGTGAAGTTCTGCATGTGTAGCACTTGCATAATCTAGGATATGAAAGCCCAATTCATAAGCTTTCCTTTAGTACAAGAATCATTCAAATCACGCATGTTCTTTTCAAGTTACGGAATTTTAAACACAACCACCGTTATCAAGTTCTGTCCGCGAATCACGAAAAGGCTATGTTCTTACAGTATAACAAAAGGAAAACAAATCACGTGGGGATCCGGATGTGCGTGAATTATTTTTATGTGATACGTAGACAGAACTTTAAAACGGTGGTTGTGTCTAAAATTCCGCAACTTGAAAAATACATGAGTGATTTGATGATTCTTCTGCTAAAAGAAAGCTTATGAATTGGGCTTCCATATCCTAAATTTGGAAAGTGCCACATGCAGAACTTCACTCAAACAATTGTCCCGACATGTGGGTGTCGTTTTTTTTACTGACCCTGTGTTTAGTGGATTTGGAAATCTAACAATGTGTGCCCATAGTTGTCATGGAATGTGCATATTTTGTGATTATTTCGTCAGGTTTGCCCACCCACCTAGATTGTGAAAGTGCTTCATGCAGAACTTCAATAGTCCCAACATTTTTTTGTATTGTTTGCTCTCCCATAGATTAAGCACATAAACGCACAATCGAGGACTGTTTTCAATAAAAATGAATGATTGAGGTCAACAAAGAATCTGTTGTTCTCTGTTTGTCTGTCTGTCGTTGGGGTGTATGTAGTGTGCGCACACCCACTCTTGTTTTACTGTACTCCTGAGGACAATGCTTTGTGTTTTCCCTTGTCCCTGTAATATAACACTCTCCTGTAGACTAAGCACACAAACCTACTACAGAGGACTGTTTTTAACAAAAGACCCAACTCCCAAGAACTGAAAGGACTTGTTGTTTTCCCTTTGTGTGTCTGTCCTCGGGGGTTATGTAAAAAAAAAACACATTCATTTCTGAATAATTATTCACTTTAAGGTTTAAAAGAACTTGTCCCTGGTCTCAATGTTTCAACTAGCCTGCTCTAGTCATCGTCAGGAGACTGAGGAGAGTTGGAGATGCTGTTCCTTAAATAAAGAACTCTTTACTACGTTTCTCTTTACTATCTTTTCAGGATTTCAAGCCTCCCAAGCGTCCGTTTAGGCGTATGGATTACAGTGAAGCCATCACGTACCTTAAAGAACACGACATCAGAAAAGATGACGGAACATTCTATGAATTTGGAGAGGTAGTCTTGACCTTCAATCTCTTTTGAGCCTGTACAAAATTTTCACAGACTTGAGTGGGTTTTTGATCATGTGACCGCCTGCTGACTCGTCTTGACCATTCAACCACTGGATTTGTCAAGCTTGGCAAAACATCCTTTTTTTCTCCAGGTGCATAGAAGGTAAAAGCACGAACCCGTATGCCTTGCTAGGCTTTGAACAAACCTTCGAAAGGTTGAGCTTAATCCAGTTACTCGAGTACTTTTTTTGGAGTACTCGTACTTGTACTCGTACTCGAATGTCAAAGTACTCGTACTCGAAATGACGGTACTCGTACTCGGGCAGCAAAGTACTCGTACTCGACATGTCGAAATTGTACTCGATCATTAAAGTACTCGTACTCGAATAGCAGTACTTGGGGGGAAAATGTTATAGCTTCACTTACCATGGCCTTATTTTATCGATTCTTTCAGTTGAAAATTGTTGATTGGCTTGTTGAGAAGTCGAGATTTCCTGATTTTCCTCTGTGCAAGTCGGACAAACACATTTAACAGCTAGCTGTGAGTGGGTCCGTATATCGGTCAACTGGGCCTAGGCCAATTACGCACAATAAACCATTTGCCGTATGGCCGTATCCGGAAATGCAAGCACTCGTACTAGTACTCGGAAGTACAAGTTCTCGTACTCGTACTCGGAAGTACAAGTACTCGTACTCGGAGTTTCGTTCTTGTACTCGGAGGTACAAATACTCGTACTCGGCAACCTAAGTACTCAGCAGTACTCGGTACTCGGAAAAAAGTACTCGACTACAACACTGGCTTAATCCCATCACAACTTTTAGTTTCAATGTTGAAAACACGAGCTGATATCAACTCAGTTTAGTACTGTGGCGCTGACTCACGGCGGATATGTTTAAGAATAATACAAAGGATCTTGAATTCAACCCGCACCGTAACCAGAAGCAAATGTAGTTCTGAGGCATGGGTGTCATATCTGCATGGCGATCCATTTTTCTACTGTTAACCAGTCGTGCAGCAGCATTCTGAATATGTTGCAATTTCTTGAACTGATAATCGTATAAACTAGAAAATAAACTGTTACAATAATCCAGTCGGGAAGTAACGAATGCATGTATTATTATCTCAGTATGTGATTGATCCCAGAGTTGTAACGACTTGAGTCAATGACTCGACTCGAGTCTGACTCGAGTCACAATTTTTGGTGACTCGACTCGACTCGAGTCCTTAAGGGTAAATGACTCAACTCGAGTCACTGCGAGCAAATGACTCGACTCGACTCGAGTCCCTCATCAGAAGACTCGACTCGACTCAAGCGAAGGTTATTAAGACTCGAACCCCAAAAATAAAAGCACAACTTTGCGAAAAGTCTTTGCAGTTGACTTACAGTGCAAAGTTTATGCTCACTTCGCAGTCATGTACAAAATACAACGTTCCACAGACTCCCACCTCATGGTTCTAGAACAAACAAAATACTATCCAGGAACCAGACTTTTAAACACTTTTTCTAATTCGCTGTTTCATCATTGGTTTTGGGCGATTTCTTATAAAGCTCTTGGATTCGAACGCTGGCTAAACTTTTGGCCTCCTTTTATAAATTTTGGTATGTAGTGTTCAAATATTCCTGACTCGAATTGACTCGAGCTAAAATATTTGACTCGACTCGACTCGACCTTTTGACCTAATGACTCGACTCGACTCGAATCGAGTCACTTCTTTAAAATGACTCGACTCAACTCGAGCCACTTCTTTAAAATGACTCGACTCGACTTGAGTCACAAAAATCAGTGACTCGTTACAACTCTGATTGATCCAAAAGATTCCTAAGTTTGCCAATCCGCCATAGTGAGTGAGACGCCACCTTACAAACACTAGAAATGTGAGCATCCATGGTTAAAAAAAAAAAGTAGGCAAAAAATGTCCAGCAAGTTAGATGGCACTTTATTAGGTAAAATTCGTCTTGACGATGACTTAGAACATGACAGTCTATCTACAATTGAAAAGATTTAGTTTTTTATGAAATCTTGTTTTTGGTTTTGGGTCGTTTGTAGGATATCCCTGAGGCACCGGAGAGGAAGATGATGGACCAAATTAATGAGGTAAAAATCAAAGAGGAATTTCATAACGTCATAATTATTATTACGAGGAATGGTACCTTAGGGGACATTCCCATAGGGTTGTGGATTGTGGATTTTTCCAACTTTAATGACCCTAGCCCCAATTTCCCTCATCTTACCCCCACGAATTCTGGAATATTTACGTTTTGGACCATAAGCAATCGATCTAGCCTATTTGCGAGAGTAAAATTTTGCCTCTAAATAGGAGTTGTGACATTAAGGAGACATTGAAATGTCTCCTTAAAACTATCTCCCTAGCATAATTTACTAGGAACCATACCCATTCAGGCAAATTCCAACACCCACATGGGAAATTGTACACACACACTGTTGGACTTAGTTTCTGGAGGTAAGCCAAACCCAATGTAAAAACCATCAGTTTAGGGGTACTGTACCTATCCCAACAGATTTCAACAAAACCTGCTGTTGGACTTGGATGGGTTGCGTTCGGCTAGGGTTAATGTCCGGTGTCTCCCTAAGGTTTAAGTATTACATGACGAAAATATCTCCTTAAGGGTACATTAACAGGAATTATAAAACTTGCTGCACTTTTACCATGCCGCAACAAGTATACTTTTGTGATGAAATGGATTACTTTTGTGGTTTTTTTTTTTTTTAAATGGATTACTTTAGTGGGTTTTTTTTGGTAACATCTTTGAATGTTCTTTCTTGATTGCAGCCCATCTTACTCTGTCGATTCCCAGCAGAGATTAAATCCTTCTACATGCAGCGTTGTCCAGAGGACCGTAGGCTGACGGAATCTGTGAGTTATCAATCTCGTATCTGGGGCCTTCTATAAATGTAGGATCCTTAAGCCCCAGTCACACATTTACAGTTTGGAGCTACGGATATCCACAGTTTAAAAGTGGTAGTGAACCGTGGGAGTACCGTACTCATCCGTAGTACCTCCGTGATTATCCGTCATCTTCCTTGGGTATTCGTGAAGGGGCTACGGTCGTTTGAAACTGTTCATAACCTCCGTGGTGAACCGTCATGAAAATTAATCTGCAGTACAACCGTGGGACATTCGTAGGACAACCGTATTCATTCGTAGTGTTATTTTGTGGCTAATCGTACGTATTCTTTGAGATTCGTAGCTCATTCGTGGTAGAAATCTCTATGAATTCGCTACGGATGTCCTAAATATGCCGTGATATGCTAGGATTCTGCGAAGGCTATACCGAACATCATCCTTGGCTCCCGGTTTTAATGAACAAAACGTACCGAACATCGTTGTTAAAAAAGTCAACAGATTAACAAAAAAACTACCGGTTGTAAACGTATTAAACACTGTTGGGCCACTTTTAATTCCCGAACACCCATGGTTACATCGTGTTTGAATGTTAAAAGCGATACATGGCTATTATTTACTCAAGGATTAAAAGGGAAAACTACCCGTTGATAAACGTTTGTGACAACTCCTCGTTCGGCCGCGGGATGTGAGAAATGCCAGTTCAGTGACTTCACTATTGGTCAAAAGAGGGTACCAGTGGTTCAAAATCGCTATACAAAACGATTGTTATTACGAACACTTTCTTTAGATCCCACGATGTTCGTTATAGCGGCATTCCACTGTAATACATAAATATGTATGCTTTATTCGTAGGAGAACCTTGGTCATCAGTGGCCCAATCGCAGACAACCGTGGCGTTAACGTCATTATTCTTATTTGATATTCTTCCACAATCTGTCCATATTTTTGACAAACCATGGTGTATTCGTAGAGAAACCTTAGAACAGTCATATCTATCCGTCCTGAAACGGAAGTGCATTCTTAGAAAGTGGATTTCTCCACGAGCCTCGACGGTTCATCGTGATGGATTGATTCTTGGTAAACCGTGGATATTCGTAGGTACAACCGTTAGTGTTTGACTGGGGCTTCAGTGTGACATTTTTCACGTCCCTGTTGCATTGGCACACTGTAATTTCATCACAGATTTTACAAAGAGCCACACTTCTGGATTTTGAAGAAAAAACATTTTTGAAATAATCGCAAGAGAAGTTCAGCCTATTTCAAAACTGCAAAAACTACTACTTTGCAACACCTTTGTGCAGTAAGAAAACATTCACATGATTCTTTGAAAGGTAAACGTTTATGTAAACCCAGTAATTAAAATCAGCACAATAGTTAATTAGCCAAACTTGATTAGTAAAGATGTGTGTCCCTTCGTGGAAACGAAAATCCATGTTTCCTACATGTAGGCCCTTTATGTTCAATTTGTTTTTCCATAGGGAAGAAGCGCGCGTAACTGATAATGTAATACAGATGTGTGGCTCTTCGTGAAAACGAAGATCTCACATGACCTACTTTTACACCTTTTCACCGAATACGTTTTGTACCCGTTCATGGGCACCTATGTTCATGTCTCTTCGTGAAAATGCAAAGTGCACTAATTGAGATGCCTGCCCCTTGCATCATTAATGTAATTGAGAAATTAATTATGTTTGCTTAATACGGAGGCATGTCAAAATGGTTAAGTACGATGTTTTAAAGCTAAATAGTAAAACTAAATAGTACAAAAAACTACAAGTCCAAAAATTATGGCCTAACAATCTGTCTGTCAGATTCTCCGACACCGTTAAGACAGAGAAAAGAGCAGTCGTGTGTCAGCAAATGTCAACGTTAACTGGTAGTTTTTCTCTGTCTGTTTGTCAGTCCGGACATCTGTGTGTCTGTTTGTTTGTCGTCTTATCATTTGTTCTTGTTCTTATCTCAGGTTGACGTTCTGATGCCCAACGTTGGCGAGATCGTTGGCGGATCTATGAGGATCTGGGATTACGATGAGCTGATGGCGGCGTATAAGTCTGCCAAGATTGATCCCACACCGTATTACTGGTACACGGACCAGGTAACATCAACTTATGTACTCCCTTTTAAAATGAATTCCATTTTTTAGGAAGGATCAGTTTTCACACTTTAACAAATTCTCGGCTGCTTTCAATTTGCATTAATCACTTCTTGAAAAATAAACCGGTATGAATGGACTTAATAAATGACCAACATTCAAAGCCAGAAGCCATCGACACAGTTGAACCAAAGCATCTTCCTGGCATTCTACTTACTTGAGATAACGCTTGTGGATTGCGGTAACTTTAGTGGTAAAAGGAGTGTTGAGTGCACCAGGGGCAAGTTCAATCTAGGACCAATGGTTAACTAGTGGTTGGTTGGCATGCGCACTGAAATTAAAGTGCGAACAACTCTAGTCATTGTACTAGCGAGTCACATGGTACTTTCTATTTTTGCTGTCTTTCAGAGGACAGTCAAAAGTACTATACCCGTAGCAACCAAAGTACTATACCATTAGCAACCCAAGTACTATACCATGGCGCGGTATTATTTTGTGTGCAAATGCATCCTGGTGTGCGCGTTGCGCATAACGCGTATTGTTCCCAAGAGAGAGTGCCTCAGAGTTGGATTCAAACGTTTTGTGAAGGGGTGGTTTGGAAGAGAGAAGTACAGTTCCCACCAATTTTGTATTGAAATAGAAGTTCATTTTAACTGTGTTCAGATTTAAATAATTTAAAATATTAAACACCAAGCAGAATCTGTGGGTGAAGTGTTATGAAACAAATATTGAATGCGTTATCTCGTGGTGAAGTAAAACTAGCATCCGTCGATGGTCGATGGAGCATTTAATTTTCCCTTGGCTTCGCCTCGGGAAAATAGAATGTCCATGGATAACCTGAGGCGGCTAAATTTACTAAACCACTCGAAGCATTCCGTCTTTGTATACTGTGATCCTTGATTGAATCTGGTTCCATTTAATGGCCTCTAGTTTAACCAAATGTGTGCGTAATGAAGAATTCTTGTGTTTATTCCCTCCACAGAGGAAGTACGGTACCTGTCCTCATGGAGGCTACGGTCTCGGACTGGAACGATTCTTGACCTGGATCCTAAACCGCATGCACATCAGGGACGTCTGCTTCTACCCACGTTTCATAGAACGATGCACGCCATAGATGCGTCAACACGTCGCCTTCAATTCCTGATTCTAAGCATTGCTTATTTGTGTGGGAAGTAAGGAGTAGTTGATAAAGGGCGGGGCTAAGTTGGTCAAGAGGGGGTGATTGTGTGCCCTAGGACCAAATTCCTAGAGATAATTTTGCCATTGTATTGTAATGTATTTCTTCAAGGTGAAGTGTTAAACTTTCTTCAAAGATCGCTCTTTTAGTTTCAAGTATTTTTTTTGTCCAAAACTCATTACAAATTGCAGTATTGCAGTTTTAAATTTTCTTCAAAGCTCGCTCTTTTAGATTCAAGTCATCTTGTTTTTTGACCAAAACTCAACAAATTGCAAAGGGTTAACCTTACATTTTTTATGAAAATTTTGCCAAAATAGGACTTGCCTCCAAATGACTCAGAAATGCCCTACAATGTAAGATGAGTTTCAATCAATGTTCAAAAAAACATTATTATGAAGATTTGAACGAAAATTACTGGTTTATTGATTGGGGACAAAAGTTATCATTTGTGACCGCGATTTCCCCCACATGTTTGACGCGATTATCTGTGGAATGGAATATCTGACCAGAAATCGTGTTGGAATTTGGTCTCAAGTACTTTAAGCCAAAAAAAAGGCTACGGTTTCTGGTATGCGCTCGCGTGTCACCGTAGCCATGCGCATCGGCAAAATAAGATGTTGTCTCAAAACCGCCAAACTCACTGGTTTGTCTGGAATCCTGCTACTGCACAATTTCAACGTGCTTTTAGATGGGCTTACAATCGAGCATAATCTTTATGTTGCCCCTTTGGGCTCACATATTTTGCACTAAATTTAATCGGGCACCATTTGCAGTCATCAGCCGATATTTGAAGGAAAAAAACAAGTAATTTTTCTGAAAATGCAGCATTGCCGCACCAATTTTGGGGCAAGCTCCATACCAGAAACCAAAGAATTATTTTTTTTGGCCGTACGCAATTTTCTTGCAAGTTTAAAGCAATATAGTTTTTTTTGCCAGAATTAAAATAGAATACGCTTTTACTAAAATTTTCCCAAAAGATGATTTCTCAAAATAATAGTCCATTCTTTGAACTTTATCATGTTTTCTTAATAAATTCCTTCTAAAATATTCTCAATAACATGTATTGTAATCAACTGCTGAATAGTTACTCTAATTTCTCATTCAGCTGCACGTATGTGTCAAATATTATCATGTATCACTTCAAGTATCTTTCTTTCCTTTCAACTGGGTATGTAACTGTCTAAAACAAATATATCAGAATGCAAAACATGTTTTTCTCATAAAGAAAATTATGTCACATTTTTGTTCAAATTGTCCGTTATTCCCACTGATAAAAATCCATGTTCAAAGCTTTTGAGGAGATATATTCTTTTTTCTTTTCAGAACTCAGAATTTACATTCTTGAATTGGTTTTTCAAAAATGTCATATCTATCACAAGCCCACAATTTATTGTTCCATTTTGCACTCTTCAACTATACTTCAAATATACAGTAGACGAGAACTCTATTTAAATATACTTGCCATCCCTCTTGTTTTTAAATTGCAAAACTTAGACGTTATTGCCCTCTTTAAAGTAAATGGATCTGCTCAAAGTATGTACAAGTATGTTTAATCAAAGTTACGAAAGGAAATTTGAACTGCATGTGACAGTACAATTTTTTGTAAACATTGTTTCAATTTGTCTAACAAATATTGGTGTCAAAATTCACGCTCTTGTTTTTGGAAATGATTGCATTTTTTTCAATGATTGGTACAAAGTCAACACTGGATTTGTTTGTCTTGTTTTATTTCTTCCTATAATTAAAATGATTTTCAAGTTTAAGGTTTTTGGAATGAATGGATTTAATAAAATTGCAAAGTGCAACAACTAAGCTCTATATTTTTTAAGTGTGACATTTAAAGTATTTCCGAGTTTTATTACCTTTCATTTTTTTTTCAACAAAAAACTTTTCTCCAAACGACTCCGAAACCTCTTTTGATGTGAAAGAAACAATAAATAGTGTTTTAAACGTGAAAAATTCAAATGAAGCAATGTTCATGGCAAAAAAAGACACAACTTCTTTTTGAGCAATAACCCTAAATTCCAAAGATGTTGCTCTGTTTCTTTTTTTTTCATGGCCATTTTACCCGAACCCTTGTCAACTAAACAATTCTGTTATTTTCGCACAGAGAGAATGTACCCACAGGTTTAATCATTCAATAGAGGGCTCGCCACATGCACAGTAGTCGCTCAAGCGAGAGGTAACGGGTTTGAGACCCGCTGAGTACCCGGCAGCGCATTTTAATTAATTTTACTTGATAAATATTTCTATAAAAACGGGTAAAATGCCATTTTATTTCGTTTTATATAGTACCCTTATCAAAAATGGCACGAAAGTACATTTCCATCTAAAATTCATTATGGTAAGGGGTTAGCATTGCATATTTTTCAATCAAAAATGGTACGAACGTCAATTTTCATCAAAAGTTCATGTGGTGAGGGGTTCAATATGGTGTTAGCATTGCATTTTTATCAAAAATGGTTCGACATCAAAACTTCATGTGGTAAGTGGTTAGCCTTGCTTAAATATTCAATAAAAGCACGAGAGAAAAATTCAAAACGGAATTTGATCGCCCCTAAGTAACGTACCACTAGAATCGACCATCAACAGTCGCCCCCAGAGGTACGTACCGCTAGAGGCGACCATCAATACTCGCCCCCAGCGGTACGTACCGCTAGAATCGACCATCAACAGTCGCCCCCAGAGGTACGTACCGCTAGAGGCGACCATCAATACTCGCCCCCAGCGGTACGTACCGCTAGAGGCGATCATCAACAGTCGCCCCCAGCGGTACGTACCGCCGGAGGCGACCATCAACAGTCGCCCCCAGCGGTACGTACCGCTTGAGGCGACCATCAATAGTCGCCCCCAGCGGTACGTACCGCTAGAGGCGATCATCAACAGTCGCCCCCATCGGTACGTACCGCCGGAGGCGACCATCAACAGTCGCCCCCAGCGGTACGTACCGCTTGAGGCGACCATCAATAGTCGCCCCCAGCGGTACGTACCGCTGGAGGCGACCATCAACGAGTCGCCCCCAGAGGTCCGTACCGCTAGAGGCGATCAACCGACGCCCCTAGCGGTACGTACCGCTGGAGGCGACCATCAACAGTCGCCCCCAGCGGTACGAGAGAAAAATTCAAAACGGAATTTGATCGCCCCTAAGTAACGTACGACTAGATTCGACCATCAACAGTCGCCCCCAGAGGTACGTACCGCTAGAGGCGACCATCAATACTCGCCCCCAGCGGTACGTACCGCTAGAGGCGATCATCAACAGTCGCCCCCAGCGGTACGTACCGCCGGAGGCGACCATCAACAGTCGCCCCCAGCGGTACGTACCGCTTGAGGCGACCATCACTAGTCGCCCCCAGCGGTACGTACCGCTAGAGGCGACCATCAATAGTCGCCCCCAGCGGTACGTACCGCTGGAGGCGACCATCAACGAGTCGCCCCCAGAGGTCCGTACCGCTAGAGGCGATCAACCGACGCCCCTAGCGGTACGTACCGCTGGAGGCGACCATCAATAGTCGCCCCCAGCGGTACGTCCTGCTAGAGGCGACCATCACTGATAGTCGCCCCCAGCAGTACGTACCGCTGGAGGCGACCATCAACTAGTCGCCCCTAGAGGTACAGGTACATTGCACCTAGAGTAACGTACCACCCCCCCCCCCCCCCCCCCCCCGCCGTAACAAATATCTGGGGCGACCATTTATAGTCGCCCCTAGAGGTATGTACCCAATATATAACTGGAAGTCTGAGTACCGTATTGCTGGACGAGGGAACTATATAAAAAAAAAAAATAGAAATGGCATTTTACTCTTTTTAATAAAAATTATTATCAAGTAAAAATGAATAAAATACACCACTTGGCGCGCGTGTGCTATTCTGCCAAGGTTTTTCAATCAATAGTCGCCCCCAGCGGTACGTACCGCCAGAGGCGACCATCAATAGTGCCCCCACCGGTACGTACCGCTTGAGGCGACCATCAATAGTCGCCCCCAGCGGTACGTACGTACCGCTAGAGGCGATCAACAGGGTACTATATAAAATATCAATAGTGGCCCCCAGCGACTGTTGCAAAGGTTTGTTGATGGTCGCCTCTAGCGGTACGTACGTACCGCTTTGATGGTCGTACCGACTATTGATGGTCGCCTCTACGAAAAACCTTGGCAGAATAGCACACGCGCGCCAAGATTTTGTTGCGCAATAACTTTATACAGTCGCCCCCCCCCCCCCCCCCCCCCCCGCGGTACGTACCGCTAGAGGCGACCATCAATAGTCGCCCCCAGCGGTACATACCGCTAGAGGCGACCATCAACAGTCGCCCCCAGCGGTACGTACCGCTGGAGGCGACCATCAACTGGTCGCCCCTAGAGGTACAGGTACATTGCACCTAATGTAACGTACCACCCCCCCCCCCCCCCCCCCCCCCCACCGGAACGAATATCTGGGGCGACCATTTACAGTCGCCCCTAGAGGTATGTACCCAATATATAACTGGGAGTCTGAGTACCGTATTGCTGGACGAGGGTACTATATAAAATAAAATAAAATAAAAATGGCATGTTACTCTTTTTAATAAAAATAATTATCAAGTAAAAATCAATAAATACGCCACTTGGTACTCAGTACCTGAGTTTGTTGGGTTCAAAATATAAAGTTATTGCGCGTGTGTGCTATTCTGCCAAGGTTTTTCGTGGGAACTGGAGGTGACCGCTGGAGGCGACCATCAACAGTCACCCCCAGCTGGGGGCGACTATTGATGGTCGCCTCTCTCTCTCAGGTTGCCTACCAGTGGGCTATTGCGCTCTGTTTGCATACCCCCCCCCCCCGCCGGAACGAATATCTGGTGCGACCATTTGTAGTCGCCCCTAGAGGTATGCACCCAATATAACTGGGAGTCTGAGTACCGTATTGCTGGGCGAGGGTACTTTATAAAATAAAATAAAATAGAAATGCCATGTTACTCTTTTTAATAAAAATAATTATCATGTAAAAATCAATAAATACGCCACTTGGTACTCAGTACCTGAGTTTGTTGGGTTCAAAATATAAAGTTATTGCGCGTGTGTGCTATTCTGCCAAGGTTTTTCGTGGGAACTGGAGGTGACCGCTGGAGGCGACCATCAACAGTCGCCCCCAGCTGGGGGCGACTATTGATGGTCGCCTCTCTCTCTCAGGTTGCCTACCAGTGGGCTATTGCGCTCTGTTTGCATACCCCCCCCCCCCCCCGCCGGAACGAATATCTGGTGCGACCATTTGTAGTCGCCCCTAGAGGTATGCACCCAATATAACTGGGAGTCTGAGTACCGTATTGCTGGGCGAGGGTACTTTATAAAATAAAATAAAATAGAAATGCCATGTTACTCTTTTTAATAAAAATAATTATCATGTAAAAATCAATAAATACGCCACTTGGTACTCAGTACCTGAGTTTGTTGGGTTCAAAATATAAAGTTATTGCGCAACAAAATCTTGGCGCGTGTGTGCTATTCTGCCAAGGTTTTTCGTGGGAACTGGAGGTGACCGCTGGAGGCAACCATCAACAGTCGCCCCCAGCGGTACGTACCGCTGGAGGCGACCATCAATATTCGCCCCCAGCGGTACGTTCGTACCGCTAGAGGCGACCATCAATAGTCGCCCCACGCGGTACGTACGTACCGCTAGTGGCGATCAACAGTCGCCCCCAGCAGTACGTACCGCTGGAGGCGGTCAACAGTCGCCCCAGCGGTACGTACCGCTGGAGGAAACCATCAACAGTCGCCCACAGCGGTACGTACCGCTGGAGGAAACCACCAACAGTCGCCCATAGCGGTACGTAACGCTTGAGGCGACACATCAATAGTCGCCCCCAGCGGTACGTAACGCTTGACATTAGAGACACACTCTCGGAAAAAATGGTTCGGATAACATTGTTAACTTATTTCTTATGATGGGACTGCGGTTTGGCCGAAGTCAATTGAGCGTGATCGGCTGACTGATAAGGTTTACGTACAAAACCCCAAGACAACGAGGTTTTTGTATAGAAAGCTGCTGGACCACATTTTGCGAGAGTGTGTCCGTAATGCTTGAAGCCTGCCGGTAATGCTGAGCCTGCATACTGCCAAAGTTACAAGTGGCATCCCTACATGATTTTCTCGTGCAAATAGGACCCATTTTGGACCCTAATTTTATCAAATCTGCTCTAAGATAATAGCCCAAAAGCTAGGGAGATGATCCTCGGCTATATTCGCACGATTCCACCGATTTTTAAACTAGACGGTCTCGTTTTTTGCAAAAAATTGTGGGGGCACTTTTTATGCAAATTTACGACGCGGACGCGTAGAAATTTTGAAACCCTAATCAAATTTATTGCGCCCGCTGTTGGTCTTATTGCGCCATTCTGATATATCTTCTAATTAGCCCCCCCCCCCCCTACAGCCACCCCCCCCCCCCCACCACCACACCGAAAAATAATGGTAATTAAATACTGTTAAAAATGTGCTCGTTTATTCAGAAATTCATGAAGCATATTCAAACTGATTGGATGTTTCCAAAGTGTCTTTCCCATTTGCAAAAGTTCTTTTTAAAAGCCCATCAACCATTAGAGACACACTCTCGGAAAAAATGGTTCGGATAACATTGTTAACTTATTTCTTATGATGGGACTGCGGTTTGGCCGAAGTCAATTGAGCGTGATCGGCTGACTGATAAGGTTTACGTACAAAACCCCAAGACAACGAGGTTTTTGTATAGAAAGCTGCTGGACCACATTTTGCGAGAGTGTGTCCGTAATGGAGGCGACCATCAATAGTCGCCCCCAGCGGTAGGAACCGCTAGAGGCGACCATCAATAGTTGATCGCCTCTAGCGGTACGTACGTACCGCTGGAGGCGACTATTGATGGTCACCTCTAGCGGTACGGACCTCTGGGGGCGACTAGTTGATGGTCGCCTCCAGCTGTACGTACCGCTGGGGGCGACTATTGATGGTTGCCTCTAGCGGTACGTACGACTATTGATGGTCGCCTATAGCGGTACGTACCGCTGGGGGCGACTATTGATGGTCACCTCTAGCGGTACGTACGACTATTGATGGTCGCCTATAGCGGTACGTACCGCTGGGGGCGACTATTGATGGTTGCCTCAAGTGGTACGTACCGCTGGGGGCGACTGTTGATGGTTTCCTCCAGCGGTACGTACCGCTGGGGCGACTGTTGAACGCCTCCAGCGGTACGTACTTCTGGGGGCGACTGTTGATCGCCTCTAGCGGTACGTACGTACCGCTGGAAGCGACTATTGATGGTCGCCTCTAGCGGTACGTACCGCTGGGGGCGACTGTTGATGGTCGCCTCCAGCGGTCGCCTACAGTTGCCACGAAAAACCTTGGCAGAATAGCACACGCGCGCCAAGATTTTGTTGCCCAATAACTTTATATTTTAAATCCAACAAATTAAGGTATGGAAACATACAGCCCAGTGGTAGGCAACCTGAGAGAGAGAGGTAGGCAACCTGGTCGGTGCTCAACCGAGAGGTCCGGGTTGGAGACCCACTGAGTACCAAGTGGCGTATTTTATTCATTTTTACTTGATAATTATTTTTATTAAAAAGAGTAAAATGCCATTTCTATTTTCTTTTCTTTTATATAGTCCTCGTCCAGCGATACGGTACTCAGACTCCCAGTTATATATTGGGTACATACCTCTAGGGGCGACTATAAATGGTCGCCCCAGATATTCGTTCCGGCGGGGGGGGGGGGGGGGGGGTACGTTACTCTAGGTGCAATGTACCTGTACCTCTAGGGGCGATGGTCGCCTCCAGCGGTACGTACCGCTGGGGGCGACTGTTGATGGTCGCCTCTAGCGGTACGTACCGCTGGGGACGACTATTGATGGTCACCTCTAGCGGTACGTACCGCTGGGGGCGACTATTGATGGTCGCCTCTAGCGGTACGTACCGCTGGGGGCGACCATCAACAGTCGCCCCCAGCGGTACGTACCGCTGGAGGCGACCATCGCCCCTAGAGGTACAGGTACATTGCACCTAGAGTCAACGTACTGTTGACTGGTCGCCTCTAGCGGTGCGGACCTCTGGGGGCGACTAGTTGATGGTCGCCTCCAGCGGTACGTACCGCTTGGGGCGACTATTGATGGTCGCCTCTAGCGGTACGTACCGCCGGGGGCGATTGTTGATGGTCGCCTCCAGCGGTACGTACCGCTAGGGGCGACGGTTGATCGCCTCTAGCGGTACGGACCTCTGGGGCGACTCGTTGATCGTCGCCTCCAGCGGTACGTACCGCTGGGGGCGACTATTGATGGTCGCCTCTAGCGGTACGTACCGCTGGGGGCGACTATTGATGGTCGCCTCAAGCGGTACGTACCGCTGGGGGCGACTGTTGATGGTCGCCTCAAGCGGTACGTACCGCTGGGGGCGACTGTTGATGGTCGCCTCTAGCGGTACGTACCGCTGGGGCGAGTATTGATGGTCGCCTCTAGCGGTACGTACCTCTGGGGGTGACTGTTGATGGTCGCCTCTAGCGGTACGTTACTTAGGGGCGACCAAATTCCGTTTTGAATTTTTTCTCTCGTGCTTTTATTGAATATTTAAGCAAGGCTAACCCCTTACCACATGAAGTTTTGATGTTGAACCATTTTTGATAAAAATGCAATGCTAACACCATATTGAATCTTTGATGACAATTGACTTTCGTGCCATTTCCTGCATTAAACGCAAGGCTTACCCCTCACCACATGATCTTTTGATGAAAATTGACGTTCGTACCATTTTTGATTTAAAAAAATGCAATGCTAACCCCTTACCATAGTGAATTTTAGATGGAAATGTACTTTCGTGCCATTTTTGATAAGGGTACTATATAAAACGAAATAAAATGGCATTTTACCCGTTTTTATAGAAATAATTATCAAGTAAAAATAATTAAAATGCGCTGCCGGGTACTCAGCGGGTCTCAAACCCGTTACCTCTCGCTTGAGCGACTACTGTGCATGTGGCGAGCCCTCTATTGAATGATTAAACCTGTGGGTACATTCTCTCTGTGCGAAAATAACAGAATTGTTTAGTTGACAAGGGTTCGGGTAAAATGGCCATGGAAAAAAAGAAACAGAGCAACATCTTTGGAATTTAGGGTTATCGCTCGAAAAGAAGTTGTCTTTTTTTGCCATGAACATTGCTTCACTTGAATTTTCACGTTTAAAACACTATTTATTGTTTCTTTCACATCAAAAGAGGTTTCAGAGTCGTTTGGAGAAAAGTTTTTTGTTGAAAAAAAAATGAAAGGTAATAAAACTCGGAAATACTTTAAATGTCACACTTAAAAAATATAGAGCTTAGTTGTTGCACTTTGCAATTTTATTAAATCCATTCATTCGAAAAACCTTAAACTAGAAAATCATTTTAATTATAGGAAGAAATAAAACAAGACAAACAAATCCAGTGTTGACCTTGTGACAATCATTGAAAAAAATGCAATCATTTCCAAAAACAAGAGCGTGAATTTTGACACCAATATTTGTTAGACAAATTGAAACAATGTTTACAAAAAATTGTACTGTCACATGCAGTTCAAATTTCCTTTCGTAACTTTGATTAAACATACTTGTACATACTTTGAGCAGATCCATTTATATTAAAGAGGGCAATAACGTCTAAGTTTTGCAATTTAAAAACAAGAGGGATGGCAAGTATATTTAAATAGAGTTCTCGTCTACTGTATATTTGAAGTATAGTTGAAGAGTGCAAAATGGAACAATAAATTGTGGGCTTGTGATAGATATGACATTTTTGAAAAACCAATTCAAGAATGTAAATTCTGAGTTCTGAAAAGAAAAAAGAATATATCTCCTCAAAAGCTTTGAACATGGATTTTTATCAGTGGGGATAACGGACAATTTAAACAAAAATGTGACATAATTTTCTTTTCTTTATGAAAAAAACATGTTTTGCATTCAAATATTTTTGTTTTAGACAGTTACATACCCAGTTGAAAGGAAAGAAAGATACTTGAAGTGATACATGATAATATTTGACACATGAATGAGAAATTAGAGTAACTATTCAGTATTTGATTACAAGTACATGTTATTGAGAATATTTTAGAAGGAATTTCTTAAGAAAACATGATAAAGTTCAAAGAATGGAATATTGTTTTGAGAAATCATCTTTTGGGAAAATTTTATTTAAAATGTATTCTTTTTAATTCTGGCAAAAAAAATGAGCTTGCTTTAAACTTGCAGGAAAATTGCCTAAGGGCAAGGCCAAAAAAATAAGTCTTCGGTTTCTTGCCCCCAAATTGGTGCAGCAACGCAGCATTTTAAAATTTTTACTAGTTTTTTTTCCAAATGTCGGCTGATGACTGCAAATGGTGCCCGATTAAATTTAGTGCAAAATATATGTGAGCGCAAATGGGCAACAAAAAGTTTATACTTGATCGTAACCCCATCTAAAAACACGTTAAAATTGTGCAGCAGCAGGATTCAAACCAGTGAGTTTGGCGGTTTTGAGACAACATCTTACAATGAAAATTTATACTAATTTTGCCAATGCGCATGGCTACGATGACACGCGAGCGCATACCAGAAACCGGAGGCTTTTTTTTTTGCCTAAAGAACTTGAGACCAAATTCCAACACGATTTCTGGTCAGATATTCCATTCAACAGATAATCGCGTCAAAAATGTAGGGGAAATCGTGGTCACAAAATATGATTTTTTTTTCCCCAATCAATAAACCAGTAATTTTTGCTCAAACCTTCATAATAATAGTTTTTTGAACATTGATTGAAACTCGTCTTACATTGTAGGGCATTTCTGAGTCATTTGGGGGCAAGTCCTGTTTTGGCAAAAATTTCATAAAAAACGTAAGGTTAACCCTTTGCAATTTGTTGAGTTTTGGTCAAAAAACAAAATGACTTGAATCTAAAAGAGCGAGCTTTGAAGAAAATTTAAAACTGCAATACTGCAATTTGTAATGAGTTTTGGTAAAAAAAAATACTTGAAACTAAAAGAGCGATCTTTGAAGAAAGTTTAACACTTCACCTTGAAGAAATACACTACAATACAATGGCAAAATTATCTCTAGGAATTTGGTCTAAGGGCACACAATCACCCCCTCTTGACCAACTTAGCCCCGCCCTTTATCAACTACTCCTTACTTCCCACACAAATAAGCAATGCTTAGAATCAGGAATTGAAGGCGACGTGTTGACGCATCTATGGCGTGCATCGTTCTATGAAACGTGGGTAGAAGCAGACGTCCCTGATATGCATGCGGTTTAGGATCCAGGTCAAGAATCGTTCCAGTCCAAGACCGTAGCCTCCGTGAGGACAGGTACCGTACTTCCTCTGTGGAGGGAATAAACACAAGAAATCTTCATTACGCACAAATTTGGTTAAACTAGAGGCCATTAGATGGAACCAGGTTCAATCAAGGACCATAGTATACAAATATAGAATGCTTCGAGTGGTGTAGTAAATCTAGCCGCCTCAGGTTATCCATGGACATTCTATTTTCCCGAGGCGAAGCCAAGGGAAAATTAAATGCTCCATGGATCATCGACGGATGCTAGTTTTACTTCACCACGAGATAAAGCATTCAATATCTGTTTCATAACACTTCACCGACAAATTCTGCTTGGTTTTTAATATTTCAAATTATTAAAATCTGAACACAGTTAAAATGAACTTCTATTTCAATACAAAATAGGTGGGAAACGTATTTCTCTCTTCCAAACGTGGTTTGAAACCACCCCTTCACAAAACGCTGGAATCCAACTCTGTGGCGCACTCTCTTGGGAACAATATGCGCTATGCGCAACGCGCACACCAGCATGCATTTGCACACAAAATAATACCGCGCCATGGTAAAGTACTTTGGTTGCTAATGGTACAGTACTTTGGTTGCTACAGGTATAGTACTTTTGGCTGTCCTCTGAAAGACAGCAAAAATAGAAAGTACCATGTGACTCGCTAGTACAATGACTAGAGTTGTTCGCACTTTAATTTCAGAGCGCATGCGCTACGTACGTCACCAACCAACCACTTGTTAACCATTGGTCCTAGGTTGAACTTGCCCCTAGGTTGAACTTGCCCCTAGGTTGAACTTGCCCCTAGGTTGAACTTGCCCCTAGGTTGAACTTGCCCCTGGTGCACTCAATACTCCTTTTACCAATAAAGTTACCGAAATCTGCAAGCGTATCTCAATTTAGTAGAATGCCAGGAAAATGCTTGTAAAAAAACAACCATGGTTCAATCACATCGATGGCTTCTGGCTTTGAATGTTGGTCATTGGATAAGTCCATTCATACCGGTTTATTTTTCAAGAAGTGATTAATGCAAATTGAAAGCAGCCGAGAATTTGTTAAAGTGTGAAAACTGATCCTTCCTAAAAAATTGGAATTCATTGGAAAAGGGAGTACATAAGCTGACGTTACCTGGTCCGTGTACCAGTAATATGGTGTGGGATCAATCTTGGCTGACTTATACGCCGCCATCAGCTCATCGTAATCCCAGATCCTCATAGATCCGCCAACGATCTCCCCGACGTTGGGCATCAGAACGTCAACCTGAGATAAGAACAAGAACAAATGATAAGACGACAAACAAACAGACACACAGATGTCTGGACTGACAAACAGACAGAGAAAAACTACCAGTTAACGATGACATTTGCTGACACATGACTGCTCTTTTCTCTGTCTTAACGGTGTCAGAGAATCTGACAGACAGATTGTTAGGCCATAATTTTTGGACTTGAAGTTTTTTTTACTATTTAGTTTTACTATTTAGCTTTAAAACATCGTACTTGACCATTTTGACATGCCTCCGTATTAAGCAAACATAATTAATTTCTCAATTACATTAATGATGCAAGGGGCAGGCATCTCAATTAGTGCATTTTGCATTTTCACGAAGAGACATGAACATAGGTGCCCATGAACGCGTACAAAACGTATTCGGTGGAAAGGTGTAAAAGTAGGTCATGTCAGATCTTCATTTTCACGAAGAGCCACACATCTTTATTACATTATCAGTTACGCGCGCTTCTTCCCTATGGAAAAACACATTGAACAGAAAGGGCCTACATGTAGGAAATATGGATTTTCGTTTCCACGAAGGGACACACATCTTGACTAATCAATTTTGGCTAATTAACTATTGTGCTGATTTTAATTACTGGGTTTACATAAACGTTTACCTTTCAAAGAATCATGTGAATGTTTTCTTACTGCATAAAGGTGTTGCGAAGTAGTAGTTTTTGCAGTTTTGAAATAGGCGGAACTTCTCTTGCGATTATCTCGAAAATGTTTTTTCTTCAAAATCCAGAAGTGTGGCTTTTTGTGAAAACGGTGATGAAATTACAGTGTGCCAATGCAACAAGGAAGTGAAAAATGTCGCACTGAAGCCCCAGTCAAACACTAACGGTTGGACCTACGAATATCCACGGTTTACCAAGAATCAATCCATCACGATGAACCATCGAGGCTCGTGGAGAAATCCACTTTCTAAGAATGCACTTCCGTTTCAGGACGGATAGCTACGACTGTTCTAAGGTTTCTCTACAAATACACCATGGTTTGTCAAAAATATGGACAGATTGTGGAAGAATATCAACGGTATTACTAAGAATAATGACGTTAACGCCACGGTTGTCTGCGATTGGGCCACTGATGACCAAGGTTCTCCTACGAATAAAGCATACATATTTGTATTACAGTGGAATGCCGCTATAACGAACATCGTGGGATCCAAAGAAAGTGTTCGTAATAACAATCGTTTGGTATAGCGATTTTGAACCGCTGGTACCCTCATTTGACCGATAGTGAAGTCACTGAACTGGCATTTCTCACATCCCGTGGCTGAACGAGGAGTTGTCACAAACGTTTAGCAACGGGCGGTTTCCCTTTAATCCTTGAGTAAATAATAGCCATGTATCGCTCTTCAACATTCAAAACATGATGTAACCATGGGTGGTTTGATGTTCGGGAATTAAAAGTGGCCCAACAGTGTTTAATACATGTACAACCGGTAGGTTTTTTTTTTTTTAAATGATGTTCGGTATGTTTTGTACATTAAAACCAGAGCCAAGGATGATGTTTGGTATAGCCGAATGTTCGGTACAGCAGTGTTCGGTATAGCGGCGTTCCACTGTACAACCTTTGCAGAATCCTAGCATATCCGGGCATATACAGGACATTCGTAGCAAATTCATAGAGATTTCTACCACGAATGAGCTAAGAATCTCCAAGAATACGTAGGAATTATGACGGTTCACCCCGAAAGTTATGAACAGTTTAAAACCTCTGTAGCCCCTCCACGAATACCCAAGGAAGATGACAGATAATCACGGAGGTACTAAGGATGAGTACGGTACTCCCACGGTTCACTACCACTTTTAAACTGTGGATATCCGTAGCTCCAAACTGTAAATGTGTGAATGGGGCTTAAGGATCCTACATTTATAGAAGGACCCAGATACGAGATTGATAACTCACAGATTCCGTCAGCCTACGGTCCTCTGGACATCGCTGCATGTAGAAGGATTTAATCTCTGCTGGGAATCGACAGAGTAAGATGGGCTGCAATCAAGAAAGAACATTCAAAGATGTTACCAAAAAAAACCCACAAAAGTAATCCATTTAAAAAAAAAACCCACAAAAGTAATCATTTCATTACAAAAGTATACTTGTTGCGGCATGGTAAAAGTGCAGCAAGTTTTATGCTGCATGTAGAAGGATTTAATCTCTGCTGGGAATCGACAGAGTAAGATGGGCTGCAATCAAGAAAGAACATTCAAAGATGTTACTGAAAAAAACCCACAAAAGTAATCCATTTAAAAAAAAAACCCACAAAAGTAATCCATTTCAGTACAAAAGTATACTTGTTGCGGCATGGTAACCGTGGAGGGATGACCACTGCCTGAATCCTGCAAAATCCTGCGGCAGTGACTGTCAATATGTTGAGACTTGGCCAGTGACATCCTGGAGCAGTACGGAGGATTTCAAGCATAATCCAGGCCTATATTTACGCATGGCTGAGCATAAACAACACACGGTCCGGCCCAAGACCTTGACAAAGATTCTTTGGCAAAGATTTTGAAGGATTCAGGGCGGTTAGGGTTAAGGAGATATTTACGTCATTACTTAGACCTTAGGGAGGCACCGGACATTAACCCTAAACAAACTCAACCCATCAAAGCCCAACAGCAGGTGTTGTCAGCAATCTATCAGAATGTCCAACAGTGTTTGTGTACGATTTCCCATGTGGGTGTTGGAATTTGCCGGAATGGGTATGGTTCCTAGTAAATTATGTAAGGGAGTTAAGGAGACATTTCAATGTCTCCCCAACGTCACAACTCCTATTTAGATGCAAAATTTTACCGACGCAAATAGGCTAGATCGATTGCTCATGGTCCAAAGCATAAATATACCAGAATTCGTGGGAGTAGGATAAGGGAAATTGGGGTTAGGGGTTATCAAAATTGGAAACATTTTGTCCACAACCCTATGGGAATGTCCCCCCAAGGCACCATTCCTCGTAATAATAATTATGACGTTATGAAATTCCTCTTTGATTTTTACCTCATTAATTTGGTCCGTCATCTTCCTTTCAGGAGCCTCGGGGATATCCTACAAACGACCGAAAACCAAAAACAAGATTTCATAAATGACTAAATCTTTTCAATTATAGATAGACTGTCATGTTTTAAGTCGTCGTCTAGACGGATTTTACCTATAGTGCCATCTCACTTGCTGGACATATTTTGTCTAATTTTTTTTTTTTTTTAACCATGGATGCTCACATGTTGTAACGAGTCACTGATTTTTGTGACTCGAGTCGAGTCGAGTCATTTTAAAGAAGTGACTCGAGTCGAGTCGAGTCATTAGGTCAAAAGGTCGAGTCGAGTCGAGTCAAATATTTTAGTTCGAGTCAATTCGAGTCTATATTTGAACACTATATACCAAAATTTATAAAAGGAGGCCATAAGTTTAGCCAACGTTCGAATCCAAGAGCTTTATAAGAAATCGCAGAAAACCAATAATGAAACAGCGAATCAGAAAATGTGTTTAAAAGTCTGGTTCCTGGATAGCATTTTGTGCGTTCTAGAACCATGAGGTGGGAGTCTGTGACATGTTGTATATTTGTACATGACTGCTATTCGCAAAGCGAAGTGAGCATAAATTTTGCACCGTAAGTCATTGCAAATACTTTTCGCAAAGTTGTGCTTTTATTTTTGGGACTCAAGTCTTATTAGCCTTCGCTCGAGCTGAGTCGAGTCTTCTGATGACGGACTCGAGTTGAGTCGAGTCATATGCTCGCAGTGACTCGAGTTGAGTCAAGTCATTTACCCTTAGGGACTCGAGTTGAGTCGAGTCTCCAAAATTGTGACTCGAGTCGGACTCGAGTCGAGTCATTGACTCGAGTCATTACAACTCTGGGATCAATCACAAACTGAGAAACTAATACATGCATTTGTTACTTCCCGATTGGATTATTGTAACAGTTTATTTTCTGGTTTACACGATTATCAGTTCAAGGAATTGCAACATATTCAGAATGCTACTGCACAACTTGTTAACAGTAGAAAGACGAATCGTCATGCAGATATGACACCCATACCTCAGAACTACATTGGCTTCCGGTTATGGTGCGGGTTGAATTCAACATCCTTTGTATTATTCTTAAACATATCCGCCGTGAGTCAGCGCCACAGTACTAAACTGAGTTGATATCAGCTCGTGTTTTCAACATTGACACTATAAATTGTGATGGGATTAAGCTCAACCTTCCTAAGGTTTGTTCAAAGCCTAGCAAGGCATACGGGTTCGTGCTTTTATCCTTCTATGCACCTACAGAGAAAAGGGATGTTTTGCCAAGCTTGACAAACCCAGTGGTTGAATGGTCAAGACGAGTCAGCAGGCGGTCACATGATCAAAACCCACTCAAGTATGTGAAGATTTTGTACAAGCTCAAAAGAGATTGAAGGTCAAGACTACCTCTCCAAATTCATAGAATGTTCCGTCATCTTTTCGGATGTCGTGTTCTTTAAGGTACGTGATGGCTTCGCTGTAATCCATCCGCCTGAACGGACGCTTGGGAGGCTTGAAATCCTGAAAAGATAAAAGTAGTAAAGACTTCTTTATTTAAGGAGCAGCATCTCCAACTCTCCTCAGTCTCCTGACGATGACTAGAGCAGGCTAGTTGAAACGTTGAGACCAAAGACAAGTTCTTTTAGAACTTAAAGGGAATAATTATTCAGAAATGAATGTGTTTTTTTGTTTACATAACCCCGAGGACAGACACACAAAGGGAAAACAACAGATCCTTTCAGTTCTTGGGAGTTGGGTCTTTTGTTAAAAACAGTCCTCTGTAGTAGGTTTGTGTACTTAGTCTACAGGAGAGTGTTATATTACAGGGACAAGGGAAAACACAAAGCATTGTCCTCGGGAGTACAGTAAAACAAGAGTGGGTGTGCGCACACTACATACACCCCAACGACAGACAGACAAACAGAGAACAACAGATTCTTTGTTGACCTCAATCATTCATTTTTATTGAAAACAGTCCTCGATGTGCGTTTATGTGCTTAATCTATGGGAGAGCAAACAATAAAAAAAAATGTTGGGACTATTGAAGTTCTGCATGCAGCACTTTCAAAATCTAGGATATGAAAGCCCAATTCATAAGATTTCTTTTAGCACAAGAATCATTCAAATCACTCATGTACTTTTCAAGTTACGGAATTTTAAACACAACCACCGTTTTAAAGTTCTGTCTACGTATCACATAAAAATAATTCACACACATGCAGATCCCCACGTGATTTGTTTTCCTTTTGTTATACTGTAAGAACATTACCTTTTCGTGATCCGTGGACAGAACTTAATAACGGTGGTTGTGTTTAAAATTCCGTAACTTGAAAAGTACATGGGTTATTTGAATGATTCTTGTACTAAAAGAAAGCTTATGAATTGGGCTTTCATATCCTAGATTATGCAAGTGCTACATGCAGAACTTCACTAAACTAAGAGTCCTGACATTTGGGTTTTACTTTTTTGGAATCACCCTGTATTACAGGGACATTGAAGGAAAACACAATAGGTTGCCCTTGGGCATTATCCTAAACACGACTGTGTTTTCTCTTGCTGTTTTTGGGGGACAAGGGAGTACAGTGGAAAGCTGCTATAACGAACAGCGTTGGATCCACAGAAAGTGTTTGTAATAATGATTGTTCGGTATAGCGATTTTGAACCGCCGGTACCCTCTTTTGACCAATAGTGAACTGGCATTTCTCACGAGTGGTTTTCCCTTTTATTCCTTGGGGAAATAATAGCCATCTATTGCTCTTCAACAGTCAAACATGATGTAACTATGGGTCGTTTGATGTTCGGGAATTCAAAAGTGGCCCAAATAGTGTTTAATACATGTACAACCGGTAGATTTTTTGTTAATCTGATGACTTTATTTCAACAACAATGTTCGGTACGTTTTGTACATTAAAACCGGGAGCCAAGGATGATGTTCGGTATAGCCGAATGTTCGGTATAGCGGTGTTCAGTATAGCAGCGTTCCACTATATTGGGTTCTGGAAATGTCAACAACAGCTTTTTGTAGAAAGCACTTTTTCATTGTATCTCACCGGGTTGAATTCCATGATGAGAGGTCCAATTGGGGAAGCCAGGGCTTTGTCCACAGTGTCACAGATAAGATCCTCCAATCGAGTGAGTAAATCATCAAAGGTGATGAAGGGACATTCCGCCTCAATGTGGGTATACCTACATCGGGGGATAGAAAGCAATCATTACATCACACTAAGTTAAAGTGATGGACATTCTACCTCAATGTGAGTAAACTTGCAGTGGGGATACAAGGAATATCATTGCACCCATCAGAAAGGTATACCTGCATTGGGGGATAAACAAAATATTATGGCCCACTTGAGAGATCTTCCAAGCGATGATGAGTGGACATTCTACCTCAATGTGGGTATACCTCCCTTGAGGAATAAACGGAATATTGCTCAATCTGTGGGTTTGAATCAGGTCCATCATAGAGATTTCATGTAGTGTGATATCAAGGATCTTTTGAAATATCCTTACCAATCAAAAACTCTCATTTCAACCTCAGCACAGCTCTGTCTTATTTTATTTTGCCAGGGTTTTATTCATTTTTGTAAGAACCAGTCATAGCTGACTCAACTTTGGCGATGAAATAAATAGGACTGACTTACTCTGCTACATGGCGCCTGGTGCGGGACAACTCGGCACGGTAGGACTGAGAGATGCAGAAGACGTCACCTAGCGATGGTAGAGCAGTCTCTAAGTAGAGCTGAGAGGATTGAGTCAGGTAGGCCTAGACAAGAGATGAGATGGTCATAATGATTTGGGTAGGAGGGGGAAGGGTAAGATTGAGAGATATAGAAGACGTCACCTAGCTATGGTAGAGTAGTCTCTAAGTAGAGCTGAGAGGATTGAGTCAGGTAGGTCTAGACAAGAGATGAGATAGTCATCATGATTTGGGTAGGAAGGGGGAAGGGTAAGATTGAGAGATGCAGAAGACGTCACCTAGCTATGGTAGAGTAGTCTCTAAATAGAGCTGAGAGCATTGAGTCAGGTAGGTCTAGACAAGAGATGAGATAGTCATCATGATTTGGTTAGGAAGGGGGAAGGGTAAGATTGAGATATGCAGAAGACGTCACCTAGCGATGGTAGAGTAGTCTCTAAGTAGAGCTGAGAGGATTAAGTCAGGTAGGCCTAGACAAGAGATGAGATAGTCATCATGATATGGGTAGGATGGGGGAAGGGTAAGATTGAGAGATACAGAATACGTCACCTAGCGATGGTAGAGCAGTCTCTAAGTAGAGCTGAGAGGATTAAGTCAGGTAGGCCTAGACAAGAGATGAGATGGTCATAATGATTTGGGTAGGAGGGGGGAAGGGTAAGATTGAGAGATACAGAAGACGTCACCTAGCGATGGTAGAGTAGTCTCTAAGTAGAGCTGAGAGGATTGAGTCAGGTAGGTCTAGACAAGAGATGAGATAGTCATCATGATTTGGGTAGGAAGGGGGAAGGGTAAGATTGAGAGATGCAGAAGACGTCACCTAGCTATGGTAGAGTAGTCTCTAAATAGAGCTGAGAGCATTGAGTCAGGTAGGTCTAGACAAGAGATGAGATAGTCATCATGATTTGGTTAGGAAGGGGGAAGGGTAAGATTGAGATATGCAGAAGACGTCACCTAGCGATGGTAGAGTAGTCTCTAAGTAGAGCTGAGAGGATTAAGTCAGGTAGGCCTAGACAAGAGATGAGATAGTCATCATGATTTGGGTAGGATGGGGGAAGGGTAAGATTGAGAGATACAGAATACGTCACCTAGCGATGGTAGAGCAGTCTCTAAGTAGAGCTGAGAGGATTAAGTCAGGTAGGCCTAGACAAGAGATGAGATGGTCATAATGATTTGGGTAGGAGGGGGGAAGGGTAAGATTGAGAGATACAGAAGACGTCACCTAGCGATGGTAGAGTAGTCTCTAAGTAGAGCTGAGAGGATTGAGTCAGGTAGGCCTAGACAAGAGATGAGATAGTCATCATGATTTCAGTGTTCTCCAACTTTGAAAATTAAAGGTTGGCGCTGGGGTCGGCGGGGACTCCTGCGAGCGCGGAGCGCGAAGCCCTTACGGCGTGGGGTCCGGGGCCCGCTTAAGGGCCCCGGGAAAATTTGGATTCTAGATGCTCTGTGGTGCAATCTGAGGCGATTCTCCAGGCCAGTTCCCCCGATTTTTTTAGCATTCAAAAATTTGCTTTTCAACCTAAAGCAGACTTCTCTCAGATCAAATGACACCTTTTTGTAATTTTGAAAAACAAAATGCGCCGTGCGATCGTCATCTTTATTTTCATGTTGCGTTTTGTCGTTGTCATCGTCATTTCCCCCCCAAATTTCCCTCTATTTATGACCTACCTGTGTGTTCTTAAATGTCGCCAACTAGTTTGGTAAGTCAAATAAATTAAAAGTGGATTTTGTTCTCTTTGGGAACCGGGCCCATACACGCTCGCCATTTATAACTTTTGACAATCGGCATGATCGGAACACCATGTACACGCGTGTCATGCCCTCGAGCTCGTTTGCCTCGTACAAAAACGCGTATTATATTGTGTACCGCGCGTGCAAGCACTGAGAAAAAGAAAGTCGGGTGGGCTGCACGTAAGATCTGCCGTACGTACTCCTGCTGGTGTGTGTGTGTACTAATACAGATATATATTTTTGCGGCGGGGTTGTCGCTACCTGAAGTATCGGCACACTCCGGAGCTGGGTATTCAGTTGTCAGTGTGTACATTGATTCAGCAAGATTTTAAGACAACCCCGATCGGGCTGGGATATTTTTGTAATGACATCGAAATACATTGTTAATGTGTGGAAAAACAACTGAAATCAATTATTTTAGTTGTAAATGTACACTGTAGAGTCAAAAAAATTAAACCTGGCGGCAGGATTTTAAAGCTTGGCGGGGACTTTTTAAACATGGCAGGCGCCGCAGAAAGCATGGCGGGGCGCCAGGTTTGTTCTACATGTTGGAGAACACTGTGATTTGGGTAGGATGGGGGACGGGTAAGATTAAGAGATACAGAAGACGTCACCTAGTGATGGTAGATCAGTCTCTAAATAGAGCTGAGAGGATTGAGTCAGGTAGGCCTAGACAAGAGATGAGATGGTCATCATGATTTGGATAGGATGGGGGACAGGTAAGATTGAGAGATACAGAAGACGTCATCTAGTGATGGTAGAGCAGTCTCTAAATAGAGCTGAGAGGATTGAGTCAGGTAGGCCTAGACAAGAGATGAGATGGTCATCATGATTTGGATAGGATGGGGGACAGGTAAGATTGAGAGATACAGAAGACGTCATCTAGTGATGGTAGAGCAGTCTCTAAGTAGAGCTGAGAGGATTGAGTCAGGTAGGCCTAGACAAGAGATGAGATGGTCATCATGATTTGGATAGGATGGGGGACAGGTAAGATTGAGAGATACAGAAGACGTCATCTAGTGATGGTAGAGCAGTCTCTAAGTAGAGCTGAGAGGATTGAGTCAGGTAGGCCAAGACAAGAGATGAGATGGTCATCATGACTTTGGGAGAGGTGTTGGTTAAACAGGGTGGGGAAAAGGATGGCTTCGTTATGCTTTACTCAACTCAGAATTTCTCCATAATAGGAGACAGTGGCCATATTCATGAAACCGTACTAATTAAGCAGCCAACTAGGGCTTAGTAGGATACAAAAAGCCCTGAAGTCTACTATGGAGTTGATGTCTAAAATGCTATTCATGAAATCTTGGAGGAGGAAAACTACCATATTTAAAGAGCCAATTCTGGCACAAACAAAAAAGATTTAGTTGCTAACTAGTGACTCAGAGTTACCCTGGATCAACACTAACTTAAGTAAGAAACTTGGAATGTAACTAATGCTATTCAAGATATAGTCCATCATTTGTAATTTGTGCGTTTTGTTCGTTTGAAGGTACGAAAGAGTTCAAAATCTAATGAAGGATACTGAACAACTAACCTGATGAAGTTTCAGCTCAGCTTCAGCTGTATATTCCGAGAAAAACAGCATTCTAGGATCTCAATTTCAAATCAAAATTTGCTGATTCATGTTTTGAATTGCAGCTATACGCGATGTTACGCACTGATCCGACGAATTATAGCAACTGCGCGCGCCTGAGCGTCATGCCAATGCTTACGCGCGCTGCGCCGAATAACAAAACGAACTACAAATTTAAATTTTCCTACGTTGGAAAGGCCTTCTTTCGTTGATTACTTCAAAATGATAGCTTGCTAGAAAGAATAATTTCACAGGGAGTTTAGTCCACTTACTATCTTTCAACCAAGTATGTTTTTCAACAATAATACGCCAGTTACTTTTTCGGATGGCTGCAAATGATGGACTATAGCTTTAATGCTTCATGAACACCAATTAGTAACCAACTAGGCTTAGTAAGGTTTCATGAATATTGCTCCTAAAAGACAACATACAGAAAGGACAAGGAAAATATCTTTTGCTGTTTTCCTTGATAGCCATGGAACAGGAATACTTACCTGTTCACCAAAGAAGTCAAACTTGAAGAGAGTGGCCCCACCTTCGCATTGAGTTTGGACCATGGTGGGTGGGCAAACCTGACGAAATAATCATAAAAATTCACATTCTATGAAAACTATGGGCACACTGGATTGTCAAATTTCCAAATCCACTACTAAATACAGGGTGAGTAAAAAAACCGAAACCCACATGTCGGGACCATTGTTTTAGTAAAATTCTGCATGTAGCACTTTTAAATCTCAGATATGAGAGCCCAATTCATTAGCTTTCTTTTAGTACAAGAATCATTCAAATCACTCATGTACTTTTCAAGTTACGGACTTTTAAACACAACCACCGTTTTAAAGTTCTGTCCACGGATCACAAAAAGGCAAGTGTTCTTTCAGCAAAACCACAACAAATCACATAGGGATGTGTGTGAATTGTTTTCGTTTTGCTGAACGCAAACCTTTTTTGTGATCCGTGGACTGAACTTTAAAACGGTGGCTGTGTTTACAATTTTGTAACTTGAAAATTACGCGAGTGATTTGAATGATTCTTGTACTAAAAGAAAGCTTATGAATTGGGCTTTCATATCCTTGATTTTGAAAGTGCTACATGCAGAACTTCACTAAAACAATAGTCCAGACATTTGGGTTTCGTTTTTTTTTATTCGCCCTGTACACCCAAATGCCGAGACCAAACATTTTTCCATCGATGCTTCAACCAGTTCGCATCGGATGACGTGATAACACGCACTGGCTGTTCTATACACAGGCACGGCTGATGGGTTAAGACGTTAAGATTGCCTCGACTCGCCTCTGGGTGATATCTAAACATGCTAAACCCTCGTGCCTTTTGTAAACACACACACAAAGTCTGTGAAGTCTGTGGAGGCTTGAATTGGCTGTTGTACACAGCCTATTGTTCTACAATTTAGGCTCCAGTGTACATCTTAGAGTGTTGAAACAAGGTTTTGGCAAGAAATATCGTACAAATACTGTTGAAATGACTCCTGCGAATCAGTATTTGTGGCGTTTGGCTGTATATCAGCAGTTGGCTGGAAAATTGTGTCTTTTGCGAGAATCAACATTTTCAGCAAAAAATTATCCCGGCGCAAAGTGGTTAAGAGTGTGATCCTCAGTTGGTCTTTTCATTATTAGTCCTAACCAAAATCAAATGATTCTGTTGTTTTGTTGTGCGTCCTTTTTTTCATAACTGCATACTAAATAAAAAAAAAATCAAACATTGCAGTCCATCTCCTAAACTATTAACGCTTGTGAAAAATGACACAGAACTCACAATTTTTTTTTACCAACAAAAAGATTTCAATATTGGAAATGATAAAGTCTACATACCTCAATGTAACCACTGTTGAAATAGTGTTCGCGGAAACTACAAGGAATCAAATGCAAAATGGATGATTTTGTTAACAACAAACTTCATTGATGATCAATGCAAACGGAAGTCTACAACATTTGAGCAAACATGAAAAAATACTTGAATATGAACACGACATTTCAAAAGTGCTCTTTTTTGTCGGATCTGGTGATGATTATGTTATTTTATACAATTTCATGAGAATTGGACTTACCACTGAGCCACAGTGGACCTGACTCTCATAATCTTTGAAAGCTGTGAAACAAATCATACAAGGAAATTATACAAATTGAAATCATTCACAATTATGTATACACATTGCAAAATTACTGAAAAGACCTACATTAATCCTTAAACTCCCTAGGCATTTTTGCTAGGATGCAACTTCGATCCTACAAAATCCTCCAACTGCATTCAGCATCCAGCCTCAATCCTGCAAAATCCTCCGCTTTTTCTTGAATGTGGTCCTTGGAGGGGTGACCACTGCCTCAATCCTGCAAAATCCTCCAGTAATCGCTGTCAAGATGTTGAGGCAGAGCCAGTGACATCCTGGAGCAGTACAGAGGATTTCAAGTATAATCTAGGCCTCAATTTATGCACTGCTGAGCATCAACAACACAAGGTCCGGCCCAAGACCTTGACACAGTGCATCCTCCAAAATCAGCCACAGATTTTTGCCATATAGCCTCAACCATGCAAAATCCTCCATTTTGCAAAGAGGATTCTGGAGAATTAGGGAACGATAGGGTTAAACAAAAGCAATGAAAGCTACTTTTTCTTTTTAAGAAGGCAAGTTGTTCTAGACTGATGGTAACTTGAAAATAACTTGAAAATAACCTTAGTGCACCCACACCCCTGGGTATGCCCCCGGGGGTGTGTCACCCTATTACTCACCGTTTCGCCTCTCATCATCATGTGCCGCTGGTCCAACTGAACATCAATGTGGGACTCCTGCAACATAAACCAGATTTAGAATTTTTGGTTTCCCAAAACAATTAGAGACACACGTAAAACTATATCTTTTTCCAAATCGAATTCCAGTGTTAAAAAATATAACACGTGCCAGTGCACAATAAGCTCTGGCCTTGTTTCAAGAAGTCTTGCATGAAAGTCTTGCATGAAATTGATCAAAATGATCCCTGACAGAGCTGAAAAATGCGACGCCGAAAAATGCGAAGGCACATATGGAACCAGTGGCGTATCCAGAGGGGGGCAGAGGGGGCACTCTGCCCCCCCCCCCCCCCACCCGGCTGATTTTTTTCAAAACATTTTTTGTTCAGCAATTATTTCAATAAATGGTTAGAGAGTTCTGACCTCAATCACAAAAAAGAAAACCCGCTCAAAAACCATTACAATGCGCCGTGAAAATGAGTATAGTTTGCAGTATACCATACTTTTGGTAAATTTTCAGGGCCGAGCAACTGACAGGCATGACAAGTGACACGTAGATGCTCCTGCCACATCTTGAAAATAGGGAGTGGTTAAAGAAACCCTTGAAATCTCCTGTTAAAAAGAACCCTAGAATGAAAAATAGGCATCATGAAACCCCTTAGGAATATTATATAACAGTTATCAGGAACCCCTAAGCTGGTAGAAAATAGGTAGTGGCAATTGGTACTCCTTAGGAGGATAGAAAAAAGTTCAAGTGCACACTTAAGCTCTGGCCGTGTTGCAAGAAGTCTTACATGACCATGATGACAGTCTTGCAGGAAATCGAACAAAACGATCTCTGCCAGAGCTTAAAAGGTGACGCCAAAAAATGCGATGCCGATGGCACATATGGAACACCATTCATTTGGTAAATTCTGTGGGACAGACAGACAGACAGACAGACTGACCGACCGACCGACCACCAAGTCACATGTAGAAGCTCTTCCCAAAGCTTAAAAATCTCTCGCAGAATTTACCTCGTTGACGAGATTATCAGCCCCACCCGCTGGAGCTGCACCAATCAGCTCCCAGTAATCACAGGATAACTCATGGCCTCCTGGTGCCTGACGGAAAGAGAACGGCAAACACAACACATATAAGAAGGCTATTCTATCCCCAGAGGTAGAAATACAACATTGTTCCCAATAATAACAGGATAACTCATGACTTCCTGGTGCCTGATGGAAAGAGAATGACAAACACATATATATAAGAAGGCTATTCTAGCCCCAGAGAGAGAAATACTAAATTGTTCTCAATAATCCACTAACTTATGACCTCCTGGTGCCTGTTGGAAAGAGAACAGCAAATATACAAAAGGCTATTCTATCCCCAGAAGGAGAAATATACTAAACTGTTCTCAATAATAACATGAGAATTACACATACATGTAAGACAGCTACCGGTATTTTATCTCTGGAGTAGGGAAATATCAAATTGTTTCCAATAATCACATTGACCTCCTTGTGCCCCCTAGAAAGTGAACAGCAAATATACCAGGATATTCTATCCCCAGAGGAAGAAATACCAAATTGTTCCCAACAATCACAGGATATCACCTCCTGGTGCCTGTTGGAAACAGAACAGCAAATAACTATATCAGGCTATTACATCTCCACCAGGAAAAACCAAGCTGTTTGTAGTAATCAAATGATAACTCATGACCCCAGGCCCCGTTGGAAAGAGAACAGCTTACCGTCTTGCCCTCTGGGAGAACCTTGATGACACCATACAGTGATACAGTACTCTCTGTCGACAAGATGAGAGCGTTGTATGTCTGACACTGTGAACAAAATAACACAAGAAATAACGTGAAAATGTAACGGACAAAGCAGATGACTTCAGAATTAAATGCGTAAATTTTAAAGAAAAAATGAAGTTAAACCCTTTGCTTAATACCATAGGGGACTTTAGTCCACCAGGTAACCACACACAGAACATCCTCAACACAGATTTATTCACTGCTTTTCAGAAAGTTGGCGTGTTGATATGTTTGGCCATCCATTAACCCTAACCCCTTGGGCTCTTTTACTAGAAAGTATCCTGAATCCACCAAAATCCATAAATTTTGCCATGCAAAAAATTGTTGGTGGCCAGTGAGTCCATCAGAATCCACCAGTTAGGCGGGAGTAAACCTGGTGAGATCCTGAATCCGCCAAAGTCCCCCAACAGCTCAATATAGAGGTATCCTGAATCCATCAAAATCCTGCAGTTCCGCTAGGCTTACAATCCTGAATCCATCAAAATCCCCCAGTTTGTATATGGAGGTATCCTGAATCCGCTGAAATCCCCGAAACAGGGGTGTGGATTTTGATGGATTCAGGTTCGTTAGGGTTAATGTTGTGCAAACCCGACCTGAAACCAACGTCAGGTCCGAGCGGGTTGGTTTGCCCATCATTTCAGTTGGTTTGGTCTGTTTCAGTCAAGTGGGTTTTTCCAGAGAGTGAATACTTACAATTCTTGTCCCCAAATTTCTAAGACACAAAGCTCACCCAGAGACCAACAAAACCATTGCAACGTACCAGTTTGTCATTCAGTACACATTGGATGAGTCCGGTCCCATCTCGCAACACGATAAACATCAGATTCTTGCCTACAACAGAAAAGGTTTGAAAACAACAAAAATGACTAGTTTGAATAGTTATCTTATGAATAGTTAATGTCGTACCCGCTGCTATGTACATCAAATTTGAACCAGCCAACCAATCCAGTTAGCTCGGTGGTCGAGTGGTAAGACGTGTGCACTAGAAAGCAGGAGGTCGTGGGTTCGAATCCCACCCGAGTGATTTTTCCCAACTTTCACTCATTGCTTTAAACGAACAAAATGCACAAATTACAAATGATGGACTATATCTTTAACCCTCCCTCTCTGGCTGGCAATTTCAACAAGGCCAGCCCAGCAGTCAAAATAAATCAAGTGACTGTTTTTAACAGTTGAGTGTGCTCCCCACCTTAATTCATAAAGCAGGATTGACTGGCTGTGATTGTTATGAAACCTGCTATAGCTATGCTTTGACCGTAGGAGATTGATAAGCCGGCTGTGCCTACCAGTCACCTGCTTTTGTCTGTTGACTGAATCTGACTAGTCACAGCGCCTATTGAAATATGATCTGACTGTTGGTGACTAGCCTACGTGGTAGGGGAACAGGATTGCATTTTGACTGTCTGTGACTGATCAAACAAAAGGAGGGTTTTAGTTAACAGATGACACAAGATGAAATATAACAGCAAAAATCCAGCTAAATACACGTCCAGCACAAGTGATATATTTCCATGCCCCAAATGAAGACATTCCATAGGACGATTCCTCACCTTGTCTGCGTAGACGATGCACCCAGCCTTGCACTTTCACCCGCTGGTCGCGGTTTGCAGTTCCTTCCTTGATCAGAATCTGCAATTTTAGGAAAAATATCAAATTAACCCTATAACTCCCTAGGGGGTGTATAAAATAATATAATAAAATTAGAGGATTCTGGACTGTTAGGGCTATAAAACTTGTCACGGTTTGAGTGCAATGAAGTACACGGAAGTTAGGGTGATTACACCAAGTGGATGATTAAAGTTCGTGGGGGGTGGGTGCTGTGGGGGTGGGGTGAGTTGAATGGGGCATTCTCCCCTCCAAACCCAATTTTTGACAAGTTATTCCTTTGCCTCCCACTTTTGGGTGCCCACTACAGAGACATACAAATGTTTGCACTGTCCCTATTGACTTTCAAAACTCCTCACCGCCATACATTTATTTATGCTATACAGGGTGAGTAAACAAAAACGAAACCCAAATGTCAGGACTATTGATAGTGAAGTTCTGCATGTAGCACTTTTAAAATCTAGAATATGAAAGCCCAATTCATAAGCTTTCTTTCATGTACTTTTCAAGTTACCGAATTTTAAACACAACCACAGTTTTCAGGTTCTGTCCACGGATCACAAAGAAACAGGTGTGCGTTCTTTCAGCAAAACAAAAACAATTTACACACACATCAAATGTGATTTGTTTTCATTTTGTTGAAAGAACACCTTTTTGTGATCCATGGACAGAACTTTAAAACAGTGGTTGTGTTCAAAATTCCGTAACTAGAAAAGTATGTGAGTGATTTGAATGATTCTTGTACTAAAAGAAAGCTTATTAATTGGGCTTTCATATCCTAGATTTGAAAGTGCTACATGCAGAACTTCACTAAAACAATAGTCCCGACATTTGGGTTTCGTTTTTTTAATCACCCTGCAGAGTACCAAAGTGCACCGAATAATTATGAATCACGGCGCATAGCTTAAGTTAGCCTTTCGCCAAGGCCACCGTGGCTTAGAGCAGCGACGCCGCGACTTCAGCGACTTCAGTACTCTGTTTAGTATAGAGGGTTTCTGTTGCCATGGCAACCACAGAACTTACCCTCTTGGCCTTGGGCAGACTAGGATCCTCTTCGATGACCGTCTTCTTGGCTTCCTCAAGATTTTTCTCTCTTCTTTCACGATCTTCAGCCTGAAAACAAACAAATCTTGAGACTTACAAAATTGTCTCATCCAAAAAGCTTGTGTGGAGCACTGGTCTTTCTCACGCATTATGTACAGCTGACTTCACAGCACTGAACGTGTTTGGGAAAGTGATGTTGCCTTATAATGAAAATGTAACACGTATATTATTACGTACACAAGGTTTTAAATAAACACCGCAAAACAAGAAAGTCCACACTCATTGGAGGGGTCGTTATTTTGATCGATCTGATCGTCTTATGATAATGTCATTTATATAGACCTTTGGGGAATGTTGTTAGCTACATTTTGATACCCCGTTTGCTACCAACAACTGTAAATTGTCCAAGCTTGACAACGGTTAATGAAAAATTATGCTGTTTGAAAATTTAAAGAGTACGCAAGTTGAAATTGCTGCATGACAATGTTACACTGCCCAAAACGAATGGCAGGGAATACTGATCACACAGCACTTGTATGGATGGGAGCACACGACATTGAATTACCCGCAATTTGTTCGAGCACTGTGCAGTTGATATGGGAACAATTACGGCATGTGTGTTTGCGCTTCGCAATTTCTCCTTGCGACTTTTCAAATTGCATCATTTTTCATAAACCGTTGTCAATCTTGAACAATTTAGTCTTTGGTAGCAGACAGGGTATCAAAATGTAGCTAACAACATTCCCCAAAGGTCTATATAAATGACGTCATTGTAAGACGATCAGATTTCAAAACTATGACCCCTCCAATTATTGAGCGTAGACTTTTTTTTGCGGCGTTTACAAATCTGCACTGATATATAAAGAAAAATTGACGTCCATGCCCGATAACAGCTGCACAGACATCACAGATCAGAAACACAGAACCATTCTAATCACACTCATGTAAGTATATGTAGTTGAATCACATTATTACAATATTAGGCATGTTTATATTTGATCGGTCCCAACATTTTCACAATCCTGCGAGAAAAAAAAAAATTGGTTAGCACGAGCTTTTCGACGACCCAATTGTCTAGACTGATTTACAGCCAATAGTTTTGAACAAACTTTGTCGTGCAGTCAGTCTAGTAGGAAAACGTAATCACTGCGGTGTTTAGTAAGCCAGTGCTGCGATTTTTACACGGAGCGTTCTCCGTTTTGTGTCTCATACCGCCATGGCAACAGAGGGAGTTTCCTAATAGACGGACAATATATGTTGTGGTTCTTTTTCTGTACTTAGGGGTTTCTGTATCGCAGTTCTCATGCCACTACCAAGGACGGATCCTGAACCATATTTTTGGCAGGGGGGAGGGGGGGGGGGCGTTGAAGAATGCTCGAGTATGTTTTTTTCAAAATGGTAATTTTGTAAATCCTGCGCTATTTCCACATTGTAATACTAACACTAAAAGGTATGTATAGCTGATGGCAAATCAGGGACATATGCATACTTTTATTTATCTCATGAAAATTAATAAAAAAAATAAAAAAATTAAGGGGTGGGGGAAATGGCTCCAGTTGACACCCCCCCCTCCCCGATCTGCCAATGTCCACTACAAGGGGTTTGTAATACAGAAAGCATGTCTTGTAGTCTTTCGTTTGTTGATGAGAAATACTGGCGCATAATTTATCGTTAATTTATCGCATAATTTATTAATACAGTCCCTTGTACGGGAAAGACAAGGATTGAACGATGCAAGCCCCGCCTCATGAAGTTTTGACTAACCACAACCTTGATATGCAAATTTTGCGGATATTATGCAAGGTGGGCGGGGCTTAATATGCAAATTTGGAAGGACCTCATGTACATGTGCATTGTAGAAGTGTCTGTTTAACTGGAATGATTCTGTGTTCCTGATCTATGGAGATAAACGTAATTGTTTCAGCTTTTTCTTAATTGGATTTGGATAAGGATTACAGGAAATCAAATTGGGGTGCCGGTATATTGAAGTGCGTTAAGACTTTTATTTTTGTTTTAAATTTTGTGGGTCTAACCTGTTTGAACCTGATGTTGTGTCGGTTCTTGAAGCGCGAAACCCATGCTGTATTTGCTGAGAAGTTGTCATGGCCCATCATTCTAGCCAGCTGTTCTGCCGTTTTCTGGAGAATCGGCCCATTAATGGGGAGATTTTTAGCGGAGGCCTTCCGGAACCAATTCAGCAGCATCTCCTCAACATCATCCTGATCAGGTTTGCGGAATCGTTTTCTCGAGGGTTCAAATTTGGAGGTTGCAAAGTTCTCAGTGATGTCTGCTCTGTTCTTTAAGATTGTCGACAGCGTGCTTGCGACAATTCCGTACTGTCGTCCGACGTCTGCTCTCTTACGGCCGGAGTCGACAGCTTTGATAATTTCCATCTTCGTCGCTGTTGAGAGTCCCTTTCTTTTGCTCTTCGCTGCCGGCACTTCCTCAACAGAAGGATCAATAGAGGTATGATCGCTTGTGCGAGACGGCTCCTTTTCGTTTGCAGGTCTTTCAGTATGGGACTTGCTCTTTGCTGCGGACGCTTCCTTGACGGGAGAATCAATAGAGGTATGATCGCTTGTGCGAGATGTCTCCTTTTCGTTTGCAGGTCTTTCAGCATGGGACTTGCTCTTCGCTGCGGATGTTTTCTCGACAGGAGAATCAATAGAGGTATGATCGCTTGTGCTAGACGGCTCCTTTTGGTTCGCAGGTCTTTCAACATGGGACTTGCTCTTTGCTGTGGATGTTTTCTCGACAGAAGAATTAATAGAGCTTTGATCACTTGTGCGAGACGGTACCTTTTCCTTCGCAGGTCTTCCAACATTGGACTTGTGGTGACAAAAAAAAATCAAGGAGGGATATTAATTCTTAATAGAACATGGACTGGATGGCTGAATAAACGATAGCATTATGTAAAAGGCCGACAATAAATTAAGCGTGATTGATATTGTTGAGAATGTACTAAAGAATTGTTTATGTTTTGGACCTTAAGATTCAAATATTATTAAAAAATTGATCTGTGGTATTTATTTAGGGAATGCAGATAATTGTTTTTGGTAATTGAAGGTTTGTTTATATGTTAAAGTTTAGGAATGTTTCATTTTTTTGGGTTTACTTTTTACTTTTTTCCTGACCTGATTGAACTTGATGATGTGTCGCTTTTGGAAGCGGCACAACCAGCCTGTACTTGCTGAGAAGTTCTCGTAGCCCATCTTTGTGGCCAGTTGATTGGCCTTCTTGCGAAGCGCAGGTCCATTCATGGGGATATTCTTAGCCTGGGCTTCCCGAACCCATTGCAGCAGGGCCTCCTCGACGTCATTATGAGTGGATTTACGGAATCTTTTTCGTGAGGGTTCATACTTGGAGGTTTCTAGGTTTTGCATGATTTCTGTTCTGCATTTCAGGATTGTTGATAGGGTGCTTGCCACAATGCCGTACTCTCGCCCCACATCGGCCTTTTTGTATCCAGAGTCCACCGCCGTGATGATGTCCATCTTTGTTTCCATGGACAGTCCTCTTCGCTTCATCTTCACGGGAGTTGTTCCAGACGTACTCTCACAGGAAGCAGCACTTGAGGTCTGATCGCTTGTGCAAGGCCGACTCCTTTTGTTTGCACGTTGTCGGACGGGGGACTTGCATTGACAAAAGAAAAATGCAGTCAAGGGACTTGACTAATTGCTGGATTATGCACTTAACTTTGGACAGCATTTCTCATCAACTAATCCAAACAATGTTTGTAACGGAACTGCATTCATTATACCGAAGACAGTTTTTTACCCATTCCTATTGGTCGAGAGCCAGTCATGTGGCTGGTCTTAAACGGGTGATAAAGACCGGTTGGCAGGTCTTAAACACTTTCCCAGTGTCACTTGAACTTTGGACTCCTATAAAATCTGGTCCCTTTCGCCCTTTTATTGGTTGCATGAGCATTACTACCGATGAGTCCATATTTTATAGAGTCCTAAATTCACACTACACCAGCACCGCAGCGTTCTGTGCCACATCGCGCAGTACGCGCAACGCTATTCTCCATATGAGGAGATTTTTAGCATTGAATTTATTTGTTTTATACATAAACTTTTAATTTGCAGTCCTTCTGATTTAAAAATCACAGGTGTGTTGAAAAAGGCACCGTGTGGTTTTTCTAGGCCTTTACCATCTCGTGGAGAACGCTTATGATTTTCTTTACATCTGTCTACTGATTTGGTAGACATGCATAATGCATTACCCGTTGTGAATTGACCAATGAAAATGCAGAATTACTAACGTAAATCAGCCGTCGTCTCGTTGTTGCAGTTTTTTGTGGACAACTTTTTTATAGGCCCTAGTACAGGAGGCATCTTTATTGTCCACAATATTCTCCAGATTGGCATCAATGAGCTCGGGAAAACACGTGTGCAACTATCTTTTCATGTGTAGCTAGGGCGATGTTCACGTGTGCGTACTCCACCCATGCGACCAAGCCTGTTCGATATCCATTTATTTTTAAATCGGCAAATCGTGAAAAAAATATCGGATATCGCGATATTATCGTGATGACGTCATTTTTCCATTCATGTAACAATGGAAAAAACCAAAAAAAAAACCAAAAAAAAAAAACCTGACCGAAGTCACGATCCACTGCCGTGAAAAAGACCCAATATGTCCTGAACAAAATCGTCAAGTTTATTTGACTAGAGTCTCATTTACTTTGCCAATTTAGGTAGAAAATAAATTCCACATTCAAACATCGAAAACAAAATAACATTGAAATGTTGGATAAAAATGTGCAAATAGAAATCCATATCGAGGAGAGAACGAAGCACTAGCACGCAATTGCACGCCGCATTGACATGATCCCCACGTGCACTCATAGTACAGCCCACACCATTGCGGCAAGGGTGTGCTTCATTGAAAACAATTTACCAGTATTTCCATCTTTTCAGAATTACAAATAATATTTTTTAATGGAGTCCGAAATATTTCCTGGTTCAGAAAAAGTTCTTCATCGTTACAAACTAACAAAATATTGTTTTTTCTAAAGATTTGTTTCGAAAAACGATGTTAACTCCAAAATGAGGGTGAAGCACCCCTTTACAAAAATTAATGGATCAGTCCAATTTCTTGTGAAGCATTTTCTGTTCTGTGAACGAAATAAAAGGCACGACTGAACAGTTGGTTTTCGACGCTTTTTGTTGCTGAAAATATGAACAGATTTCATAAGTCTGGGACAGTTTTGGCACTAAGCAAGTGTAAGTGCCCAGGCACAACCACGGAAGAGAAGGAACGAGTCAGGAAAATACGTGCAGGAAAATTTGATCTAGTTCGCCTGCGCGGAGTCGTCCCAGCCCAGCGGCAATTTTTTTTCTCTCTCCCAAACGCGTACGACATCCACAATACGCTATGGCGTTTTGGACTATACTTTTCTAAAAACATGAGAAGAAAATCAAAAAAAGAAATATAAGAAATTCGGGCTTTATTTCCCTTTTTAATAAAATCCTCCAAAGCCTCAGGTTAGAAAATAATAATAAAAAAAAATCATCTGCAATACCGTGATTCGAACCCGCAACCTCGCGGTATAAAACACAATAAATTATCGACTGAGCTGTCACATTGCTCGCTTCAAAATTGGAAAACTAGGCCTAATAAATATATAATGCCCACGTATCATAAAAGTATCGTAGAGGGCGCTTTACGTGCGTATGCGGATGTCGTTTGGTGCTGGAAAAAGAAAATTTGCGGGCTCGGCGTGGTCTCCTCTAGCCGCGTGCCGAAACGAAACATTCACTTCTCAACGTCCTAATCTACAATTCAAGCACATGTATTTGTGGTGTTTTGTCTGTACAACTTCACATTTCCGTCAAAACAAAACAGGCACCGTATTTTCTTTGCGAAATGTCAGAGACTTTGTTTCCCTTCGGTTAACTCCACGCACGTGATTACGATTTTGGCACTTGGTATGTGGGGTGAAATTGTGGTGTTTGTACTGCACCACGTGCAGTGTGGAAGACGCAAAATCCAATACACGTGACGTTAGTCAGTTGGTTCCGCCCCTGAATAGGTAAGACCTCGCGGTACATACAATGCGGTAACAGTGAATTTGTGGTTTGCGGTTTTTCATGGGAGCGCTTTAGCGACGGTTTGAAACTGAGAGGGATTGACTTTGGTTACAAAAGCGGTACCTCAAAAGAATATCGCGGTATTTTTCGGCATATCGAATTTCACGATGTGCCGATTTTTTTTTATGAGATCGATACGATTTCCGATATGAAAATTTAATCGAAATATCGTGAAATATCGTCATACCGAACAGGCTTGCATGCGACAGTTCCACGATTGCTTTGTAAAGCGCATGCGTAGTAGACTGTCGCACGGGTAAAGACAGTCTTCTACGCATGCGTATTAACCCTGTGCGTGAATACTTGCGTGCGCGCTTGGTAAACAGCAAAAATAGCATCTGGCACGTGACGGTGAATGGACCAGTGAGAATTCGGCTTTCGATCATGAATATGTATGAGGTATAGTAATACATCATTCCTGAGGGTGACAGGTTCGAATGCATCCAACTTCAATTAACCCTAACTCCCTTGGCCTTATTGCTAGGATGTAGCCTCAATCCTGCAAAATCCTCCAATTGGCCTCATGGAAAAATAGCATATAGCCTCAATCCTGCAAATTCCTCCATTATTTCTTGAATATGGTCCATGGAGGGATGACCACTGCCTGAATCCTGCAGAATCCTCCTGCTATGTCTGTCAATAGGCTGAGGCAGAGCCAGTGACATCCTGGAACAGTGCGGAGGTCTTCAAGTATAATCAAGGACTAAATTTATGCATGGCTGAGCATAAACAACACAAGGTCCGGCCCAAGACCTTGACACAGTGCGTCCTCCGAAATCAGCAAAGCACTTTTGCCATGTAACCTCAATCCTGCAGATTCCTCCAATTTGCAAAAAGGATTTTGGAGGATTGGGATGGTTAGGGTTAATAAGTCATTACCTCTCTCTTTTCCTTCTCATCGTTCTTCTTCTGATCTCGCTGGAAAAGCTTGAAGACTTTCTTGCGCTGAGCTTGGGACACCTCTTCCCATTGCTGAAATGAAACAGTAAAAAAACATCATTCAACTATGGAATCAGCCCTGTGTTTTTCTCGCATTTCACCCGCACTGCTTCTAAACGCCAGCCGCTGCCTCAAACCAGAGCAGTAATTGGCAGAAGATTTTGGAGGATTGAGGCAGTGGTCACCCTCCACAGACTAAATTCAGGAAATAACGGATGATTCTGGAGGATTGAGGCTGAATCCAATTTTTTTTCTGAGAGTTTGTCTGAGAGTTTGGGTTAAAGGCGCATTACGGCCTGAAATCCCCGAAAATTTCATGTTTTGGATTATTAACTATTTTAAAGTTTTCTGTTTTAGCCTCTGAAGAAGAACTTGCTAAGTTCGCAACGTCAGGCCACATTAATTTTAAGATTTTAAAGGTCCAGTTGAAAGGAAACTAATCTAATGTCTTACCATTCCCGAGAAAAGACACGACGGAGTAAGCATACGTTTTTCCTGTCGTTTTCCTTCAATGTACGATACACGTTGTGTGCATCACATAACTCACACACAGCACCAATGCACAAATGTGGTTTCTTACACGTCCGCAGAAAGTGAACACTTTACGGCTGGAATCACAACTAGCACTGAACAGCCCGATATTTGGGGGTGAAAACGTGGACCCCAAAATTGGTTCTTGCACGAACACAAGAATAACACAAAAACACCCAATTTTTAAAGGATAGTTGTGTGGATGTTTCTATCCTACTTTTAAATGTTCTTTCTGATTAACATAATTTCGTTCAAAATGCGTTTTGTAGCCCAATTGAGGGTATTCCAGGCCCTTAATCTTGTTATGTAAACTTGGTCCAAGTTTCTATGGTCAAAAAGTTCAAAAACAGATTGACCTTTGACCTCACCTTGTCTTTTTCCTTTGCATCGCACAAGAATTTGGGGAAGGGTTCACCACCAGCAAATTGCATCGCCTGCAAACGAAAAGGATACAAATTGATTCAACCTGTCAAGAAAATTGTGCAAGACAAATAAATTGATCATTAACCCTAACCCTCAGGGGAATGTTGGCTAGAAACCCGGTGTCACGGTCTCACTACTCCGGCATGCTGGATTCTCCGGGTGAATGCGGCGGATAATTGAGCACGTTACATGAGCACGATTCATGCTTATGTGTCCGCTGTGCTTACTTTTCCTCGGGCTGTGTTATGGAGTCTACCAAGTCCATAACACAGTGAGGGAACCCAAGAATGTGTTATGTAACACTTCCTGTGGGTCAAGCTTAGACTCCGAGAGGAGTGCAACAGCGTCGTATACATGGGTGTGTGTGTGTGTGTGTTCATGGAAGAATAATTGAGAACGAACTCCTTGGTCTGTGCATGGAGGAATTCTTATTCCTCCATGGTCTGTGTAAGGTCTGTGTTCCTTGCTCGTTCATGGTTGTCTTTATTTTTGCATCCATGTGTATCCTTCACATCTTGACATGTATTGGGAGTTACGCGCGCCACGAAAATTCTGGATTCGACTGGTACCTTGTAACGTATACATTTGTACATATACAAATATCCCAAGATCTCACGTGCACCAGTACAACCTCAAAGAACTCAGCACACAATAAAGTTGGCGAAATGTACACTACTGCGCAATTTGCGCATGCGTGTTGAGGCGAAATTTCCCTCTGCGGAGAAGCTACCGTAGCACGCCGGAGAAGTGAGACCGTGACACCTGCCAAACGCAGCAACATGCAACACTTGTCTAAGTGACAAGCCTGCCCAAAGTAGCAAGATCCATCAGGTCAAAAGTCCCAAGGCCAAACTGCCTCAGAGTCTGTGGTCACCGAATGCAGCAGGATACAACTCTTGGCATTGTTCAATGGGACTAGCCTTCATCGTCTCAGAAGTGGCTGTTTATGCACTGTTGTTCGTACATAGCTGAATGCATGAAGTGCACCAGACTTTTCCACCTGATGCACTGTGTTGCGTCTGGCAGGGTTAGGGTTTACATGTGTGTCACGGTTCCTACACCTTTAGGACAATACAATTCCTTGACTTTTTCATGATTATGAAAACCCATGACCTAAATTATGAAAACCCATGACCTAGTTCATCAAAATGCAGATCAAAACTGTAAAATTTGTAAAACTGAAAAACGGAAAGATTTCCATATAAGAAGTTCACTCAACACCCTGTGTACAAACCCTATGAGAGTGGACTGAAAAATTCTAAGTGTTTTCTAAGAAAATGCTTGTATTTTCTCACTGCTCAAATGGACTTTGATGACATGAAATTGCTATCTGGGGGCTTGTTAGTCAATACAGAGGAAAATTAGTGAACTTCTTATATGGAAATCTTTCCCTGAAAAACAACAAAACAATGGCTGTCAATATCAAAATGCTTGTATCAGCGAAACTTGTTGCAATTTGTCAGAAATTAGATTTCTGATGCTAAATTATGAATAATAATTTATAATAATAATTTATACATTTATATTGTGCAAATTCCATAAGAATATGATCAAATGCGCGTCACAATTATTATCCCTGTTCATCAGGAATGAGACCCTGCAGCAGCTTGAGATTCGCGCAATATGGTCTCTACCTTCACAGGTACCCATTTGTACTCCTCAGTGGAGAGAGGCAATTGTAGTAAAGTGCCTTGCCCAAGAATACAAGCACCATGTTCCGTATCAGGTTTCGAACCCATACCACGGCGCACGAATCAAACACCGTAACCATTGGACCACAGTGTCCCACTATACACATTTTAAAATTCAAAATATATTGGTCCTCACAAAATGCCATGACTCTTTTTCAAATTCCATGACTTTTCCTGGCCTGGAAATTGAAAATGACATTCCATGACTTTTCCCGGCCTGGAAATTGAAAATGACATTCCATGACTTTTCCTGGCCTGGGAATTGAAAATGACATTCCATGACTTTTCCATTTTTTTTCTTCAAAATATATTGGTCCTCACAAAATGCCATGACTCTTTTTCAAATTCCATGACTTTTCCTGGCCTGGGAATTGAAAATGAAATTCCATGACTATTCCTGGCCTGGGAATTGAAAATGAAATTCCATGACTATTCCTGGCCTGGAAATTGAAAATGAAATTCCATGACTATTCCTGGCCTGGGAATTGAAAATGAAATTCCATGACTATTCCTGGCCTGGGAATTGAAAATGACATTCCATGACTTTTCCTGGCCTGGAAATTGAAAATGAAATTCCATGACTTTTCCTGGCCTGGAAATTGAAAATGAAATTCCATGACTTTTCCTGGCCTGGAAATTGAAAATAAAATTCCATGACTTTTCCAGGTTTTTTTTCCCCTGGCGTTGGGAATGCTGCTAGATTGTCTTTAAGTGATCCTTACCTTAAGAAGTGTCTTGAGTGGTTTTTGCTGTGTTCCATCTCCCGACTCATCGTTTCCTTTCTCCGAGATGTACAACTGCTCCATCTTTTCTCCTTTAACCAAAAAGAGCAAAGTTATGCAAAAAATGCGCTATTGGTGTGCTGCTATCAATTGAATTTGAAATTGAAACTGACTCCTCAAAACTGTGTTTATATGTCCCCATACAGATCACTTTTATAAACTACACGATGCAACATGAAGTAATGGTACACGTACAATGTACATGTACATGTACATGTAAAATGTAGATGATGTAACATCATATACCTTAATAATATTACAGTAATGGTTTAGTTTAGGACACCTCCCTTTTACATGTTTCCTTCAAAAACAACTTTTGGAACGGACTGTCAAATTTTCCCAAAGTGACTTTTTGCAGGCTCTTAGCAGTCTTTTTTTTATTTACAATTCATATTACAGACGGTTTACCCATTACTATTGGTTGAGAGCCCAACACGTGGCTGGTCTTAAATGGTTGATAAAGACATGGCTAGCTGGTCTTAAACACTTTTCCTGTGTCACATGAAATTTGGACTCCTATGAAATCATGGAGGATTAAACCAAGTGCCTTTTAAAGTTTTAGGCCTACTGGTTGAACGTTCACAATCCTCATGTAGGCATGCGCAGCACTACCAGTACCACCAGCATGTGTCCCTTCTCTATGGTACCAGTGAGTCAGTATTTCCATAGAGAAAGGACACATGGTATTTCATAGTCCTAAATTCACACTTCACCGGCACAGCTGCGTTCTGCGCCACAGTGCAGCATGCGCGACGCATGCGCCAACCGCCATATAAAAGGAGTTGCTTACGACTTTTGGCGAGATGGACATTCCATAATATAGCTAGAGGAGGGGTGTTTAAAAAAACATGAAGTAAAATTGTGGAAATGTACGTGTATAGGTAGTCAAATACATGTAGTATAATAATAATAATAATAATAATAATCGACATTTAAGAACACTCTTATTAGTAAACTAAATCACAGCGCTTACAGTATTATTATTACCCCTGATCATTGGGCCAATTAATCATTCCAAATACCATCTCAGCTCCCTGGGGAGTATACAGCTGGATGCTGCCTGTTAGGGTGCAAGCAAGCTAATTCAATCACAATAACCATCTCTGCCCTCACAGCTAGGTACCCATTTACTCCTGGGTGGAGAGAAGCAATGAGTGACAAAGTGCCTTGCTCAAGGGCACACGCACCATGACCCCGGCTGGACTCAAACCAACAACCCGCAGCTTTACCCACAGACCACGAATCCAGTGTCCTTAACCACGAGGCCACAGCACTCCACACTCCATAATGTTTGACTTGTTTTGACTTAAATTGGTCTGAAAAGTTTTGATATTGAAAAGATTTTTCCCTTCAGTGACTTAAGTATCAGCCATCAGAAAGTGATATAAAAAGGGCGATCGTGTATCTACGGGCCCGGTTCCTTAGTTTTTTTTTAGGGAACAAAATCCACTTTAAATACACTGTTATAATTACTGGACCTACCAAACTAATTGGCAACATTAAGAACATACAGGTATGTCATAGATAAAGGGCAGGGTTTCGAATTTTTGAGGGGAATTTGGGGGTAAAATTACGATGACGACAAAAGTTAACACGAAAATAAAGATGGCGATCACTCACGCAAACATGCAAGTCGATGTACCGTGAGCGCGGAACCAACGGGCCCGTAAACCGCGTAGGAAATTCATAATTTCTATTCTACCCCAAGAAACTATTCAAAAATTACCAAAAAGGTGTCATTGAGGGAAGTCTGCTTTAGGTCAGTACGGGCGCACGTGAAAAATCGCGGAATGTCCCCCGATCCGCGGAAGTCCCCATATTCGCGGACAAATTCTGTCCCTCGATCGAGGGAATGTCTCCCCATTCGGGGACAAAAAAAAATTCACAAGCTATGCGGCCTCAGGGGGTGCTCTGCGGTCTCTGAAACCGTCAAAAATCGATTCTACGTGAAAAGACCCCCTAAGTTACTGTCCAACTAACGCTGGTTTACTGTCTACTTTTTGCGCTACGAACCGATTTATGTTCAGAATACCAGTCGATCAAGCTGCGATGCCGTTCGAGCGACAGTATCGATACCAAGTAACCGATTATTATATCGATACTAAAATTGTACATGTAAGGCATAGGCTTATATATTCGATACCATAATTACGATACCTACCTTGGCAAAGCAATATTGATGGCAGAAGATTGCTCGAGTTTTATAACTTTTCGAGCATGTTTGCGAGTGAAATCGGTCCTCAACTCGCAGATCCTTCCATTTTATCATGATGGATGCAGTATCAAAGCTACTGTTTGTAAATTATATTAGTTTTAACAACTTTTCTCTCATTTTTAAGAGCAAAACTGAAACTGTACATGCACATTTTGGCTTTCATCATGGAGTCGGAGGGTAATCATCGTGCCGCGCCGGTAAGACCATGGACGTACGTAAACTGAATTTATGTAAAAGTGTTTTAATTTTGATTATAATTAACTACGTACGCTGTATAAAGCCGCCAAACCATATTTGTTTTTCTTATAACTATTACTTTGGCCCATTACATGTATTTTTTTGGTACATTTTCTGAACTGTTTTTTTTCTGTATTTTTTTCAGGTACGTGTTGGGAAGACCGTTGATTGAAGAAAGGAAGAATCATGTTGATCATGCTGATTAGATAGTAGATTGCAGAAGGCGTTTGATTAGATTTTTTTTAATATGGGAAATACAAGAAAAAAACGACTTTTTGGTACCTTTTAAAAAAAAATTGGTCAGAAAAAAAGAAAAGAAAAAAGTAGCAACTAAAGTAGATGAATGTTGTTTTTGTTATTGAAAGAAAGATGCTGGAAGACAGCTTCCTTGCAATATTTTCTGCAAACTTTATTCCATACCTACCTTGGCCAATCGTCCGATAGAACCAAGGAAACAAAGCCTTTCTAGATGTCTCTTTCCATTATCACTTTACGAAATCTCTGTTGGTGACTTCAGACCAGTGTCTCTTGGAAGATTTACCTGCCCCCCGGCCTGGATTCAGCTCAGATGACAATTATGTTGGCTGCCACATTATTTCATGATGTCAATCGCCAAAATACGGTTCATATGACATCAGCGTATATCATATTTACGATATGGATTTGTATACAAGTTATATATTTTTCATACATTTAAACATGTAAAAGTTGTGATGCCCTTTGTAATTAATACAATTCCTGTCATTCAACCTTTTGTGTAAATTTCTTTTTGGTATTTACTCTTACCTTGATTTTAACTGAAAGGCTAGGATTGTTTAACTTTTGAAATTATGATAATGTTAATGTCCAATTATAATGACTGCCACTTCTCATGTAATATTTTCTCATGTAAAAGATTGTTTGGATAAAGTAGTTTGTATTCAAAGCATTTTGGAGCCGTTTGAGGATTTAATTCTACAAAACTACTACTAATAATTATTGGTCACTTAAAATTTCAGTTTAATTCAATTCTTAAACTGACACTGTCCTCATCAGCAAATTAAAATGAGTATTTTCTCTGAAGACCAAACACTGGCTAGAAGCTTAAACGTTGATGTCAAGTTTACTGGCATCAAGGGAGAACCAGAAGGAAGGGTTGCAGTCCTAAAATAGAAAAGAAAAGAGGTAAGTCATGACAAAGGATAAATTATTACATTTTACAAATCTAAGAAAGAAATTAAAAAAAGTTTATTCAACTTGAACACCTACCAGCGATGACTATCACCAGGAAGCTATATTTCGATCGAGTTTCCATTTTATGAAGTTGCCAGAATATTTTTTTTGTGGTGCCACTAGCCTTACTTTCCTTTTTTTTCTTAATGCGGCTGAAAACATTAGGGTATTTTAATAACAAATTTTATATTAAAGGGAATATACAACATTTGCAAACTTCGAAAAATAAAATTACCAAGTTTTTACGAAATACCTTAATAGGATGTTGGTAAATGACAGTCTAAATCATCCTGTAAAATTATGGCACCTGGTATACTGTCATTTTCAAGAAAAGTGGTATTTTTGTATCAATTTCCAACGCTGATCGGCCGATCAGCGTTGGAAACAACTGGCTTTTTTTCAAATACTGGCCCCAATTGACCATCGCACTTGTTTGCAATCGATTACAAATCTATGAACGGGTACGAGCCAGCTAGACTGGTTCCCTGACCTTACAATTCCCCAATGTATGCAAACTGCTCTGTTTCTTCTTATATGGAGTCAGGGAACCAGACTACAGGAAAATGATCGCTTTTCTTGGTTTTATAGCATTTTCGAACCCAAAACCTCCAAAAAGTCAGTGTAACTATATTTGCTTTATATTTCCAACCCCCCGATTCCATCCATTTCTGAAAATTACAGCAAAAGCAAATGATGTATATTCCCTTTAAATTAAAATGACCAACTCGTGAATAAACTAAAGCCTTTGATCATTCACCTACAAATTTCTTGAATTAAAAATAAAAAATAAATAAGGCCCCAAAACCGGAGCCATTCGCATCGAGTCCAGAAAATTGTCCATGCAAAATTCTTTATCCAAATGAATTCCAGAAATGTATTTGTTATACTAAAACCAATCATGTACTTACCACTGCCAATACCAGAGATCGCTACCAAAACACAAGCATCAGAAAAGAAATATCCAAAACTGTAAGATCATTAAAAAAATGATTAAACTTTGATTAAACAATGATAAAAAAAAATACTAGAACACGGAACACTGCACGTACATGTACTTGCAACGTATACAACACGGGAAAACAACACACAAAAACGTGCAGTAAGTAGTTCTCCTGACTCTAAATTGAGCCCGTGGGGAAATTATGTAATGAGTCAGGCAGCCAGACTCGAAAGGTTTGTCCCCCGATCGGGGGACAGTCTCCGATTTGGGAGACAGCGCTGCTGAAAAAAAAATCTGTGGGCCGGCTGTCTCCGAATACGGGGACAGTCTCCAGGAACGGGGATTGTCCGCGATTATTCACGTGCGCCCGTACTGTAGGTTGACAACACGGCCAATGTCATTTTACTTATAACAAAAAAAAAATATTCTAATTTAGGCCTATTCTAATTTGATCGTGTAGTGAAGGGCCCCCACTACACGATCGCCCTAAAAGGTCAAAATTAGCAGGGAAAATATTGAAGTATTTACTGAGAAAACACTTAAAATTTTTCAGACCAATCTTAGGTTAGGGTTTGTGCACAGGTAGCCCCATAAATGTGGCCTATTTACTGGACTGCCTCCGTAAACATAGGCCACACATCCACATGCTGACATGTACAAAAATCGTGTCGACTTTGCCAAATTTTGATTTTCACATTTAGGCTTAGTTTGTAGGATTTTTTTGCTTTAGAAGCATACTCACCCTCTTTATAGGCTAGTCAGAAAGTGCTGCCTTTTTCAGATGTCTAATTTTTGTGAAATTTTATGTTGAAATTTTGATACGCAAATGTGTAAAAATGAATCTGGAAATTTCACGAAAAATGTACATCTGAAAAAGGCAGCACTTTCTGATTAGCCTATAAAGAGGATGAGTATGCTTCTAAAGCAAAAAAACCCTACAAACTAAGCCTAAATGTGAACATCAAAATTTGGCAAAGTCGACACGATTTTTGTACATGTGGATGTGTGGCCTATGTTTACGGAGGCAGTCCAGTAAATAGGCCACATTTATGGGGCTAGTGCACAGGCAGACACTGGGTGACAAGTGATGGCCAGATGGGAATCTTGCGTTCTTTCTTTCGTCATCCATCTTGCGTTCTTTCTGTACGCACCGCATGAAGTTAGAAATAAAAACACAACCGGGATACCTAAAATCACAGTTTCTTTTGAAATTCTTACCCCCAAATCAGCTACAGTATTCACTAAAAGCTTGACAAATCCTTACCTAATCCAGCCATTTTCCCAGAAGACAGGTATTTTGTGAGTAAGCCGTTAAAAACCACGCCTCGTTTTCTCGTCAAAAGCAGCGCAGTTCTCCCTAACATCGCATATTGTGCAAAATGCACACGTGTGTGATGTGCGTCCTTGACGTAAATTCTAAAAATGTACATATACTGGGGGCCGTTATGTGATCCGCACAGTCAGTAGGAAATAAACCAACAATAATAAGATGGCTAAGAAATTGAAAAGTGTTGCATCATCTTGTGACAATTATTTGTTTTATTGCATTAGATTAATTCTTGATCCTTTATTAAACTAGATTTTTCTTAAACGAACTATTGTTGAATCTTTATACTTGCTTGATGAGTAATACTGATGATTCCCTCGTTTTCAAAGCATATTTGTACTGCATTCACAAAAAAATCCATCATATGTGGCCCTCCATCTCCATGTTGTCTTCATGCACTGTTTCATTTTAGGAGTAAAAACAAAAAACGAATATCTGTGTGGTATGATTCTTGGGTACAAACTTCTTCTTTGAGAAATCAAAAATATTCAAATATGATAAAAAAAGAAAAAAAGAAAAAATTATGGCGTAGTCGGCAGGATTCGAACCTGCGCGGGGAGACCCCAATAGATTTCTAGTCTATCGCCTTAACCGCTCGGCCACGACTACTTGCTTCAATGGGTGAATTCAACGCTTATAAACTCTGCATACAAATTTCTTTCAATAAAGTCTTCAAAAATCGGTTAATATTTATTAATTTATTTCTGATATTACCATAAATATAATAAAAGTTACTAAACAAACGATTTTTCCACACCACACAATCTAATTTTTTACTCAATCTTGAAAAATACTGTTCTTACTCCGTCTAGCGCCCTCTACGTCACCCTTTTATTTGCAGTTCCAATTCCAGAGGGTTGTTAAAAAATACAAAATCTCACACAATTGAACATAGAACAGTCATCCTTTCTGAAATAATGTATTTTAAAGGGAAGTTACAACATCTGCAAACATCAAAAAACGAAATAATCAAATTATCACGAAATATTTTACTGGATTGTTAGGGAATGACATTCTAAAGCACCTTGTAAAATTGTGGCTCCTGGTGTGCTGACATTTTCAAAGAAAACGGGTATTTTTCCAGTGCTGGTCAGCTGTGATGTTGGCGAAAACCTCTTTTTTTTTTAAAAACTGCTCTTAATTTTTCATAATTAGTTATTCCGCATTTCTTTCCAATTGATTACACACATGTGAAGGGATAAAATCCCGCCGGACTGATTCTTTGACTTCCCCAAAGTCGACAAATTAGCTCCGTTTCATCTTAAGCGGTCAGGAAACCAGACTGCAAGAACATATTTTCTTAAGCATCTTCAACCCCAAAACGTGAAACAAGTCAGTTTAACGACATTTGCTATAACATGCGTTTAATCCCCCACTTACTACTGAAAAGTGCAAGAAGAGCAAATGTTGTACATTCCCTTTAAAGGAAAAGGGGAAAATTGCAAAAACAAAATTTATTCTCCAAATCAAAATTATTGACTTATTGTGGCATAAAGATAATAAATAAATCATAGTATTATTTATTGTTTTTTTTAATAATGAACTGTAAAGGGAATGTATATCATTGACTTTTGCTGTAATTTTCGGAAATGAAGTAGTTGAGGTGTTACTGAGTATTATAGATCAAACATTAGTATACTGACATGTTTGAAGTGTTGTGTTCGAAAATGCTGGAAAAACCAAGGAAAACAAAAAAAGGTGAAAGTAGGTTCCCTGACTCCAGTATTATGAAATGTATCAATTAATGCTGTAAAATTGTAAGGTAAGGGAACCAGCTCTAGCTGGCTTGCACCCGTTCATGAACATGTAACCAATAGCAAACAAAATTTGGACTGAACAAAAAATGGTAAATTTAAAGCAGTAGTTAACAAATAGTGAGGTTTTTCCAACGATGGTCGGCCGACCACCATTGGAAATTTATACAAAAATACCACTTTTCTTGAAAATGACTTCACACCAGGTGCCATAATTTTACAGGATGCTTTAGACTGTCATTTACCAACATCCTAGTAAGGTATTTCGTAAAAATTTGGTAGTTTTGTTTTTCGATATTTGCAAATGTTGTATATTGCCTTTAAACAAAAAACACATTTTTATACAAACAAAATCACACTCTACGCAACATGAATTATCAAGACAACACCGTTTTATTGTCATTTTTGTAGCAAAAAAATGTCCCCCATTTTACTCGGGGACAGACTGCACAATAAATGCTGTAATGTTCTTACATTATAATCTAGAATGAAGTTTATACATAGGCATTACTATTTACAAAAAAAACTTACAAAGAGCAGACTATTTGTCCAGTTATTAAAGAAAATTGTGGGAAATGATAATTATTAGCAACAGGAAGAAAAAGTAAATGGCAGATTTTACGTTCGGATAAGCCACTTCGCAACTTTTGTTTTATAATATTTATTTTATTTTTGTATCTGTACAAACAAGCAATATATCAAAATTGAAACGAAATTCCGCCAAAGAAAATGTCCTTCGATGGTTAAAGTTGTTTAGCTATAAATATGTGACTTTCTATTATGAGACTGTTTTGTAAAACTACAGGGCCAGTCAAAAACAAAAGAAAACCCAAATGTGAGGACCATTTTCTTAATGAAATTCTGCATGTAGCACTTTCAAAATCTAGAATATGAAAGCCCAATTAACAAGCTTTCTTTATGTACAAGAATCATTCAAATCAGTCATGTACTTTTCAAGTTACAGGATTTTAATCACAACAACGTCACAAAAAAGGTGAGTTTTCTTTCAGCAAAACGGAAACAAGCCACACAAATTCCCCATGTGATTTGTTTTCGTTTTGCTGAAAGAACAAGCCTTTTTTGTGATCCGTGGACAGAACTTTAAAACATTGGTTGTGTTTAAAACTCCATACCTTGAAAAGTACATGAGTGATTTGAATGATTCTTGTACTAAAAGAAAGCTTAATAACGGGGCTTTCATATCCTAGATTTTGAGAGTGCCACATGCAAACTTCATTAAATAATCGGTCCTGCCATTTGGGTTTCCTATTTTTGACTCGCCCTGTACATGGGTGGAACATGAGCGATGGAAAATGTGAAGTTTTATGCAAATAAATAAAAATCCTAAATCTTATTAAATTGGCAAATAAAGAGCATGGAACCTACTTTGGTGTTAACACCGCAGAATTTAATAACAATAAATTTATTTTGACAATCTGTGGCATGTAAAACCTTAAGTATGTTATCTTCAAATGATGAAATGATCATAAACCGTCACTAAATGAGAAATTCCACATGTATGTCTCGTCAGGAATATACTTAAGTGTAAAAAGGATGCACCCCACTTTTCTTTCAACTGACTCCGCCCCTCTACAAACAACACCAAAATGAGAAAGAATATGGGAAACTTTGACGAATTGTTCGTGTCAATTCATCCGTATAGTACCACATGTATTTTGAATACAAGCCGTGTCGTCCGTACCGAATACCTCAACTGTACTTACGACAACTTCAAAATTGCGGAAATTAATCACAAAAATATAATCGCAAGTCACTCTTCATTTAGAACCAGACATAAAGTCACAGCATCCAATGCTGAGATTTTATCATAAAAAAGGTGGATCTGGCGTTTTTTTTCAATTTTTTTTATTTATTAAATAACGCTCCTTCATATATTATATATTACATAAAAATATGGATTTACAACGTAAACAAATCTTTAGCAGCTTGCAAGCTGGGCCGCTGGTACACATCGTTTGCGGAATTTTACAGAAAAACTCAAAATGCTGTTGCTATTTTATCTGGTAAGTGCAAAGCAACATCTTAATGAGAAATTGTAGCAATGTCCTTTGACCCCTGTTTTGTATCTGTACAAATGAGCCACCCCCTTTCTCTTCAAGCCACGCCCCTTCCATGTTGCCCTAAATCTCACAATAGAAACAGCTGGCAGAGTTGAAAGTATTTTATACTCTTTCTCTGTTTTGGCGTAATTTGTTTTAATTGATGCGAAAAACAATGTAACTCTGCGAAGACTGTCTTCAAATACAGGTGGAAAAACAATAATGATCCATGAAAATAAATTAAAATTGAAATATTATTCAACTATGCAAGGGTGTGCTTGTTAAGAACAAGTTGTTTAAACTAACCATATGAAGTTTGACACTTTTTTTGATTTGACACTATGACAACGAACGACACCATTATTGCTTATTCCTGTTAATGTCTTTAAAAAGCGCAAGGCGAGTTATGGGAAATTCAATACAAGATCATTGCGTCTAGCAAAAACAATACACCAAATCTTGTTTCCATTTTCATGTGGCGTTTTATGCTACAGCATACTTGAAACTTACAAAAATAGTCGAGCGAGCTCTGCACGGCTGGAAATGTTAAAGGTAATTATCAATTTGGATATCATTAAGATGATGATTACGACACAAATCTTAGAATATTTTAATGTTTGTTGATTCCTCCCATACCGTTTTCGAATTGTTCATTATTCGTTCCACTGATATTAAACCTGCTGTCAAGCAGCTGATTTCACGAAAAAAGTGCGCAGCAGACTTACGCAACAAATTTGGCGTGGCTGCGCTACGTTTTAAATAATTCAAACAATTTGTTCAAAAACAATTTGTTCGTTCGCGAAACAGTTGTTGGATAACCTCAGCCCGCCATTTTGAAAATGATTTTCTCGGTCTTTCTTTGGAATTGTTCGGCAACTCTAAAAATGATGTTACAAGTAAGAAAGAAATTAATTTACCTCAAACATTAAGCTGTGTCTTGTATCAACCTTGATAAATTGTGCAAAAAACGGGCTCCACGACAGTCCCGATTTGCTGGTAAAATGTGTCATTTTCAGTCGCTACGCCACAACTTATGCCACCTAAGATGACTGCACAAGTTACTCCATAATTTAATGCGCAAGTTGCGGATTTATGTACTATCCGACTTTCGTGAAATGTGTCAAAGTGAAATGTTGCGAAGCGGGCAATGTTGCGCAACTTACGCAACACATTTTGGCGCAAGCTGAGTTGCGCTGTTGCGTAAGGTTTCGTGAAATCGGCTGAGGCATCTTAAGCAAAGCATACAGCTGTAAATGTACAGATGACCAAAAAGTGTTTACACCCAGCAGTGCTGTGGTTAGAGGTGCTTACGACGGGTCACAACCATCACAAGCCAATCACAAGATCTCATAAGTCAAGCACAAGTCATCTGGTCGTAAGTTTAGACACAAGCTTTTTAACCAGTTCGCGTCGGAGGATGCGATAACACGCACTGGCTGTTTATACACACAGGTACGGCTGACGGGTTAAGATGTCAAGATTGCCTTGACTCCCCTCCATGTGACGTCTATACACGCTAATCCCGCGTGCCTTTTGTACACACACACAAACTCCGTGAAGTCACTGATCTGGTACACGGTACCCTGTGGAGACAGGTGCACAATAGGGAACAAAAGATTGTATACGTCTCCACAGAGCAATTTCTATAGGTGAATAGGTCTCCACAAGCTTATCACGAAATAGATATATGGATTTTACTCAAAAACTAGGAATTTCCAAGGTGTGTTGATCGTTGCTAATTGAAGTATTTTATGTAAGGGATATTAAGTCTGAATTTCAGCCCAGGAAATTAATTCTGGTTAAAATAAGAGCATTTTGAAACTACATGTTAAACTCGAAAACTTTAGTACATGAGAACAAAGAAATGACTCCACAAGGATACAAATTCCAGTATGGATGTGGAGGTGGACCGTGTGTTGATCTTGAATTGGCTGTTGTGCATGGCCTATTGTTGTACAATTTACGCTCCAGTGCACACCCGGAGTTTTGGCAAGAAATATCGTACAAATACTGTTGAAATGACTTTTGCGAATCAGTATTTAGGGGAGTCAGGTTGGCGAAGAGGTACTTTCCTCGCCTTCCACCGATGTGACCCGGGTTCGAATCCCGCCTGGGCCAACATGTGGATTGGGTTTTCAGTCCCTGCCTGATTCCGTGGGTTTTCCCCAGAATGTTCTTCTGGGCTTTTCCTCCCACCTCTAAAACTGTAACTTCTTCTCATTGTCTTCTCTCCACAGGTTTTTTCAGGCTTGCGAGCGACAGTGCCTAGGGCGCTTTTGAGGAATCCTTGGTTTCATTACCAGAAATGATTAATAATAATTTGTGGCGTTTGGCTGTATATCAGAAGTTGGCAGGACAATTTTGCATTTTTTTGTGAAAATCCAAATTTTCGGCAAAAATAATCCCAGCGTGAAGTGGTTAAATGATCTGTGGCAAGGCATTCGGTTGTTCCTGTCTTATGACCGGACTTGTGATAGGCTTATGATGGGCTTGTGATGGGTTTCTGATGGGCTTATGATGGGCTTGTGATCTGTCACAAGTTATCGACTACAACACCGCCACCAAGCGACCACAGACTGACATGCTGCTACAAGCTGATTGGATGATATCCACAGCAGGTCAAAATGCAGCGTTGTGATTGGCTGCCAAGCTGGTAATGTATTCATGAGGTCATCAATTGACGAATTAGTGCACCCACAATCCTTTGGACTTCCTTCGCTGCATTCTGTCAACGGCCAATCAGCCTATACCAGTGGTTGAGATCGGTGGGTACCAGCATACATGTAAACGGATGAGAGTTTGTTAGCTGGTAACCAAGCCGTGGCTACCTGCTATGGTCGCCGCTGGACCACGAGTCTTGCCGATGTTCCCTGTGCCTGTCCGATCTGTGATCCGACCAATCAGACGACCGGTGGTGATCACCCCGATCCGAGCGCTCCCTGTCGCGTTCCCGCGATCCCCCCTTTCTCCGCTTGCTGTCGATGTGTGAATGGTGGAAACGGTCGTCCCGGCTACCAGACTGGTGCTGGCTGTGTGTTGAGTTGTCCGACTTGTCGCTGTTCCGTCGTCTGTGCTCCTCCCCTCTGTTCCCGTGGTAGGGTCGCCCGGAGGGATTGTCTCTGTCCCGCTTGTTGTCATTGTTGTATCTGATGGGGGAAATAATGAGATGAATGTAAACTTTTTGGTATGATTACTGCATGATGCAGAATTCAAACCTATTGGCATTGTGTGACAACTAAAGAGGGCACTGTCACTTAATAGTGCATGCAAATATCAAACATCATGCCTACGAGAAAATAGACCATAATCCCATATCCCTTCCACAGAGTTCATTCAGTCACTTTTACTGTTTCATAAACACGTAGAATATTAAGGGAGACAATTGGGAGAGAAATCAGACAGGAGCTACGAATTCTCTCCAAATACGACCCAAAATACACCCTAATATGACCCAAACCTTACCCGAGTATGACCCGAGTGTGATCCAAATATGATCCATGTATGACCAAATGTGACCAAATATGACCCAAAATATGAACCAAATATGACCCAAAATATGACCCAAATATGACCCAACTACGACCCAAATAAGACCCAAGTATGACCCATGTATGACCAAATATGACCCAAATATGACCCAACTATGACCCAAAGATGACCCAAGTATGACCCAAATCTGACCCAACTATGACCCAAGTATGACCCAAGTATGACCCAAGTATGACCCAAGTATGACCCAAGTATGACCCATGTGTGACCCACATATGACCCAAACATGACCCCAAATGGAAAAGAATGGAGCACAATATTCTGCCCAATATGTTACCTGGATATGCCGTCTTCTCTGTCTCTGGAGTAGCTGTTTCCAAATCGATGGTTATCATATTGGTGGGGGCGACTGTAAGCAGCGGCTGTATCTCCAGAACCATATCTGTAAAGAGCCAATGAATTGTAACAATGGGACATCATGCATGTCAAATAAAATCAATTTATCCATCGTAGATTTGTGTTCTCCATAGAGCTATATTCAATAAGCCATTTGCGAGTTAAATTTGAAGAAAATCTGGAACGCTGACTTAATCCAATGCTTTGTACGTTTTAACTTTGCATTCTCCCGACCAAAGAGACTGTCACTTTATCACGTGATTCGGGTCAAGCCTTATGCTAGCAACCCCCAGCTCCGGCATGGTCTGGTGTCTTTGTGCCATTCTCAGCCATTGTGAAATATGTATTGGTGCTGAGCGTCTCTTATGTAACTATGCAAGAGCTTGCCCCGAATTACGTGATAGGCAACGGCGTCTTTTGTCTGGAGAATTCAAAGTTAAAATGTGCCAAGCATTCCGCAAGTCAAAGGGTATAGGTCACTCGCAAATGGCTTATTAGTAGAGTGCTAACTGATCACTCCCTTGCACGAATATACTTTGAAGCTGTCCTGGGCGCAGACATTTTGAATACCTGGGCGTGTTCATCTATTTAAACCGTGGACGAAAAATTCCAGAGAACAAAAAAGAACAATATCGTCAACGATTCCCAGCATACGTCCGTGATTGGGGTCGTGTACAAAACCTATGGGAGTCTTCCTAAAAAGTTGGAGTACAAACAAAAGAGGGACAATAGGACGTCCACGATCGACAGTGTGAACACGTTTGCGCGTGCGTGTTTGTGGAACATAATAAAATCACACGGAATGGATTTTGGATAATGTACCTAATGCTACACGCAAGTACAACATATGCAAACAACTTAAGTGCGTAATGGCGGAAAACGTCACGGCAAAAATCATCTTCAGCGGACACGTGTACTGCGAGTTTGAGTTGTTTGCGCAGAGCAAAATGAAACGCTCATTTACTGATCGTGTTTTCGGTTTTGGGCGTATCGGCTTTGATAACGTACCTGTATAGAATACAAACGCAGATACGCAAATAGCCGTACAAAAGCCGTACATAATGTCAAGTAGTCCATAGGTTTGTGCACAAACATGGATGCGCCCAGCAGGCATCACTTTCTACATCGAGTCAGCACTCTAGTAATTTAATATAGTTCTGTGCATCACACTCAATTTTTTTTGTGTGGACGGAGCACAAGGGAACATTTTTTCTCAGTGTCTCAAGTCTTGATAAATTACAGAAACACTAAACCACTGTATTAGAAACCCTGTGAAGTTTGAAATGATATTTGCTTTGTCAGCAGCTAAACTCATGTACTGAAATGAAAATGCTGAATGGAAAATAGGAGAAAAAGAATGCGGTTACGAAAAATGAACGGAATGAATTGAAAGTCCTTATTGGAATGCTGGAATTACAAGCCATGTGTAAAGAGGACTATTTTTCAGTTTTGGTTTAATGACTTATTATAAACCAGGTGAATGACTAACTATAAACCAAGTAAAATGGGGATGGATGCAAACCAGTTAACAGCAAAAAATCCAATAGCAAGGAAATGTTAGTACACGTATGTCAAACCCAGTTCATCAAACCTAGTTAGAGAAACTAAAAAACACACTAACCAAAGTTAAATGATTCTAGGGTCTATTTTCACGCGATCAATCGAAAAGAGAAGAATGTTTTGTGGCATATTCTTTAAAGCTACAGTCCATCATTTGCAGCTATCAAAAAAGTAACTGACGTAATTATTGTTGAAAAACATACTTGGTTGAAAGCTAGCAAGGGACTAAACTCCCTGTGAAATTATTCTTTCTGGCAAGCTGTCATTTTGAAGAAGTGCTTTCCAACGGTGCGTCTTAAGACGCACCGTTGGAAATTTCCGTTAGTAGTTCGGTTTTTTTTATACAGCGAAGCACGCGCAAGCGTTGACACGACGCACGCACGCGCCCTCTATAATTCGTCGGATCAGTGCACGACATCGCGTAGCTGCATTTTGCTCAGTAAGAACGTGTCTCGGATGCTGAATTCAAGCCCAATTCAAAACATGATTCAGCAACTTTTGATTTGAAATCGAGTTCCTAGAATGTTGTTTTTCTCGAAAAAAAAGCTGAAGCTGAGCTGAAACTTCATCAGGCTGATTGTTATCACCCTTCTTTAGATTTTGAGGACGTTTGTTGGGTCAAACGAACAAAGTGCACAAATTACAAATGATGGACTATACCTTTAAAGGTAATATACAAGTTTTACTTTTTGCTGTAATTTTCAGAAATGGATGGATTTTGAGGTTAGTATGTTGTAGTAAATATTGTTACACTGACCTGTATAAAGTTTTGTGTTCATAGACGCTTGAAAAACCAAGGGAAATAATGCTGTTCTAGTAGTCTGGTTCCCTGACCCTACTTCAGACGAAACAAAGCAATTTATAGACGTCAAGGAATTGTCAGGTCAGGGAACCGGACTAGCTGGCTTGTACCGGTTCACGGATGTGTAACCGATTGCAAACAACATGCGGACTTACTAAATTTGGTAAATTGGGGGCAGTATTTGAAAAGGTCAGTTTTTTCCAACGGTGGTCCACTGACCATCATTGGAAATTGATACAAAAATTCCACTTTTCTTGAAGATGACAGAACACCAGGTGCCGTGATTTCACAAGGTGCTTGAGACGATTATTCACTTACAGTCAAGAAAGGTATTTCATATTAATTTGGTAGTTTTGCTTTTTGATGTTTCAAAATGTTGTATATTACCTTTAAACGATTTGGTTTGTGTATTACCATTGTAATCTTAGAGATTGACAATGGCAACAAAATTATTAACTTTTGATGCCAAAAGCGTTTCAATCCTTATGCAACAGGATTGTGTAATAACTTAAACAGGGAAAAAAACACTTTAGGTTAACATTTCAATATCCATTATGCGTAAAGAAAAGCTGCTTCAATTCAAGAACCTCAGGGACTGCCATGGCGTTGGGAGCCACAGAAAGTGAAAAAAAAAAGCCAGAAGATTTGAGGCGCAACAAAATGAATTTTCTAGGAAAAACAATATTTTAGCCGGTTTGATTTTTAAAAAAATGGTGAAAAAAGTATGCTTTGAAATGCATTTTTTAAAAATGCGCAAGGCGTTCTTGCAAAATGAGGGTTTGTGGGTATTAGGAAAGAGAATATAATTCTCCTTACAATAATGTTTGTTGCACTCCCATCGGACATTCCGTTGACAAGTTATGGCTGTTTAAAGTTTGTGTTGACCGACTTGTCAAAAAAAGTAAAAACTGAGAAAAAGGCTTTTAAACTTTCGAGTTTTGCAGTCGTGAAAATGAGAGATGCCAATTGTTTTTCTTTAAAAACAATTTCATTCAACCATTTTTAAACTAGTTATTTTAAATATGCGTAGACATATAAGATTACAAATATCTATAAATCGAAAAATACAACAAAACTCACCCCCATTTGTCATTTTCGATTTTCTCCTCTATGGCCTGTGCCCAGTTCCCCCTCATTTTGCCAGAACGCCTCACATTTGTTCTAGATAATTTTCTTTCTCAAATTTGCAATTTAATGAAGGAATTTTAGGCTTTGCATGTTGGAGTATCAGTATCGTTTCGGTTTGCGGTAACACTATGTGGTAATAACTACTGTCGCTCAGTAGATATCTTATCAGAACTAAATATCTACTGAGCGACAATAGTTATTACCAGATGGTGTTACCACTATATTCATGAAGGAAGCTCTAACTTTTATGCACATTTGTTTTGATACCAAATATAATCATGTCTCGATGCAATGTGATAAATTTACTTTTGGGTCAAAAGTGAAGTATGTATTTTTAACTTACACCATCACAAATAAAATGAAAACAAATAAAGCATGCTCAGAGCGGTAAAGAATATGGACTGCATACCGTGCACATTCACATCAACACAACTTTATCAACAAATCAACTGTCAACTAAGCATTCAACCAATCCATCGATAAAGTGATCATCAGGTCAACTGGTCAACCTGTCAACTGATCAACTTGTACGCAGATCAACTAATCAACTGATCAAACAGTCGAGTGATCAACCAATGATAAACCGATCAACTGATCAACCAGTCACAAGATCAACCAATCAATTGATCGGCTAATCAACTGATCAACCAATCAGCTAATCAACCAATCAACTTATCAACCAATCAACTGATCAGCTGATCAACCAATCAACTGATCAGCTGATCAACTAATCAACTGATCAACTAATCAACTGATAAACCAATCAGCTGATCAACTAATCACCTTATCAACCGATCGAACAATCAATTGATCAACTAATCGACTACTCAATCAATCAACTGATCAACCAATCAACGTATTGTCATTCAAAATGTCGAGGTGAAAATAATTTTCAGTGGAATTGAATTGAACTTTAAGCAACCAGTCAACTGATCAACCGATCAACCAATCAACCTGATCAACCAATCAACCTATCAACGAGTCAACCAACCATCCCCTCGAAGTAGTAACATGCAAGAGAGACGTGTTGGGCCTTACCTGTCCCTAAAGGGGCCCCTGGCGGGCCCACGATTATCCGGCCCTGGGCGGTGCTCAAAACGCTCTCCAGAGCCCGGGGGTCGTTGGTGCATGCGAGGGTTGGTAGGGGGTGGATGACCACTGAGGGGTGAAGGGTCACGGGTCAGGGAAGGGTGGACAATAGAACAAAGGACACTTAAGGTTACACACATGGACTTTGAGGAGTGTTTTTTTCACTCTTTGAGTTTGATGATCATGTTTAGGTTGGATTTTTGCTCTTGGCCATGGGATGTCTTCATGTGTTGTCAACATGTAAGTGGAATGGTATGTGATTCATGGTCAAAATTTGTTTCTGTTTAGTTCTTTTCAGCGTTGGGTTCTCCATTGCAAGATTAGTTTTCAATTTACGGGACTGAAATGAGATGAGAAATGTTTCTGAATTTGACAAAATGGTTTACAATAAAAAAAAAAATAAGGGTGACTTACGTAACATAAATAACACTGATTGCCTACCGTGCTGTGTACAAGCAAATTGCACAGTCATCTAATGCGCGTAACCAATGCATAACCAACGGAACGACTAATCCACAAACATCCACCCAAATACTGATCCACAAGGCACGAGTCAACAAGCAGGATCACAGGGCTATCCACTAACGACTCACCTGTCACGATCCCCCCTGGGTCTGTCTGTCTGCCCCTCCCCACTGGGGTGGGGTCTCTTGACCCCGTGGGGGTGGCTGTAGCCCTGGGTCTGCCCCCCACCTGGGTAGCAGCCCTCTCTGGGTTTGGGGCCCCCCGCCCACTCTTGGGGGCGGGGCTTGTGACCTTGTTGATTGCCTCCAGCTGCATGCTTTGCCTGTGGATGTCAACAACAGAGTTCATACAAACTTGTGGATGTTATAAACATTGCAAAAAAAAAGAAGAAGAAAGTTCACACTCATTGGAGGGGTCATAGTTTTGAATTTGATCGTCTTATGATAATGTCATTTATATAGACCTTTGGGGAATGCTGTTTGCTACATCTTGCTACTAAAAGACTGTATTAAAATCGTCCAACACTGAAAACGGTTTATGAAAAATGATGCAGTTTGAAAAGTTGCAAATTTAAAGAGTACGCAAGTGGAAATCTGAAATATGTGACGTGGTGTGTCAAACTCAGGCACTTTTCGGCAAGAAGCAAAATACAGGCCTTGCTCTTTCAAACGTCGCTTTGTTTTTTTTACAATTTGACATTCTAAAATGAAGGTATTAAATTTTGAACTCGGACTGTCTGAAATGTTTTGTCGTTTCAGAACAAAAGCGAACAAAGTGTCATTTTGTGAAATGACATGCCTCTCCAAAAGTGTTTAGTAACAAGTATTTCTCGATGAAATTTCAGCTTTCGAAAATGTTACACATTAGTAGCCTCACAAATTCAAAAAGTCTCAAAATCGCTGAAAGTCGCGCACATGTCACTTTTCAGCTGTTTCTCCATTCGTAGCTCTTGCCCAATGGACCGATCCAGCAAGTACCGCCCCATGGTGTTCTGACCAATCACAGCCGTGATTTATGTCTGATGTGCGTGCACTGAAGTCTGACATGCGTGCACGCGCGTATGATGCGCGCGGAAGGAAAATGCAGCATGGCATTGGAGCGAGCGGAGCGCGTGTTAATTTGCCCACGTGCGCACTGGGCAGAGCTTACTGGATCGATCCATTTCGCCTGATTTTGACATACTACATCACATATTTGGAGGTGGTATCTCATCCCAGTAGCACTTGAACTATGTTGTATTACATTGTAACTTTTCTCCCCGTTGATGGGGTGGTTTTGGGCAGTGTGCAGGGTAAAAAGTATTGCGGTTTTGGGCAGTACAAGAACTCCGGGGCTAATTCTTGGGAGTATTTTATCAATTAAAGTTGAACGAGAAATGGACTGGAGCAGGGTTTGAACCTGCGACCTCCGGATAACCATTCCGGTACTTTATTAACTGAGCTTTCCAGCTAAATTTTGGTGGTTCCCCATCTCTGTAAAATAATTCTAATTTCAAACTTGATTGGCAAAGCTTTTCATAATACTCGTAAGCGATTCAAATGCACAGACATTCTGAACAGATCCTTTTACGAACCCTTCTGATTATCTTTTAGATTCTTTCTTAACCCTCCTGGTGTTCTACACTACACAAGTTTTGCAAAAACCATTTTTTTCATAGAGTCGGCGCCCACACGCCTTATTCCTTTGAGGTAATCTTCTGTGGAGTATGGATAACACTTCAAATCCCTGCACAATTCTTGTGTGTGGTTTATATAATTAAGCTCAGGGCAAGCAGGCAGATTCAATCACACTTCTCTGATCTCCACAGTGCTGTTTTTGTGTGTGCAGTGACTCTCCGTGTGACCATGCAGCTATGGTGTGACACAGTTACTTTGACACTTCATATCCCTTCAACAGAACTGACCTGCAGAGATTTAACCCTTTCATTACCACATTGTTTATTGACTAGGCTCTCCCAAGGACCAAATTGTTTGCTCAGTCATGCGGAAATCACTAGAGCGTGAAACAAACGACCACAAGTCCAAAACTCACTTTTTTCAACCCAGATTTTCACTGCCAAGGAGTGATTAAAATCATAGTTGTTGTGTGTAAAAATTGTTCCTTGAACCTTACTTTTTTATGTGATTGTGATGTAGAAATGAAGTCCATACGTGCAAATATAAGAAAGTTATGCCTTTTTGTTCATCTGGTCCCAGTTATCTAACTGCAAGCCATTTCACCACATGACCACAATGGCACTCCATACCTCAAATTGTGCGTGGATACTTCTGAAGCACTTTTCTCAATTTCTTTGGAATAGTAACACTATGAATAAACTACCATTAGAACGATCCGAAAACACTCTTTCAGCTGGTATATGGTTGATGTATGGGCGGCCAAACATATCAACACGCCGCCTTTCTGAAAAGTAGTGAATATATCTGTGTTGAGGGTGTTCTGTGTGTGGTTTGCTGGTCGACTAAAGTCGCCCATGGCAATCAGCAGGGGGGTAGTTCTTGTTGACAAAAGTCGCCAATGGTAAGGAAAGGGTTAACGGGTTTTACATTTTGCTCTAAATATCGACTTCCCACTAGGACGGTTAATTTATGACTATACCTCCTCCCGTTCGTCATCTCGTTTTCTCTGTGCATGTCTGTAGAGCTTGTACAACTTCTTAGCATCATACTCCGTAAACTTGGCGACGAACGTCCACAGGTAACTAGAAAATAAGCAAATCAAAGAATGTGTAACATCAGAGACCAGAACCTCATATTGTCAACCAGATTGAGCACTGTTATTATTCCCTAAATTTAGCGTCCGAATTGTGACATTTTTCCTGTCCCCGTTACCTTGGCTCTTTGTAATTTGCCATTCAAGTATCATTCATAAATACTTAAGACCTTTATAAATTCCTATTGGTAGAGAGCCCGTCACGTGGTCGGTCTTAAACGGATGATAAAGACTGGCTGGCTGGTCTTAAACATTTTTCAAGTGCCACATGAATTTGGACTCCTATGAAATCCAGTGCCTTTTACCGTTTTATTGGTTGAACATTTACAATCCTCATGTAGGCATGCGCAATACTACCAGTCAGTCAGAATTTCACAGTTCTAAAATCACACTACATCGGCACAGCTGTGTTCTGCGCCACATTGCACAGTATGTGAGACGTGCACGCCAATCTCCATATAAGGAGTTGTTTACGACTTACTCGTGCGACATTCCATAATATAGCTAAAGGGGTGTCCCAAAAAACCTGAAGTAAATTTGTTGAACAAAATCATTGGAAATTTATGATTTTGGACTTTATTGGGATGTTTTGAACTAAAATATTTTGACCGAAAAGGTATTTATGAATGGCAATAATAGGTCCTTGGCCGGTATTAAACACTATGTTTAAGACTGGTTGGAGTCTGGATGCTGATAATGACCCTCGCCTTCAGCTTGGGTAATTATCAGCACCCAGACTCCAACCGGCAATACACAGAGTGTTTAAAACCAACCAAGCACACATATATTCCCTTATCAAGAATGACTTTTAACTATTTTCTCATTTGTTAGGTAGGTAGTTTGCTATTCATAATTACTCTTGGAGGACGACTGCATTAAGGAGTGCATCAGAATTATATAATCATAGGTGTCACATGTAACAGGGACAGGGAAAAATACTGCAAGTAAAACTTGTGCAATCTCCCTGGCATCCTGGCAGTTTGTATACATGTCTAAGTACAGGCAGTAAGTGACGGCCTTGATTGTCCACCCGGCAGGTACCAGTTCTCAGTTGAATGGGGAGTTTGGGTTGAATGGAGAGTTTCGGTGAAACACCGGACTAACATATGTTAGAATCATTAGTATCTCTCCAGAGACCTCGTAAATATCCATACTGGAAAGGATTTTTTGACATTGGCCTTCTCTCCACAGACCACCTTTCAAGTTTGGTTGAGATTGATGACTGAACTTTACAGTGAACTTGAACACACACACACTGACACACACAGGTTTACGTTACATGCCTTGTGTGGACATTCCTTTGTTTTCGTGTAGTTAAGAAAACTCGGTACAAAAAATAACTTTACTTAAACTGTGAAAACTCTTTTAACCCAATTTTTTTCTATGATTCCCTATAGTGTTTCTCTTCATTCTGCTACGGAAAAACCTAACCCAAAAATGCCTCTAAACCTGTTTTCCAGAAAGGGCAAAACGTTATGTGGACACGGCTTAGTCCACATAACGTTAACACAACCTGCATTATGTGGACATCTTTTGTTCACAAGTCCACATAGGGAATGTAAGACAAACTCACGGACAACAGACGGAACACGCGATCCTCATTAGATGTCATTAGTATCTCTCCAGAGACCTCCTAAATATCCATATTGGAAAGGATTTTTTTGGACGTCGGCCTTCTCTCCACAGACCACCTTTCAAGTTTGGTTGAGATTGATGACTGAACTTTACAGTGAACTGGAACACGGCTTAGTCCACATAACGTTAACACAACCTGCATTATGTGGACGTCTTTTGTTCACAAGTCCACATAGGGAATGTAAGACAAACTCACAGACACACGGACACACAGATGGAACACGCGATCCTCATTAGATGTCATTAGTATCTCTCCAGAGACCTCCTAAATATCCATATTGGAAAGGATTTTTTTGGACGTCGGCCTTCTCTCCACAGACCACCTTCCAAGTTTGGTTGAGATTGATGACTGAACTTACAGTGAACTTGAACACACACACACTGACACACACCCAGTCGTTTTTTGCTATGCTTCCGAGGATTGGCTTTGTGTTTTCCTTTGTCCCTGTAATATAACACTCTCCCATAGACTAAGCACACAAACCTGCGTTCGAGGACAATAGGCACCTTCCTTCGAGGATCAATGGCCCCTTTGTGCTCCTTTTGTTGTCTGTCCTCAGGCGTAATGCCATGCAGGAACACACACACAGACGGAACACGTGATCGCAATATCCCCCTGTCTGGCTTGCAAGCCAGGGGGATAAAAATGTGGACCCTAAATTCATAGATATTATATAGATTTAAGATAAATTTATGCTGTTTGGCCGATGGGTAATTTCAGTTGGCCAACTCTCACTAGTTGACACTCACCCCTTCCATTCATGGATCTTATCGGCATCTTTCAGGTCTAAGATGCAATCGGCGATGTGGTCGCCGATCTTCAGCAGGCACTGTCTGGTGTGATTGACCTGTTCCTTCTCGGAGACTTCCTCGGGAGGGTTGTCTAAGAGTTTCAGGGCCTTCTTGACTGGTCGCATCTTTTCCTTACACTACGAGCAACAAAAACAAAAATTGAAAACCATGGTCTTAGTTCAAGAAGGTCATTCTTTTGTACGTAGGATTTTTTGCATCAATGAGATGTAAATTAAATACTAACGCTGGCCTCAGGTCGACCCGTGATTTGCTTGCGCCACGACGGAACCGTTGGCATCAAGCAAAAAACTAATGCTCAGGTTACAAAACTGAGAAATCGTGCGATTATCATGGAACAAGCGGCATCTCGGCGCAAAATAATCGCAACCATGCACATGTCAACCACGACGTGATGTTGATTCTACAGCATAGACAGTCATGTGACTTCTTTAGCAATAGCGAGAGCGGTGTTGATTACAATCAAATGACATTCCATGGCCACACCAGCTGTTCATTCAGCCATTTTTACCGGACGCTGATTGGCTACAGGACTGCGATTGATTCCCGCCTGTCGGGCACACGTTGCAGCAGTTGAAACGTTTCTACTCTTGCGACTGTTGATTTTTTTAAGGGCCAACTGATGCCGATTGTCTTAATATCGTTGCAGTTACACTCAGGTCGCACAGAATCGGCAACTTGTTTGTTCCCAACGGTAAAAGCTACGGTGCAGCTTGATCCTGAAAAGTCAGTCGCCGACTGATCTGTGTCATCGCAAGGTCGACCTGAGGGCAGCTTAAGGATTATGGGATACATGAGGATTATGGGACATGTGAAGATTATGGGATACCTGAGGATTATGTGATACTTGGGGATTATTGAATACCTAGGGATTATGGGATACATAAGGATTATAGGATACCTGAGGATTATGGGATACTCGAGGATTATGATATACCTTAGGATTATGGGATACCTAAGGAGTATAGGATACCTAAGGATTATGGGATACATGAGGAGTATAGGATACCTGAGGATTATGGGAGTCATGAGGATTACAGGATACCTAAGGATAATGGCATACCCGAGGATTATGGGATACCTGAGGATTAATATGTGAGGATTATGAGATACCTGAGGATTATGGGATACCTGAGGATTATGGGATACCTGAGGATGATTGGATACGTGATACTTACGGCACTGAATGTAGCTTCGTCGAGTTCCCCGGTTGGATCAATGAAGACTGGATTTCGTTGGGCGGTGATGTGCATAGGGGGAAGCTCCTTATGACCCTTCTTGGGTCCTTTGGTGTCTGTCTTATCTTTACCCTGAAAGACCAAAAAAACAGCGTTAGGAACATAAGTTCATGTTAACGATGTGATGCATCAGACAACAGAACAAAGAACGTTCCAGATTGGACCACAAGCCCTGCAAACCTATGGGTTATGTTCATTTTTGGGAAAACTTTGTTGCAATGTTTCAACGTTTGCGAATTTGCTGTGCAAAAAGTTGTTGGACATCACACATTCTTATTTGCTTTTGCGTCAATTATGAACAAGCCTTCACAAATGCTGGTAATGACTTTGACCAAGCTAATATGGTCAGCTGACCATTCCTAGAAGGGTTTATTTCTTTACCTTTTTCTCTTTCTTAGTTTCTGGCTCGTCGTCAACAATCTCGCCTTCTTCTTCCGGTTCTTCCGTCTTGACCTTCTTCCTGCGTTTACTCTCTCCTTGTTCCTTATTCTCCTTCTCTTCTTTCCCGTTGTCGGCGGTTTTCTTCCGAGCGCCTTTCCTTCCCTTCTTGGCGGTTTTCTTGGCGGTGGTGTCTTCGTTGTGCGCTGCTTTCTTCCGGTTGTTGGGTTTGGTCTTGGGCTCGCGTTTGACGGGGGCCGGTGGTGTTGCTGCTGCTGGTGTGTCTTTGGGTTTCCGCGTTTTCTTTGGTTGCTGAGAAAGGGGAGAAACAACGAAATGAATTGAGGACTTGTAGTGACTTGCGAGGACCTTTGTGGACTTGTGAGGACTTGTGATGACTTGCCATGGACTTGTGAGGACTTGTGAGGACTTGTGAGGACTTGTGAGGACTTGTGATGGACTTGTGATGACTTGTGTGGACTTGTGAGGACTTATGGGGACTTGCGATGGACTTGTGAGGACTTGTGAGGACTTGTGTGGACTTGTGAGGACTTTTGTGGACTTGTGAGGACTTGTGATGTCTTGTAAGAATTAGCGATGGACTTGTGATGACTTGTGATGACTTTTTAGGTCTTGTTATGACTTGTGGTGACTTGTGATGGACTTGTGAGGACTTGTGAGGTCTTGTGAGGATTTGTGAGGACTTGTGTGGACTTGTGATGGACTTGTGATGGACTTGTGATGATTTGTGAGGAATTGTGAGGACTTGTGATGACTTGTGGGGACTTGTGAGGCCATGTGATGGACTTGCGAGGATTTGAGATGGACTTGTGATGGACTTGTGAGGTCTTGTAATGACTTGTGGGGACTTGTGATGGACATGTGAGGATTGTGAGGACTTTTGAGGTCTTGTGAGGACTTGTGAGGACTTGAGATAACTTGCCATGTACTCGTGATAGATGTGATAGACTTGTGATGGACTTGTGATAGACTTGTGATGGAGTTGTGATTGACTTGGGATGGAGTTGTGATTGACCTGTGATTTACTTCTGATGGGCATGTGATTGGCTAGTGATGGACTTATGATATTCATCTCACCTCAGCTATGAGTTCCTCTTTGTCTCGTTGTTTCTTGAGGAGTTTGATGAGATACTCGCATCTCGTCTGGAGTTGCTTCCCTTGAGGTTTCTTCTGAGGGTCCGGTAATAATATCTACAACGAGATAGACAGGAGGTTGGAAGGTAGTAAAATCTCAGCTAACAAGATAAATTGATTAACGACTTGATTCATTCAAATGAAAGCAGGGAAGGCTGCAAGCAGATATCCCGCATGCGCGTTTGGAATTGTGAATTGGCTAATAGTAACATTCCAACGTCTCTAGTCAAACGCTGGTCAAAACGTCATCACGAAATGTCGCAATCCTGGTTCCCTGCTGTGCGTTATGATGTGTGCGGCTATTGGTAACCAGTGATGCAACCATGCCCTGGGCTCCGGTTCCAAATAGTCGATTAGAGTAGTCCGACCTTCGTGCATTCGAGTGAAGTTAAAACTGCGCATCGGAACTGAGCACCAGAGTACCCGACCCTTAATGTCAGGAACCGGTTCTAGATTATGGGATCGGGTACCCGTAACCAACTTTACAAATTACTGCGTTACTTCTCAGACAATGAACAAGAAAGGTTTTGAAGTCATTAGTGGGGAATTTTCAAAATGATAATCAGGCCACATGGGAAAAAACAAACATATTTCACACTTATGAGCTGCAGTTTACACCGTAAAGCTATAAAGCTCAATGTACACACTTGTATCTTGCTGTATTGACGCACCGATGAAGTAGTATTATCGTGCGGACCTTTGTAAACAATCTCAACAGCAACTTCCAAGATTTGAATTTTGGCATGTTTGGCAATGTTTGGTTTCTTTAACGAGTACCCATGTATCCGTGGTTTTTTTTAATCGGGTAGCCGGTTATATATATAGCCCTCGCTTGATATTTCTCCTGGCTGCTCTATGGGCTCCGTTGCAAAAGTACCCCCTCAACGGTAAGAAAGGGAAAGTTGGGGGAGACCACTGTGAGAGACATTAAAAGTACTGCCAACCACACCTGAAGCTCATGCGAAAACGCTATAGATTTGTGTATCTTGCTTTGTTGTGTAATGCACGTTAAAGAACCCAGTTACACTTATCGCTAAGAGAAGGGGTTTGCCCCAGTGTTTCTGGCAGTGGCTTCAATATTGCAGATTAAAACTTAATTTGCCAGTGATGCTGAGATACAAGAGCTTTGGTCAGTTTTGAACAAAAGACACAAAATATCTCATGTTTTATTCATAACAACTCATGCATAATTCATGCAGCACCTTGTAGCCGAGCGGTTAGAGCGTGGAGCTACGGAGTGGAAGGTTGGCATGCCCGTAGCCATGCGCGTCGGCAAAATGAAAAAGTTTTTTTTTTTCAATAAAAGATGATGTCTCAAAACCGCCAAACTCACTGGTTTGACTGGAATCCTGCTGCTGCACAATTTTAACGTGTTTTTAGATGGGGTTATGATCGAGAATAAGCTTTATATGGCCTCTCTGGACTCCCATATATTTGCACTAAGTTTAGTCGGGCACCATTTGCAGTCATCAGCCGACATTTGAAGCCCCCCCCAAAAAAAAAGGTAAAAAAAAAAAAAAAAAAAGCCGCGTCGCCGCACCACTTTTTGGGCAAGCTCCATACCAGAAACCAAAGACTTTTTTCTTGGGCCTTAGCAAGTTCAAAGTAGGAGAATTTCTACCACATCTCATGGTAATAATCTGCGCTTTTGCCTTTTCAGCCTACCTTATCGTGAAGGTTGAGTTCTGGATCCATCTTGATAGCCTCCCAGCTGCCCATGCCGTACTCGTAGATGCCCTTCAGTAGATTGGAGTCTTCATCCACGCTCCAGTCCACGTCCCAATGAGCCACCTTGGCTCGGCACTCCAGCTGGTATCTAAAAACAACATCAAAGATGACTCCTTGTCAAAATTCATCTAACGACTGAGATTTTTTCCTTTAAAGGGCATGAAATGAACGGAAAATACCGGACAAAAAATCCTAAAATCAGGAAAGAAACCTGAAATCAGGAAAAAAAACGGACAAAAAATCCTGAAATCAGAAAAAAACCTGACCAAAAATCCTGAAATCAGGGATATACCGGACAAAAAATCCTTAAAACAGCAAAATACTGGACAAAAAATCCTGAAATCAGGAAAATACCGGACAATAATTCCCGAAATCAGGAACAAATCTGACAAAAATCCTGAAATCAGGGAAAAACCCAACAAAAAATCCTGGGATTTCCTTGCTAGGTAAAAGGGCGCCCTCTTTGCTGGCGCACAGAGCCCATAACCTACAGGGTGAGTAAAAAAAAAAATTGGCAGGACAAATTTTTGAATGAAGTTTTGCCTGTAGCACTTTCAAAATCTAGGATATGAAAGCCCAGTCATTAAGCTTTCTTTTAGTACAAGAATCATTCAAATCACTCATGTACTTTTCAAGTTACGGAATTTTGAAAACAAACACTGTTTTAATGTTCTGTCCATGTATCACAAAAAGTATGTGCTCTTCAGCAAAATGAAAACAATTCTCATAGGATGCATGTGAATTGTTTTTGTTTTGCTGAAAGAACACTTACCCTTTTTGTGATCCGTGGACAGAACTTTAAAACGGTGTAATTGTGTTCAAAATTCCGTAACTTGAAAAGTACATGAGTGATTTAAATGATACTTGTACTAAAAGAAAGCTTATTGATTGGGCTTTCATATCCTAGATTTTGAAAGTGCTACAGGCAAAACTTTATTCAAAAATTGGTCCTGCCATTTGGGTTTCATTTATTTTTTTACTCACCCTGTATGCCAGACTTTGAAATAACCTAGCAAGCAATGACAAAAAGAACAACTCGAGACCCGAGAACTACAGACAGAAAATATAGGTTGCGCAAATGAAACTGCTTAGCATGGATCAGTTTCTGGTTTCTTGCGTTCACTGAGTAAATCTTTTCCGAGCTTAGCGTTTATGTTCTTAGCAAGCTGGATAAATTGGCTTCCCGCTTACTTCTTTCTCTGGACAGGATCGGCTGGTATGGTCTGGACCAACGCTTTAAACTCCTCTTCATGTTTCAGAAGTGACGGAGCGTTGATGGTGACTCCGGATATCTTCAGTGTAGCCCCTCTCTTCTTGCCTAGAGGAAATTGACCAAAAAAACAGTTAAATTTTCGTGACTTACTTGTAATGGACTTGTAATGGTCTTGTGATTGACTTGTGATTGACTTGTGACTGAGTTGTGATGACTTGTGATTGACTTGTGACTGAGTGGTGATTGTCTTGTGATTGATTTGTGACTGACTTGTGATTGTCTTGTCCTTGATTTTTTTGTGACTGACTTGTGATGGACTTGTGATAGACTTGTGATTGACTTGTGATTGACTTGTGATGACTTGTGATGACTTGTGATTGACTTGTGATTGTCTTGTGACTGTCCTGTGATTGACTTGTGATGACTTGTGATTGATTTGTGACTGACTTGTGATTGTCTTGTCCTTGATTTTTTTGTGACTGACTTGTGATGGACTTGTGATAGACTTGTGATTGACTTGTGATTGACTTGTGATGACTTGTGATGACTTGTGATTGACTTGTGATTGTCTTGTGACTGTCCTGTGATTGTCTTGTGATTGTTGTATGATTGACTAGTGATTGTCTTGTGACTGTCCTGTGATTGTCTTGTGAATGTTGTATCATTGACTAGTGAATGTCTTGTGATTGTCTTGTGATTGTCTTGTGATTGACTTGTGATTGTCTAGTGATTGTCTTGTGATTGTCTTGTGACTGTCCTGTGATTGTCTTGTGAATGTTGTATCATTGACTAGTGAATGTCTTGTGATTGTCTTGTGATTGACTTGTGATTGTCTAATGATTGTCTGGTGATTGTCTTGTGACTGTCTTGTGTTTGTCTTGTGACCGTCTTGTGTTTGTCTTGTGATTGAATGATGGTTGTCTTGTGATAGACCAATGGTTGTCTTGGGATTGTCTTGTGACTGTCTTGTGATTGACTAATGATTGTCTAATGATTGTCTTGTGACTGTCTTGTGACTTACCATCAAAGTCAGCTTCTTCTCGTAAGCGTTCCTCATACTCCTCGATGGCCCTCTTACATCCATCATGCAGCATGGTACCCAGCTTCATCAGATCAGCTTGGGACTTCTCCTGCAACTCGGCATCACCGGCGATGGCTTCCAATCTGTATGAATTATGCATGAGAGGTTATGAATAAAACATGAGATACTTGTGTCTCTTGTTTAAAACTGAGCATAACTCCTGTATCTCAGCATCACCGGAAATGGCTTCCAATCTGTATGAATTATGCATGAGGTTATGAATAAAACATGAGATATTTGTGTCTCTTATTCAAAACTGAGCATAACTCCTGCAACTCCGCGTCACCGGCAATGGCTTCCAATCTGTATGAATTATGCATGAGGTTATGAATAAAACACGAGATATTTGTGTTTCTTGTTCAAAACTGAGCATAACTCCTGTATCTCAGCATCACCGGCAATGGCTTCCAATCTGTATGAATTATGCATGAGGCTATGAATAAAACATGAGATATTTGTGTCTCTTATTCAAAACTGAGCATAACTCCTGCCACTCCGCGCACCGGCAATGGCTTCTAATCTGTATGAATTATACATGAGAAGTTATGAATAAAACATGAGATATTTGTGTTTCCTATTCAAAACTTAGCATAACTCTTGTTACTCAGCGTCACCGGCAATGGCTTCCAATCTGTATGAATTATACATGAGAGGTTATGAATAAAACATGAGATACTTGAGTCTCTTGATCAAAACTGAGCGTAACTCCTGTATCTCAGCATCACTGGTAAAGTTCCAATCTGCATGAATTATGCATGAGAGGCTATGAATAAAACATGAGATACTTGAGTCTCTTTTTCAGAACTGAGCATAACTCCTGTATCTCAGCAATACCCGCGAAGTTCCAATCTGCATGAATTATGCATGAGTACTTATGAATAAAACATGAGATATTTTTTTGAATTATGCATGTGAGGTTATGAATACAACAAAAGATATGAATAATCATGTCAGCCTTTACAAAACCTTGGATTCTCTGTCAGGACAAAAAATAAATAAAAATATAACACAGGACGAAGTAACAGTATTTATTATCCCGTCCTACATAATTCGTGTTGATAAATGTTAAGTCTTTACGTATCGACAAAAGACTGTCATACATGTACATACCTTGTTAGCGGTTCACCAAATTTCTTGTAACTCTTGATGAATCTACAAAAAAATGAAAACATAAAATTTGTTACAAAATAGAAATTTGGGACACATTTCCAGACCTTTGATAAAGATAGTCTCTACTAATAAGGGAATAAATGTGTGCTTGGGAGGTGTTAAACACTATGTTTAAGACTGGTTGGAGTCAGGAATGCTGATAATTATCCGAGCTGAATCTAAGGATAAACACATTTATTTCCATTCATAAATACCTTTTCGGTGAAAAAAAAATCAAAACTTTTCGGTCCATTTGTGACCCGAGGAATACACCTTAAAACGATGTTTGTGTTTAAAATTCCGTAACTTGAAAAGTACACGAGTGATTTGAATGATTCTTGTACTAAAAGAAAGCTTATGAATTGGGCTTTCATATCCTAGATTTTGAAAGTGCTACATGCCGAACTTCACTCAAACAATGGTCCCGACATGTGGGTTTCGTTTTTTTACTCACCCTGTATAGGCCAAGAATCATTTGCATAGGTTACAATAAATCATGGAAGTCAGGCTTCAGATTCCATATATCTATACACGTACCTTCTGATTTCGGCATCAGTGAAACCGTGCACACCGTCCCGCCGCGTCGTCCGTGGTCTACCCCGCGGTTTCTTGGTTTTCTTCTCCGTGTCGCTTTCATCCGTCTCGCTGCTTGAACTGGAGGAGCGCGAACGCTTGGTACGCTTCTTACGTGTCACGGAGGCCTCTGAGTCACTGCCTTGGTAGGTCATCTTTAGAAAAGGAAAACAAAAAAAATCAGCATAAAGCCCGGTTCATACTCGGCGCGAAAGCGAAAGTGAACGCAAATTTGTGACGTCATGTCACGTATTCGCGCTGCAAATTCGAAAAAGTTGAGCACATTTCAACCCGGGCGAATTTCGCAGCGAACGTTTCATGACATCAAATTCGCTTCGCATTCGCGTGGAGTATGAACCGGGCTTAAGACCCAAAAACAAAGTCTCCGGTTTCTGGTCTGCGGGCATCATCGTAGCCATGGGCATCGGCAAAATTTAAAAAAAATTTAAGATGATGTCTCAAAATTGCCAAACTCACTGGTTTGACTGGAATCCTGCTGCTGCACAATTTCAACGTGTTTTTAGATGGGGTTACGATCGAGTATAAGCTTTATGTGGCCTCTCTGGGCTCCCATATATTTTGCACTAAATTTAGTCGGGCACCATTTGCAGACGGTGTTGTAATTTTGTAATTGTGCGTCTGGAAGCCAGACTGAGGGAGCGATGGTCGTGTATCTGGAAACAAAACGCTTTTAATTAGCGCAATGTGTAAGGGAGCAGACTAATGACCAGCCTGGCAGCACACGCACGATATCGATGTCGCTGTATGGTCTGACGTTACCGTTTTCTCTGATTTTTCTCTTGACTATCCAAATTTCCCGAAGAATGTTCGTGTCGGTCGAGATCTTAAATGGGTGCAGAATTCTCAAGCCTTATGGCCTTACTGAGGTCACCTCAAGCTTCACCCTGAAGGATATTTTTGAGAGTTTTAAGGAGATCGAAGCATCATCTGCAACATCAGCCGACATTTGAAGAACAAAAAACTAGTGGCCTAAGTGTGATCTTGAAGTGATATTATGTGAAGGCAAATCTCTTGTGCATCGGTGTGGGCTTTAAAGGTAGAGTAGATCATTTGCAGCTTTCGAAAAAGTCACTGACCAAATTATTGTTAAAAGGCTTACTTGGTCTTATGGATAGTAACAACACTTAACTCCCTGTGAAATTGTTTCTGCTGACATGCTGTCATTTTGAAGAAAACAATAAACGAAGGTCATCTCCAAAGATGAGTCAAGTGATGACGTTAGCAGTTGGTTTGTAACTGGGCAAATTCGTGAATGGGTGCATGCAAGCGTTGATGAGACGCACATGTGTGTATTGTTGCTATTATTCGTCAGTTCAGTGCGCGACATAGCGTAGCTGCAATCGGCTGAATGAGAACATTTCCCGGATGCTGATTTGATTCGCAATACTCGGCAACTTTTGAACTGAAATTGAGGTCCTCGAATATTGTTTTCTCGTAATATACAGCATTCACTGAGCTAAAAAATCATCAGGTTTAGTTGCTAAGCACCCGTCTTTAGATTTTGAGCACTTTTGTTGACTCAAACGAAAACAAAATGCACAAATGACAAATAATATACTCTATTTTTAAATAATATCAAAAAATTACAATGGATGTAGTAAGTTGCATGATTTTGAGTATTCCTCTAGGAATAGACCTTTCTTTTTGCACTTCATAGTCATAGTTTTTACCAAGCAGTGGTTAGCGTAGTATTGGCACCAGAATTTTTAAAAATCATGAATAATATATTACTTTTACACAGGCAAACTGAAAGGGACTGTACTTCCTGGAATACGCCCAATGGGGCTACATAACACGCTTTGAAAGATATGATGTTACTCGGAAAGAACATTTAAAAGTAGATATAAACATCCACACAACTATCCTTTAAATACTGGGCGTTTATGTTTTATTCTTGTGTTATGTGTGCGAAAACAAATTTCGGGGTCCACTTTTGCGACCCCATAAATTCGGGCTGTTCATTGATAGTTGTGATTCCATCTGTAAAGTGTTTGCCTTTTGCGGACGTGTAAGAAACCACATGTGCATTGGTGCTGTGTGTAATTTATGTGACCTACACAACGTGTATCGTGACTGAAAACGACAGGAAAAATAACAGCGTTGCTGTTGAAACCCCTCAGCCAGAGTCAAGTTATCATCCGGAAACCATTAACCTTTAACTGAACATGGTGACCTTGACCTTTTACCTTTGACCCCAGAACCAATCCCAACATGCCTGTACTTTTTGGGCAAACCCCTACCGAAGTTAGACACCAAAATTTCATTTCTAACTCAAGTTATCATCCGGAAACAATTTACCTTGAACTCACCACGGTGACCTTGAACTTTGACCCTTTGACCTCAAAACCAATCCCAACTTGCCTTCTCCTAAGGGCAATCCCCTACCAAAGTTACAATCCCAAACAACATTTGTAACTCAAGTTATCATCCGGGAACTAAGCTGCCCGGACGGACGGACGTTCTAGCCAGACGGACTTGTGGGGTGATAGCATTGTGTTCCCATTATCCCTTTTTCTAAAGATTCCCTTCTGGGGTGATGTTTTTCCATTGTGTAAAAAGTGGGGTGATGTGTTCTGAAAGGAACATCACCCCACAAGGGTGGTCTGGTCAGAACGGACGGCCCGACATATGGACATCCGGACGGACGCCGTAGGCGATGACAATACCCGTCGAGCCTCTCGGCTGAGGGGTAAAAATGCGTTCAGGTGCTACTTTGTTCTCTCACCCTGTTGACTTGCTTGCGGACTCTCGGAGGCAGATACAGCTGGAGTTGCTCCTTCTGTTTCGCATCTTCCTCCACTTTCAGACGGTTAGCCTCGGGGATCAAGTCCTCCCAGTCTTTGCCCGTATCCTCGACAACCGCCTCCATCTCCTCATCGTCGACCATGGAGGAGAAATTGGCAACCTAGCAACATAATGGTTAGGAAAATACTCAGGTTACTTAGAGGTAAACAAACTTTTAAATCACTGACAAATCTGAGGCATTCTCGCAAAAAGAGACCGAACTGGGCGCGTTTTCGCGACCATGACAAGAAACATGTTTCGGCTTTGGTCATGGGTTGAGCGTTTTCATGACTTCGGTTGGCTGGAGTGACGTCACTGTTCCGACCAAAACCGAACCAAGGCCAAGGGTCGTTACGGAGTGCATTTCAAGATTGCAAAAGATAAATAAACGACATATTACAAAACAGTGTTGGAGGAAAATAAGCCTGTAATGCTTATTTTCAATATGTACCTCGTAAGTGTGTACGTTTTAAGTGGCCTGTAATAAAATGTCATAAAATGGCCGCTATCGCCTTAAAATTCTTGATGATATCAAAACGTCCACAACGTTTGTTTACAACTTTTTGACACAGTTTTAGGTTCAGGGTTTTTGTACGCATGTGTAAACATGTTTCTGGTTATCAACTTGACGTCACATACATGATTAAAAATAATGTTATTGGGCTTTTTCTCAGCGTTTCCAAATTTTTTGTGAATTTCGGTAAGAAATATGGAAATTCCGTACTGGTTGGCAGCTCTGCTAACCATAGTTAATCACAGTTCTAAAATACTTTTCAAAGATAAAGACAGAGGCATATTCTCCCAAGTGTGATGGGTGAGGATTCTTAAGACCTCACCTTGAACTGAGAGAGGAGTTCTTCCCCTGCTCCACCATTGTCTTCAGCTTCTCTCGTCTCTGCTCTCTCCAAGATGGCATCAATATCCATCTCCTACAAAGAAAAGGACAAATAAAATAACACTTGAGACTCTTATCTTGTTTGAGAGTTAAATTGACAATAGGGTTGTTGCCTTAGAAGTTGAAGTCAAACAAATCTGTTGTTCAGGGGCGGGCAAGGATGAGTTGAAGGGGGAGGGGGAGTTTCCTACCTGTTGTTCGGACTCCTCGCCATCAGCTTCCTTGAAGAGGTCTTCAACTCCAAACTTGAGAATAGCTGCCAGTTCCTCCTTGTTGAAGGGTGTGTGACTGAACAATTCAAAAGAGACAAATACATTTAATTACAAGACTGAAGTAATAAAGTCCGTCACGAGCCAATATGGCCCACTGGCCAGCATTCATCTCTGGTTACAGTGGCATGAAACCTCTGAGAATATTTCCATTCCCCCTGGATGGGATGCTAGTCCATCGCGGGTTACTCCCCAGCTAATGCCGGTACCCATTTATACTTCTGGGTGGAGAGAGGCAAGCGGGGGTGAAGTGGCTTGCCCAAGGACACAACATGACCAGCAGCTGGATTCTAACCCCTGACCCTCTGATCTTGAGTCACGAACCCTAACCACTAGGCCGAAATTCCACACTTAGAAGACTGAATATTTTTGTAAATTAGTTCATAAACAATGATGACGACTCCCGGCCCATTTTCCTCCGAGTTTAATCCTACCTGGCTGAGGCGGATGATTTGGACAGCACCGTCCGTCCCGTCGTGTCCATCCTCTGGATGACCAGATGATCGAGCACCATCTTCCGTTTGGCCCTCTCGACAATGTCCTCCTCAACACTGCTCTTTGTGACCAACCGATAGATGTTCACCTAGGGTTGCAATCAAAAAACAAACAAAATTGAAAAAAAAATAGAATTGGAACAGACTTTTCAAGACGTCATTATCACTGCATCTTATACAAGTAGCTCACATGATGACACCTAAACGTCTTGCTCAGCATCAATAGGGTTCGATCGTATGACGTCAAAGTACCACGTGACCACAAAACAATTAAATTTTAAAGGGAATGTACATCATTGGCTTTTGCTGTAATTTTCAGAAATGAACTATTTGAGGGGTTAGTATAATAGATCAAATTATTGTTACACCGACAACATGTTTGAAGTTTTGTTTTCGAAAATGCTGGAAAAACCAAGAAAAACAAAAATGTTCAAGTAGTCTGGTTTCCTGAGTCCACTGAAGATGAAATGGATCAATTTACAGATGCCGGAAAAATTGTAAGCTAAGGGAACCAGTCTAGCTGACCTGCACCCATTCATGAACATAAAACCAATTAGCAAACAAAATTGGACTGAAAAAATGGTAAATTTGGAGCATTAGTGAAAAATAGTTAGGTTTTTCCTACGGTGGTCGGCCGACCACCGTTGGAAATGTAAACAAAAATACAATTTTCTTGAAAATGACTACACACCAGTTGCCATAATTTTACAGGATGCTTTAGACTGTCATTTACCAACATCCTGTAAGGTATTTTGTAAAAACTTGGTCATTTTATTTTTTGATGTTTGCAAATGTTGTATTTTACCTTTAACTACACAAAAATGTTGTGTAGGTGCAGGTTACATGGGTCAGTGAGGGAGCCCTATCAACAGAGTGAGAAGCACACATTCTACGGGAGTCTGTTTGACTGACCTGGTTCCTCTGGCCGATCCTATGAGCCCTAGCCATAGCCTGGATGTCATTCTGTGGATTCCAGTCCGAGTCAAAGATAATAACCGTGTCTGCTGTGGCAAGATTTAAGCCCAGACCACCGGCCCTTGTGGATAACAGGAAGCAGAAATCCTGCAAAGAAAACCAACAAATTATCCAAATAATTTGCGAGGTCAAATCTTTTCAATTGATCATCTTCAATGTGGCTCCTGTTGCCTTACATGCCTTTTGCCTTGCTCCTTTGAACAAATGAGAATACAGTCGAACCCTGATAAGAAGAGCACTGTTAATACAACATCCTGTTTATTACAAGGAAAATGTTAGGCCCAACGTCTTTGTTTTCTATTACTGATAATACAAGGTACCTGTTATAACAAGGTTATTTGCAAAGTCCCAAGGACCTTGTTATAAAGGTGACAAAATGTATTTCTATTCCCCCTGGATGGGATGCTAGTCCATCGCAAGTTACTCCCCAGCTAATGCTGGTACCTATTTGTACTCCTGGGTTGGAGAGACGCAAGTGGGTAAAGTAGCTAGCCCAAGGACACAACATATGGCCAGCAGACTGAGAATATTTCTACTCCCCCTGGATGGGATGCTAGTCCATTGCAGGTTACTCCCCAGCTAATGCCGGTACCCATTTGTACTCCTGGGTGGAGAGAGGAAAGTGGGTAAAGTAGCTTGCCCAAGGACACAACATATGACCAGCAGGCTGAAAATATTTCTATTTCCCCTGGATGGGATACCAGTCCATCACAGGTTACTCCCTAGCTAATGCCGGTACCCATTTATACTCCTGGGTGGAGAGAGGCAAGTGGGGATAAAGTAGCTTGCCCAAGGACACAACAAATAGCCAATGACTGGATTCGAACTCCTGACCATCAATCAGGATTGCTACACTTCACCAGATTGGGAGCTGATGGCAGAAGAAAACCTAATGAAAGATTTTTGAGGATTCAAAGTTGTTTCAAGCAAAGACGTCTGGGACGCATGAGTTCATGAATGGTTTAGGGATGGATTGGGTAACCAAGTATTCCGCCCGCTTACCTGTGATCCCTCGGCATTGAAGTGGTCCAGCGCCTGTTTGCGTAGCTCCCCTTGAATCGATCCATCTAATCTCTGATCAAATCACATCAAGTATAATCATTAGGTAAAATAGCTGCCGTGTAAAGGATTTGTGCATGACATTAGAGGGCGCTCTTTAGCTAAACAAGAACACAGTGGTAGTGCTAATAATGGGTAGAGATCCTTTTGAAACTCCGGAATCAACTCCAGCTTCGGAGTCATTCAGAAACTCCTAATGTCCAAACCAAGTCAGGGATGGAAAATCTCAGGAAGCCGAAGTTGGTGAAAAAGCCATGGCTTCAAAATGCTTTAGTCAACTTTCCAACCATCACAGAAATTTGACGTTTTGCTTGTTATAAGTGGTTTAGTGATACAGTGTAGTGCGGTATACAGCAGGTAGCCAGGAATGTAAGGTAATATTTTCAAGTTTGACATAAGTTCAACTAAGCTTTTTCAAAGATGAACAAAGATATTGACTGGAGCAGGCTTTGAACCTGCGACTTCTGGATTGCTGTTCTAGTGCTCTACCAACTGAGCTATCCAGCCATATATGTTGGCGGTTCCCCAGTTTGTCAATGTCGTAGTAAATTAACATCAGTGTACAGGGTCCGATCTCATTGTTCTGTTTTAAGCAAAATATGTTAAGCGAATTTGCCTGTTAATCTGCTGAATACCAATAGGCAGTTTAAGCAAATAATATTTGATGCTTAACACATTTCAGTTCTGAGCAGTTCCATCAAATCAGCCCCAGATGTGATGTACATCATTAATAAACAATGTTTCCTGATCAAACTTAGGTAAAAAAAAGAAAACAAAACAAAATAGTGCTTCCATAAAAACTGGGTATTAAAGGTATAGTCCATCATTTGCAGCCATCCGAAAAGTAACTGGCGTAATTATTGTTGAAAAACAAACTTGGATGAAAGATAGTAAGGAGACTAAACTCCCTGTGAAATTATTCTTTCTGGGAAGCTGTCATTTTGAAGTAATCAACGAAAGAAGGCATTTCCAACGGTGATTCTTAAGAAGCACCGTAGGAAAATTTAAATTAGTAGTTCGTTTTGTTATTCAGCGCAGCGCGCACAAGTATTCGAACGATGCACACGCGCGCGCGGTTGTTATAATTCGTCGGATCAGTGCGCGACGTCGCGTATAGTTGCAATTCAAAACATGATTCAGCAACTTTTGATTTGAAATTGAGATCTTAGAATGCTGTTTTTCTCGGAATGTACAGCTGAAGCTTAGCTGAAACTTCATCAGGTTAGTTGCTCAGTATCCTTCATTAGATTTTGAACTCTTTTGTTGCTTCAAACGAACAAAATGCACAAATTACAAATGATGGACTCTACCTTTAAGAGGCAAATTATTCAGTGATTTGTTGTTTTTGTCATACCTGAAAGGGGAAGTGTTTGTAGCGTAAGTAGTCAGCCAAGATGTCCAGCATACGGACCATCTGTGAGAAGATGAGCACGCGATGGCCTCTCTCATGTAGTCTGAAGAGGAGCTTGTCTAGAAGCACCAGCTTCCCGCTCATCTTAACCGCTTGTTGATACTACGGGACAACAATAAAAGCAGACGGAAAATAAAAAGATGGTTATAAGCCGACAAGTTTTGGGAGTCAGGTTGGCGTAGCGGTTCTATCCTTGCCTTCCACCGCTGTGACCCGGGTTCGAATCCCGCCTGAGCCAGCCAATATGTGGATTGGACTAGATTGGGGAGTCAGGTTGGGCAGCTGTACTTTCCTCGCCTTCCACTGCTGTGACCTGGGTTCGAATCCCGCCTGGGCCGGGCCAATATGTGGATTGGACAAGTTTGGGGAGTCAGGTTGGCGTAGCGGTACTTTCCTCGCCTTCTACAACTGTGACCCGGGTTCGAATCCCGCCTGGGCCAACATGTGGATTGGGTTTTCAGTCCCTGCCTGATTCCGTGAATTTTCCCCAGAATATTCTTTTGGGCTTTTGCTCCCACCTCTAAAACTGTAATTTCTTCTCATTGTTTTCTCTCCGCAGGTTTTTCAGGCTTGCGAGCTACAGTGCCTAGGGAGCTTTGGAGGAATTCTTGGTGTCATTACCAGAAACGAGTAATAATTGCTTTTCCCTTCCTGATGTGAAAATAATGTTACTTGGGTGGGACTCGAATCCATGACCTCTTACAAGGGGTGATTGATAAGTTCGTGGCCCAAGGTAGAAGGAGATGAGCCATACCGTTTGGACTGATATTGTGTGCAGTTCAACTTGTTGAATGATTACACAGAAAGTTTGAAGTTCTTATCTTTTCTTGTTTTTCTATTATGTTACAGATAGTTAACCCTTGACAGTCACCCGATCCTGAGAATTGAAAATGGAAAAAATTAAAACATTCGCATATATAGCAGAGCAAATTTGTTTTATTTTCCCCAGCCTTGTTAAATCTGCATATTGTTATGCTTTTATGCCAGCTATTCTTATTAGCTATTCAGAAATGCATTCTGTTGGATTCTATTAGATTGAAATGGATTCTGTTGGATTCTATTAGATTCAGTTGCATTCCAATAGATTCAGTTAGATTCTGTTAGATTAACATGGATTGTTGGATTCTCTAAAATTTATCTTCATTCTTTTTGGATTAATTTTGATTCTTTTGGATCTAATTGGGTTTTGACTGTGCTGGATTTTTTTAATGCAGTTGGATTCTGTTGGGTATAGCTAGATTCAGTTTGATTTAGATGTACATTGTAGGATTTGATATGATATGTTTTATTTGGGTTCCGTTAGATTCAGAAGGATTGTTGGATACCATTAGATTCAGTTGGATTCCATTAGATTAAAATGGATTGTTAGATTGTGTTAGATTCAGTTGGATTCTGTTAGATTGAAATGGATTCAGTTGAATTCCATAAGATTCAGTTGAATTCCATTAGATTCAGTTGGATTCTGTTAGATTAAAATGAATTCTATTTGATTCTCTCAGATTTATCTGAATTCTTTTGGATTTTTTTTTCAGATTCTGTTGGATCTAATTGGGTTTTGGGTATATTCAGTATAATATAAACTGCTTGAAACAAAAAGAGTGACAAGATTGAACCTACCTGTTCGTCATCTGCTTCTTCTCCATCTCCCGGTCGTTTGACGAGATGCGGATGATTACAACATTTCTTGAGTTCCATGACGATGTTGACAAAGCTGGTTGTGCTACCCTTGACTCCTTTAGTCAGGGCTCGGAAATTTCTGGTCAGGATCCATCTGTCGGCAAAAAAAAAAAGTGAACACGCTCAAGTCTTAAAGTTATTACTTTAAGATTGAAGAAAGAAATTGACTGGAGCGGGGTTTGAACCTGCGACCTCCGGATTACCGTTCCGGTGCTCTACCAACTGAGCTATCCAGCCCTATGTCGGCAGTTCCCCATTCTGTCAATGTCTAGAAGCCATAAACTAGTCAGAAGCCATAAGCCTGTATATGCCATGTAAGCCTGGGATCATGCCCAAAGTCACGATGCTAGCATCTTAAAGCTGGCCTCAGGTCGACCCACGATTTGCTTGCGCCATGACGGAACCGTCAGTATCAAGCACAAAAATGATGCTCAGGTCACAAAACTGACAAATCGTGTGATTGTCGCGGAACACGTCGCAGAAGTTGAAAGTGTTCTACTCTTGCGACTGTTGATTGTTTTAAGGGCAAACTGATGCCGATTGTCTTAATATCGTCCCAGTTACACTCAGGTCGCACAGAATCGGTGACTAATTTGTTCCCGACGGTCGTAGCTCAGACGCAGCTTGATCCTGAACAGTCATTCGTCGACTGATCTGTGTCGTCGCAAGGTCGACCTGAGGCTGACGAAAGGACAGACAACAAAACATTGACCGTTCGCAAGCGTGTGCACGAGTACCTTCCCGTTCTGAACGCCTCTTCATTCCTTTGCGTGCCGTACGGCATTCCGAACACGTTCCTCAGACCATGCTCTGACAGGCTTCACTGAGAGGGTATTGTTATGTTAATCCACCACTCCTTTGCGCGCGAAAACGGGAACATCACAACAAAGACGTGAAGTACAACGGATTGTCTACTTGCGTACGTGTCCGCGCACAGAACAATGCATAGTACATGTAGAACAGTGCGGGCGCGTCATGATTGCTGACAGCTGGCGTCCTGACAGAAATTTGACCAATGAAAGACTGCAGCCCCGCGCCAAGTCTCATACACGCGTACACACAACGCGCAAGTGCCGTATCACGCCTCTAACCAGAAACTCGGGGAAGCCGTTTATCCTTGCGTAGAGGATCCGTGTTCCAATTAACATCGTTTCATTTAAAATGCGTTTTTTTAGCCAAAGTGGCCGCATATTCCAGGACACAGTGTTCCATTAAGTTACTGACTTACTTGTAGTACTGTTTCTGCGTAGTGCTCATCTCAACTCTCAGTATTTGCTCCACCTTGGCCGGCAGAGATTTCTCCACGTCCTTCTTGACTCGTCTTAAGAGGAACGGCTCCAGTTCTCGGTGGAGGTTGGCGTAGCCGTTCTTGTCTGCGCAGGAGAACTCCGCTTCAAATCTCTCCCAGTGGGGAAAGCTGTCATGATCACAGGGGAAACAAAATCAGGATTTTGGGGATTGAGGTTGCTGATGGGTTTTGTGGGTCTGTGTAGGTAATTATATTTCAGTTTTTACTTACATGTTTATTATAAATCACAATCTTTAACTTCTGAATTTATTATTACCGACATCACATCTTAAGCGCCCTCAGTTATCCAAAAAAATAATGGAAGATTTTAAATGTTTAAAGAAGTATAATTTTCGATAGTATTAACCAAAAAAAGGATGTCAAAAAGTTTTCATACATTCAAGAGGAGTATAAAGGTGCATAAAATGTGTTGCTAAAAAATTCCTCGAGCGGCCAATTAAAAAATTACTTCATCAAAACATCCTTATAATAAAAAAAATTGTTTCTTGTTTTCTTACGTTTCTGGCATGATGAAATGAAGCAGAGACCAGAGTTCCTTGAGGGAGTTCTGCAGAGGAGTTCCAGTGATCAGCAATCGGTGGTTGGTGTCAAAGTTTTTGAGGGTTTTGTAGAGGAGGGAGTCGTCGTTCTTGAGGCGGTGAGCTTCGTCGACGACCAGGACGGCCCAGGGAACGCTACCAAGGAAAGACTGAGGAGAAATGAAGGGACATTTTAGTATTTCACAATTCAAAATGTTCCTTTTCCTTTTTTTTATGTTCAGTTTTGCAATTTCATTGAGCTGTTACGCAAAAAGGATTGATAAAACATTATCCATTGTCAGCGAAATCGGTAGGAAACCAGTCCCAAGGTTTTGGGTTCAAATCCAGCCTGGGGTTGTGGTGCCCTTCAGCAAGGCACTTTGTCACTCATTGCTTCTCTCCACCCAGGAGTAAATGGGTACCTGTGAGGGCAGAGATGGTTATTGAGTGGTCGGGCACCACCTGACCACTGTTTAGAATTGTTCTGATTTTATCTTTGTTTCTTTTCTTTTTTTTGGACAATACTTCTTCGCGGGTTTCTCCTAAATGGTTTATGATATGAACTTGTAACTTTCAACATATATCGACCCTTATCCCAAGTGGTGCATATTACTCTGACGTCATATTAACGCGAATCTCTAGTTGTGGTTGATTTTAGCTGCTTTGTGCCAAAATGGCAGCATGGAGCTGTATACTCCCCAGGGAGCTGAGATTGTCTTTGGAATGTTTCATGGGCCCAATGAGCAGGGTAATAATGATGTAGTGCCTGGCACCAGTACTGGTGAATATGTGCGTTTTGTAAATGGACATTACAAGCTATGTACACTGCATGACATTTTGCTAAGCATGCTTTCTGCGCTTAGCAGTTTCAGTACCAGAACAGCAGCCGATTTCATGAAACAGTGCGTAACTTACACCGTGCGAAGGACTTACGCAACAAATTTATTGCGCAGCTGCGCAATAAACTTACGAACGATTTCACGAAACTCGGTGTAGCTGCGCAGCGTTTTAAATAACCTAAACATCTTGGACGAGGATAATTTACAGCATTTACGACGGCTGCTTGTGTATGAAACAGTCGTTGAATCACCTCCGCCCGCCAGTTTTGAAAATACTTTTGTCAGACTTTCTTTAGAATGGTGCGGGTACTCTCAAAACTCTGTCATGAGAAAGTATCATTTCATTTACTTCAAACACAAAGCTGTATCAACTTTGATCAGGGGTGTGAGTGACCACTGATAAAAATAGCTGAAAACAGCTGAAAAAGGTGTAAAAAGCTGAACTTTGGAAATCTCCTATACTTTTGTACACAGCAAGTGATGGAAAAAAGCTGAAATTCAAAACAAAAAAAGCTGAAATCAGCTTTAAAGCTGAGATTTCACACCCCTGTTTGATTAAGTTATGCAATGATGGGCTACACGACGATCACGATCAAATTACGCCACCTAAAATAATCGCGCAAGTTACGCCATAATTTCTTGGGCAAGTCGCAGACTTGAAACTTTCGTGAAATTGTCGGAAGTGAAATGTTGCGCAGCATGAAATTTTGCGCAAATTACGCAATAAATGGTGGCGCAAGTGGACTTACGCCATTGCATAAAGTTTTGTAAAATCAGCTGCAGGCCGTTCCAGATATAACTTGCATGCACAAAGTGAAATATTCTTAGCATGAAGCGTCTGCATTGCAGGTGTATGACATTGTACCCGACTTCCCTACAACTGTTTCATGACTTCCCTCCAACTGTTTCATGACTTCCCTACAACTGTTTCATGACTTCCCTACAACTGTTTCATGACTTCCCTACAACTGTGTCATGACTTCCCTACAACTGTTTCATGACTTCCCTTCAACTGTTTCGTGACTTCCCTACAACTGTGTCATGACTTCCCTACAACTGTTTCATGACTTCCCTACAACTGTGTCATGACTTCCCTACAACTGTTTCATGACTTACCTTATCTTTAAGGAGAATTTCGTATGTCGTCAGGATTGTGTTGAACTTTAAGCGATTCCTGTTGCTGTTGTGACACCATTCCTGCTCACGGATCTACAGAAAGACGGCAAACGCAACATAATTAAAATTTCATGAGAGGGAATTTCCAATTGTTTGAATTGTCGTTGAATGATTGGGGATTTGTTCTATTTCTTGTCTTTGTTTCTGTTATCTAGTACGCAGAGAGACTTCCAGAATTTCAAACATTGAAAATATGGTCAGACATGAATTTAATGATTTATTTCTTCCTGTCCTTTCATCTTTGCCGTAGCCCAAATTTTTTTTTGACTTGCCAGCCGGGCTACTTAAGGAATAGTTTGCCTAGCCCACCGCTGTTTTGACTAGCATTTGGCTAGCGGGCTACCGCTAATTCCGAACCCTGCTTACACCAGACCTTTATGGACTATTGTCCATATTTATCGTTATTGTTTGTAATGTTAATACATAATCATTTTTCTCCAAGACGTTTTTGAATATTTCACCTTCTTGAACAGAATGGACACTTTTGATACTTTTTGAAATTTTTTAGGCAAATCAATAATATTTTTGACTCTACGGTCTGTTCAATACATTTCAGGCCACAAAAAAATGTCTTCGGTTTCTGGTATGGAGCTTGCCCAAAAAGTGGCGCGGCGACGCAGCTTTTTTTTAACCTTTTTTTTGCTTCAAATGTTGGCTGATGACTGCAAATGGTGCCCGACTAAACTTAGTGCAAATATATGGGAGTCCAGAGAGGCCACATAAAGCTTATTCTGGATCATAACCCCATCTAAAAACACGTTAAAATTGTGCAGCAGCAGGATTCAAGTCAAACCAGTGAGTTTGGCGGTTTTGAGACATGGCTACGGCGACGCCCGCGCATACCAGAAACGGGAGACTTTTTTTTTTTTGCCTCAACTCACCATGTTTCTACTGTTGAGATCCCCAATGTACACAACAACATTCATGTTTGGGTCCCAGGCTGCAAACTCCCTCTGCCATGAGGTCATAGTGGAGAGCGGCACCACGATGAGAAAGGGACCATACAGTTGATGGGCGTTGTATAAGTATGACAGGAACGTGATGACCTGGATAGTCTTACCCAAGCCCATCTCATCAGCTAAGATGACGCTATTTTTCCTTTAAAAAAAAATAAAATCGAAACAAAACATTATGCAAAAGTTAACTCAAATGAAATTTACAAAATGCAGGGAGCTACTTTAGGCCAAAAAAAAAAAAGTCTCCGGTTTCTGGTATGCGCGCGCGTCGCCGTAGCCATGCGCGTCGGCAAAATGAAAAAGTTTTTTTTTTCAATACAAGATGATGTCTCAAAACCAACAAACTCACTGGTTTGACTGGAATCCTGCTGCTGCACAATTTTAACGTATTTTTAGATGGGGTTATGATCGAGAATAAGCTTTATGTGGCCTCTCTGGACTCCCATATATTTGCACTAAGTTTAGTCGGGCACCATTTGCAGTCATCAGCCGACATTTGAAGCCAAAAAAAAAAAAAAAAAACAGGTAAAAAAAAAAAAAAAAGCCGCGTCGCCGCACCACTTTTGGGGCAAGCTCCATACCAGAAACCGGAGACTTTTTTTTTTGGCCTTAAGTCAGGTTTTGTCCTACTGAGGCAAAATGTGACCTGTTCTGTCAAAATCAGACTTTTCTGGGCATAAGGTCCAAGTTGAGGTTTTTGCATTTTGTTTAAAAAAGTTCTTTTGCCTTTTAATAGGTGGTTTAAGTTTTGAAACCGGTCATTCCTGGGCAGAGTTATGCTATTTTGAAGTTCATTGTGTCCAAAAGTAGAAAACGGAGAAAATGGCCATGAACGTCACAAAACAGTAATTTCTTTAACTGATATACCTTAGCAAATCTTCAAAAATACTATATTTAGAGTTCAAATTAGGGTTTCAAACTTTTATTGTATATTTAAAACATGTTCAGGATTACAAATATGCAAGAATTATAAAATCCAAAAAAATCACCCCCACAGCGTTTTTTGGCCCTATTTTAATTTCAACCTCTGCCCAGAAGCATTTGCTTTTGACAGAACAGGTCACAAAGGAGGAATGTTCCCCAAATCTCAGTTGCTTTTAGTAATCGACGCCTGAGGTCGAATATACTAGAAAACTCATGTCAAAATCGATATTGATTGTTTTGTATTTTTGAGTTACCCCCCCCCCAAAAAGGCTCATTGTGACAAAGGCTTACTGCCATGAACTGACACAAGGAATCACTGATGAAAAGTTTACGACAGCGAAATATCCAAAATTTTGGCAACTTTTTGTGCAGAAACTAAGTGCAACATTGAGGCTTCTGCCTGATATGACATCATACTTTTGCTCATGAATATGGAAATTTGCATCAGCGTAAAAACCCAAAAGGCACCAAAATACCCTTGAAAATGGCAAAATGAAAATTGAAAATAAGTTTGTGGGACACAAAGGTGCATTTTCAAGGATTGCATTAAAAAAAAAATATTTTATGGGCCCTTTATCCCTAAAAGGCCCGGGTTATTTTGACCATCTCTCAGCCTGGTGGGGGGGGGGGGGGGGGCAGATTCCAACCCCCACCTCCCCTCAAGATTTCGGCCATTGATTTACAAAAAATTTTGAAACTCGGTATATGCATAGAGCAACTCTTCATGAAGATACCCAAGAAATTTCATGACTATAGGTCCAAGGGTTTGGGAATTATGGCTAATTAATTATACATATGTACGAATGGTAATTCTGGTCTGTGTACACGACGTGTATGGGAAAAGTCAGTTTTCACTACGCGCCGGAAAATCTTTTGCTGCGCGACAACCCCGACCCGATTTTTATATTTTTGGTGTCAAAAGATGCGCAAGGCTCGAGGCTAAAAAGTCATAACAGTTCAGGTCGCAAAAAAAATTTGTAAAAGCTATCACAGAAAAAGTCGAGGGGGCGCCCCCCGGCCCTTTTAGGGTTAAAAAACTTGTTTAGATTCTCCTTGGGTTTGCTTTGTGAAATTAATCATGACTCCTGACTGACTTACTTGCACCAGGAGTGGGCCAGCCAGTTCAGCCCGTCCAGTTGGTAATCGCGGAGCTCCAGCTCTTCGGTTCCGACATAAGAAGGCTGCTTCTTCAGAGCGACAAACCTGGGCCGCTGTCGCAAAACCTGAAATCATGCAACCAAACAATTCAAAATTAAGTCCCACAATCTTTTTAATTCAAAGAGAGCATTTAAAAAAATTGTCTTGTGTTGTGACCAGTTTATTCAGTTACTTTCACCATGAAGACTGGCTTACTACCCTAACCCCTTGAGTGGTTTACTACAGGGTGAGTAAAAAAAAAAAGCCAAACCCAAATCCCCAAAAATATGTTTCATATTTACAAAAATATGTAGCACCAAAAATAAAGACAGAAAACCAATTTCATAGGCTATATGTACTTTTAGATGAAAAAAATTACTGAAATCGCTCAATCGGTTCAAAGAATATCACCATTTAAATAGAATGACCCTAAAACCTGTCTCGTCCAAAAAATGCAACTTACTAAGTGTTTTGACTGTTTGGAACAAAAAAGAAAACAGAATACTTGTTTCAACAAGACACCAGCTGTAGTACACAATATCTTTATACACAATATCTTTATTAACAACCCTGGTTAGGCAAACAATATGGTGTATAAAATCTACTCTTTTAAAGGATGGGTCTTCAAAGGGATTCTGTTGAATATTTTTAACGTTTAAACAGAGATATTATCTCTGGTGGTGTTTGAAGACCATTTCGACACCGATTCTTGAAATCGCATTTTTTTTTTGGAAGAGACAGGCTTGTTTAAACGGTGATAATCTTTGAACAGATTGACCAATTTCAGTCATTTTTTCATCTAAAAGTAGTTTATAAATTGGCTTTCCAGTCATTTTTATTTTTGGTGCTACATATTTTTGTGAATATGAAATATATTTTGGGGGTTTGGGTTCCGCTTTTTTTGACTCACCCTGTAGCAACCTTCCTCACTCTTGCAAATTCCAACACCATATGGTAAACTTAACACCCAAACTGTTGGACTCTGATTATGGTGGTATGCCTGACCCCATGTACAGCATAATCAGTTTACTAGTGCAGTACTGTCTCTAACAGATTCCAACAAACCCTGGTGTTGGAGTTTGACTGGATGGGGACTGTTAGGGCTAAAGTACGAAAGACAAAGTTTATTGCAAACCTGTATTTGTGTGAGGACCAGGTATAGATGAATTACTGTACATTCACAAGGCCCCCTTCAATGGAGAAACCATTGTGCACGTATTGTACAAAGCAACTAGCCCGTGACGGATTATCTGAACAATAGCTAGCGCAATGCTTTCACCATTAAAGAGGGCCTCCGTGACAGAACTGACAGTGTGCCAGCATTGGTTGACACCATAGAGCTATATTAAATTACTAGAGCGCTAACTCGCCATTCTGCGCGCGGAGACGCTTTGAAGCCGTGCTGGGCGCAGACATTTTGAATTCATGTGCGTGTTTGTAAAACATAATGAAATTAGATGGATTGAATTTTGAAGGTATTCTCTACACGCAACGCGCAAGTAGAACACACGCAAACAACTTAAGCGCGTCATTGATGGTTCCAAAAAACATGACGGCAAAAAGCATCTGCAGCGAACACGCGCACGCATTGCGCTGTTTGCGTAGAGCAAAATGACATGCTCATTTGCTGATCGTGCGTTTCGATTTTGGGCGTATTGGCTTCGATAACGCACCGGTATGGAACACAAACGCAGATGTGCAAATAACCGTACAAAGGCCGTACAAAATTTCTAGGTCTCCATAGGTTTGTGCACAAACATGGATGCGCCCAGCAGACATTACTTTGTACACAAAGTTAGCGCTCTAGTTATTTGATATAGCTCTATGGTTGACACCGTGGCAATGCCCCAGTCTGGCTTGAAAGCCAGGGGGATAAAACAGCGATGCTAAGGCCTGCGCAACCACACAGCTGCAGGGTCCGTACCTTGGCGCTCTTGGAGGGAATCTTCTGCGACTTGTTCCTCCTCAGGAATTCATCGATGCAGCTCTGGAAGTTCCTGGAGATGAGCTCGCCGTCTTCCCAGGTGCAGTCTGAGTATGGAAGACCCTGCCACTTACACAGATAGTCTGTCTGCCCAGAGTGGTTTGAAACCGTCTGAGCTGCAAGGATAAGACGTCCAATAAACCTGTCACTTGATGACCCACTCAGTTACTCGATGATCGACTCAGATAGAAATGTGATATTCGAGTCTGCAATGGAAACGTTAGTGGTATTTCTGCCAAAAACACACTAGTTACCTTCGCCAAGGAGGTTATGTTTTCATCGGTGTTGGTTTGTTTGTGAACAGGATAACTCAAAAAGTAGTGGACGGATTTTCATGACATTTGTTTTAAGGGTGGTCCTTGGTAAAAGTATAAATCGATTAGAGTTTGGACATGACCCGGATGCAGGATTTATTTTAAGGATTCTTCACCATTTTTTATGTACATGTACACATATGGCATTGACCATGAAACTAAGGCAGCTCCCCCCACAAACACAATAATGGACCCGCCCGTTTCTGGGTCATGTATGTTACACTAGGCCAGATCACTGGTCCCACTAGACTCGACCCCGCGGCTACCGATCAGCCCCTGTTTACGACCCTAATGTAAAAGAGACACTGGTCCCTCTAGAGTTAAGTACAGACCTCGCGTCTAGCTACAATCCCGGCCAAAACGGTTGGGACACTTCCTGAGCCTGCCACGGTCACCCACTCCCCCGCTACCCCGGTCAATGTTGTTCTCTCCAGCTGATGGAGCACACACCGCGCAATGAGAGACAGCATTGAGTGGGGGTCGGGGGTTGGGGGCCCAGCAAGATTTGGCCAGAATTGAGGCTGCAATCCCCTGTTTTATGACCCTATGGAAATGGCATATTTCTGCTAAGTAGTAATTCTGTATTTAAAAAGTGAACAATACATATTAATACAGAGTGTCTCTGCCCTTTGATTTCAGATTATGATTAAGCATTTTAAAAGTTCCTCGTGCTGGATGTACTAACAATACAACAACAAATTGTTTAGCCTTGGCAGAGGTCATGCGGTCTCCTAGTGCTCTCTAGTTTGATGATCGACTCAGTTAAAAATGTGATATTCGAGTCTGCAAAGGAGAAGTTAGTGATATTTCTGCCAAAAACACTTTACTTCAAACTGTGCTGATCTACAGAGTTACAAACTTGGTTCCCACAGTATAAATTTAAAGTTGGATCGGGAATTTCCCCGTGTTTTTTTCCCCCCAACAGAGTTTTCGTGGGTTTTCGCGCCAATCCCGCATTCAGAAATTCATGTCAAGAAATGGAATATGATAGAATATTGTTTTCTCGGAATATACATCATTCACTAAGCTAAAACTTCTTCAGGTTATACTGTAGTTGTTAAGCACCCTTCTTTAGATTTCGAGCAGTTTTGTTGCTTCAAACCAAAAAAAAAAAGCCACAAATGATGTTCTCTACCTTTAAATTGGAAGACTGACTCAACAAAATAATACTCAAAATTTTCAGGACATAATTCAGATGTTTAAATGAAGTTCAAGAATGCAGCACACTACTGCATATAATTTTACTTAATTTTTAAAGACCTTATTTGTTTATTAAGGTTTACGAACCTATAACTCTTTCCACAAGTTGACACTGTTCAAACAACTGCAACGTCATCTCATATTGACACTCAAAGTATTCAATGTCTTCTGGAGTCACCATCTTCTTCCTGTTGAATAAATGGGGGAAAAAGGGATTTAGTACCTGTATCGTCCGACACAACCCTGCCTGTTACTCCCTGTACTGCCCCAAACGGCCCTGCCTGTTACTCCTTGTACTCCCCCAAACCACCCTGCCTGTTACTCCCTGTACTGCCCCAAACCACCCTGCCTGTTACTCCCTGTACTGCCCCAAACCACCCTGCCTGTTACTCCTTGTACTCCCCCAAACCACCCTGCCTGTTACTCCCTGTACTGCCCCAAACCACCCTGCCTGTTACTCCCTGTACTGCCCCAAACCACCCTGCCTGTTACTCCCTGTACCAACCCAAACTGCTCTGCCTGTTACTTCCCGTACTGCCCCAAACCGCCCTGCCTGTTACTCCCTGTACTGCCCCAAACTGCCCTGCCTGTTACTCCCTGTACTGCCCTGAACTGCCCTGCCTGTTACTTCCCGTACTGCCCCAAACTGCCCTGCCTGTTACTCCCTGTACTGCCTCAAATCACCCTGCCTGTTACTCCCTGTGCTGCCCCAAAACGCCCTGCCTGTTACTCCCTGTACTGCCTCAAACTGCCCTGCCTGTTACTCCCTGTGCTGCCCCAAACCGCCCTGTCTGTTACTCCATGTGCTGCCCCAAACCGCCCTGCCTGTTACTCCCTGTACTGCCTCAAACCACCCTGCCTGTTACTCCTTGTACAGCCCCAAACCGCCCTGCATGTTACTCCCTGTACTGCCCCAATCCACCATGCCTGTTACTCCTTGTACTGCCCACAACCACCCTGCCTGTTACTCCCTGTACTGCCCCAAACCGCCCTGCCTGTTACTCCCTGTACTGCCCCAAACCACCCTCCCTGTTACTCCCTGTGCCGCCCCAAACCGCCCTGCCTGTTACTCCCTGTACTGCCCCAAACCACCCTGCCTGTTACTCCCTGTACTGCCCTAAATCATCCTGCCTGTTACTTCCTGTACTGGCCCAATCCATCTGGCCTGTTACTCCCTGTACCGCCCGAAACTGACCTGCCTGTTGCTTCCTGTGCTGCCCCAAACCGTCCAAAACTGCACTTTGCAGCATTTTAATTCATTTTCAAATAATAAGTTGAGAGATCAATAATAAATTTTTTCAAGTGCCAGATTGAAGTTCATTCAACTTTGGCGTTGCTCTTCGGATACCCAACTATAGTTGAACTTACCATTCTTGTATCTCCTTCTCTCGTTGGATGTAATTCTCCAGTTTCTTCATCCCTCGGACTTTCTGCTCCTTCAGGCTCGTCTCCGACTCCCACGTGTTGTGGATGTGAGCCCAGTTCTTCCACTTGATGAGATAATGGGTCTCCGCGTCTTCCTCGCTCGGGTCAACATCCTCGTTGGGGTCACCATCCGCCTCAACGGCGTAAGTCGTTGTCATGCCGCCCGTCTCTGTTAGCAACAAAACAAAGTCCGTGAAAATTGATGCAACTCTCCGTAAACGTGGTTCAATACCCAAGATGTTTACCCATTCCTATTGGTCGAAAGAACCTCACGTGGTCGGTTTTAAACGGTTGATAAAAACCACAGCCCGTCACGTGGCCAGTTTTAAACAGTTGATAAAGATCGGCTGGCTGGTCTTAAATACTTTTCCAGTATCACGTATAACTTGGACTCCTTTGAAATCTGGTGCCTTTTACCGTTTTATTGGTTGAATGTTCGCAATTCGTACGTAGGCATGAGCAATACTACCAGTGAGTCAGTATTTCATAGTCCTAAATTCACAATACACCGGCACAGCTGCGTTCTGCGCCACCGTAAGTGCCGATCTCCATACAAGGAGTTGTTTACGACTACTCACAAGAGGGACATGCCATAACATAGCTAGAGGAGTGTTTCAAAAACATGAAGTAAAACTGTACAATTTCATTCCGCTTCCAAAATGTAACCCTTCCTTTCATTGGATGGACTTCAAGCTTGGTACAAATCAAGACCACAATGCAAAAATGTGCATTGAAAAGTATTATCAAGATGATGTCATCGTACTATAGGGCATGTGACGTCATCATATGCCAAATCCGTAGTGACGTCAACGTGATGCCATCAACTAATTGTTGTTATATTTTATATCCGTTGGCTATACTAGCCCAATATAACTTTTTATGACCTTTGTACAAAAGAATATAATTTATATAAATGCACATTAGCAAAAAAAGCATGAAGTCATACAAAAACAATATGCAGAAAAGCCCTATTTTCTGTTTTCAAACAGACATAGATCTCTTGTTTTTCTTACTTCCTTTGCGTCCGACGCGGTGTTTAAGAACCCTCTCAATGATTTCACTATTATCATTCTCGTCTGGTCCGCCGGTGGCCTCAATGATCTCATCTGAATCAGTTTCTTCGTTACTCTCATTCTCTTTATAACTAAGATGGGAGAAACAAACATTTCAATGAGTTCCTTGCTACTCTCTACCAATGTTGTCGCCAAGTCCATCACTAGTTCGAACATAAGTCCTTTCCCAAGTCCAGTCACAAGTAACAAGGGATGAGTGAAAACAAAGCAAGTGTCACTGATCCCGTGAATAGCTTGTGACTTGACTTGGGACTGGGTGACATTTGAGGACTTATGAGGACTTGTGAGGACCTGTGAGGACCTTTGAGGACTTGTGGGGTGTTTTGAGGACTTGTGGGGTGTTGTGAGGACTTGTGATGACTTGTGATGACTTTGTGGACTTGCGAGGACTTGAGTGGATATGTGAGGACTTGTGAGGATTTGTCAGGACTTGTGAGGGCTTGTGAGGGCTTGTGAGAACTTGTGGGGACTTGTGAGGATTTGTGGGACTTGTGAGGACGTGTGAAGCCTTGTGAAGACATGTGAGGACATGTGAGGACTTAGGACTGACTCAACTACAACACTTCTCTTTCTACACCCCGGATACTCGGTGAAAGACTAGATTATGGAAATCCTCGGGTCCGAGTGCCAAGATTCCTAAGAATAGATTTGATTTATGTTTTTGATAGCCCCCTCTATTGACAAGGTGGCTTGGCTGCGTTTTGCAATGGACCGGCTGCATTAGGGCAACATAATCTAAATCCAGTCTTGAAGACAGACTACATTTTGGCTATTACCTTTGAATGAACATTTGTTTTTGACATGAGCAAAACCTGCGGTACTGTTATCTTACCGATGTAAAATTAACGACAGGTTCATTCAATGACATGATGATAGAAGAAGAATTTAAAGACTATGACGTAGATACCTGATATTTGATTTGGCAATTCGTCGGCTGCTTTGTCTCTTGGCTTTGGCGTCGCTGTCGGAATCGTCGTAGCTCGACGATCCTTTCCGTTTCCGCTGTGTGACGTTCCTCCTCCTGGCTGGAGCTTGCGTTCCTATGAGAAATGAACATCACTGAGATGTCAAGACACTTGAGATGGTCATCTAAAATGTCTTGCATAAAATGCCCGGTTTGGGAAAATTTTGATTGTTTTAGAACTAATGTGACGAGTCAATCTATTAACCCTAACCTTCCGAAACTCTCTAAGATCCTCTTTGCAAAATGGAGGATTTTACAGGATTGAGGCTATATGGCAAAAGTGTGTTTCTGATCTTGGATGCACTGTGTCAAGGTCTCAGGCCGGACTTTGTGTTGTTTATGCTCCGCAGTGCATAAATTTAGGACTGGCTGCACAAGGTGAACCACATACAAATCCTGTATAAGTCCAAGACAACTCAATGTCCAACTTACTGCTTGGTCTCCCCTTCGACTGTGTCCTAGGTTTGGGTTTAGCTTTGGCTCGTGGCGCTCGACGTCTCGACGACGGCTCAAAGTCCGACTCACTGCTCTCCTCTTCCGACGTGTCGCTCAGTTTGCTACTCGACCACGCCTTTTTCCTGCTCATCAGAGAGAAAACCGATCTAGAAACAGAAGAGAATGAAGAACATTTAATAAATTGATGATGGAAATAGTGGAGCATATAGGGGAGATATTTGGGGGAATTGTGCCTTTGATGATACAAGCATGGCATTTACACACTGTCTGAGTCTGTAATGTTACAGGGGCGGCAGAACCAGGGGGCGGGGGAGGGGGATTTAACCATGTGCCCCTCTTGCGGGCATAAAAGTGCCCCCTCAAGCATAAATGTGCCCCCTCGAGATGAAAACAAAACATAACAAACCTAACATAATGCGTAGTTTGCATAATGGCCGGTTTTGAAGAGCGCCCCCTATTTTGGAAGATGGTACCAGCAAAAATGTGTATATGAAAAGGCGCCTTTATAACTCTGTCAAACTCGTTCGCAAGCGCCGGACAAATGGCGGGTAGCAAAGATGGGATGGGAATGGTCCATTTATCAAATTGTTTGACATCCTTGGTCTCCTACTCACCCTTTCCTCTTCGACTTTCCTGAGCTTCCTCCCGATGTGCTCGGTCTTCGTTTCCTTGGTTTCTCGTCTTCCTCACTTTCAACTTTCTGTTAAATTTTTTAACAATAATCTGATCAGCAATCTTTGCAAACTGAGTTCAGATATGACTTCTTTTTTTTCAGTTTTAGTACACTCAACATTCGCTCGCACCCCCCGCCCTGCAAACAGGACGCTGGGAGGGGCTGATGAATTTAAGCTCTGATTTGATAGATTTTGCATGGCCTGTGAACTGCAAGTCATCACGGCCACGACCCTGCAAGGTTTTAAACGGCCGTTGAGACCGAGTCACTACTCTTTTATTCTCATTCATAAATGCTTATCGTTGGAAAGCGTGATAATGTAGGAAAACCTGTAAAACTTATCTGCTTTGTAATTTTCAATTCTGTCACTTGCTCAGGCTCCGTTTCGTATTCACGAAGGGTCAAATTTCATATTATGCGATGCTCAAATTTTGGTCCGCAATGAAAAGAAATCACATCCGGTATGGAATGCTTGCATTAATATTAGCAAGTTTTTGGATAGCATTTGCTCGCATTAGCTAACCGCAGTCTTAAACAGCTGCAGCCAGATGTCTTTATATAGGTCATGATAAGTTACCCAGAATGCCATCCCACTTCCTTCACAAGATTCTGTGAAGCTCATCAGCCCGTCCCAGCGCCCTGTTTGCAAGGCAGGGGGTACGAGGGAATGCTCAACACTACAAGGACTTATAGATACTCAACAGACAAATGAGTATATATGATTAAGCATTCTGACCTACCGTAACTTGGAAACGTTCCACTTCTTTGCGTGATCTTCCTGATCTTCTTACTCCATACATTTCAGGGTCCTCTTCCCAAAACTGAGACAAAGACAAAAATCAAAACTCTCTGGTATCTAAAAAGTAACTATATCCATTTTTTGCAACATAAAAAGAACCAAGATGGCATATTATCAAAATCAAGGTCAAATTGTGATGTACGTGACCTTTAACCAATCTTACTTGACCTCAAAGGTCAAACTCAAATGACTGGCAATTCTTTGCCAGTTTTTAGCGTGTTCGATTACCTCAGTCGTGCTTATGTACATGCGCTATTTGTAGCAATAAACGAACGATCTCGGGTTACTCAAAGTAGAGCCATAACAACCGGACTGGGTCAAGAGGTCATGTGGCGATTAAATCACCTTTGCAAAAAGGTTCGAGCCGTAAAAAAGGAGCCAAGGTGGACACACATATCTCCTCTTCCAAAGTGAACAAGAAATGCTGGTTAAAAGGAACTTAACTTTCCTCCCGTCGTCTACTACTAGTGTGAAGTGAAGCTGAGTCACTTTTGAATCCCCGGCCACCGCAGCATTAGACTTAGACGCCATGTTGTCGCATTGTATTGTGGGATACTTACCCAAGTAACCAGCTCAGCGGGTCAGTTACTTGGGCCAGCCTCAAGTAAGCGTGAGAAGTAATGTGAGAGTTAAAATCGCACGCAGTCGACCTTGCATGAGTAAGTGCGGGGGAAGTAATCGAACGCAGGGTTATAGCCTGACGCCACTTTTTTCTTCATATATCATCCCAATGAAGGTCATTTAATGCAAAAATGATGATAAGACATGAATCTGGGACTGAGAGTCAATTCCAAGTTTGTTGAGAAATACTTAGGAAATTGTCTCGACTCTCCATAGACTTTGTACACAATCACGGAAGCGGCGTCAGGTTGCAACATTTTTTCCAATTATATTTATGAATAACGTGAACAATGGGTTTGGAAAATCGACAGGTTTGTCCCTTGAATTTGCAGTACTTGAAGTGTGACCTCAATGTGACCTCGATGTGACCTCTTACCTCTTTCAAGCTGTCTCGTCGGGTAGCAGTTCTTCTTGAACCACCCCGTTGCTTTTTGCTTTTAGAATCGCTGTCGTAATCCTCTTCGTCGTCTTCCTCTTCGTCTTCTTCGCTTTCTTCTTCTTTATCATCATCATCGTCGTCATCGTCATCATCGCCATTTTTATCTTCATCATCGTCTTCGTCGTCAACATCAACATCAGAATTGTCCTCGGATTTCTCGTCCGAGTCCGAGCTCACGTTCTCCGATTGGCTACTAGAGTCCGAATCGCTGGCCGACGGTTTATTGGAGTCGGAGGCGGAGCCTGAGGCAGCCGCCGCTTCTGATTGGCTGTCGTTGTCCGAATCCTGCTCCTCGGCGGAACTGTTGCTGGAGCTTCAACGGGAAAGGATTATCTCTTTCATAAGTGAGTTGAAAGAAAGTCTGACTTTGCAAAACCATTTTTGCAAGTAATTGCGTCAACTTAATTTTTAGAAAGAAAAAAAAGGACTGCTGAAATTTTATCAAACACAACAGGAAATAAATGACTCCCAAAAAACATCATTGAAAATGACTAGAGGTTTTCAACATTTCATATTAAATCATGTAACATTGGTGTAGTATATGTACCTGTACATTCATGCTACAATGCAGTACAAAATTATTCAACACGTGCAGGTTCAAAAACTCCGAAGGCAATTTTTATTTTTCAACTCCAAATTTATTCAATTTTTTTTTCATCCTCATGAACGCTAGAGTTTCGAGAAAAAAAAAGTAAAGTTTACATCAAAGACAGTTTACATGTACTTGAATGTAAAGGCACATAGCTTTGCCATGTACATGTAAACATCATTTGAAAGGTCTGCATGACACCGATCTTGAAAAAAAAACCAAGTGTTGGCCAGTTTCATTCAAAAAATTAGAACAGGGAATGGATTGAGCAAACATGTTCAGTAGTTTACTCCAAGGACTAGGAGCATGATCAACTGTGTTGCAATGTGCCGAGGTACATGTGAACAGATGTAGATGTACATGTGATAACAGACAGTCAAATAAGTTGTATACATGTATGTTGTTGCACCCCCAAAAAAACCTAAGACGAAACCCGAAAGACAGATTTAAAGTATAAGCAATAAAATATAAACAATTCCACACACTTTTCATAACCTTTTTTTCTGTCTAAAAATAAAATAGAACACAGGGGATACCAGAGAATTATGAAAAAATTGTTCTTACAATGGCAAACACCATGCTTTAATACTATGAAGTTAATGGGTGATTGCCATGGCAACAAATAAACCATAACTTTGGAGAAAATAGGAACACAACCAATAACATTTTTTTATTCAAAATAGCCTATATTTTTCAGGTGGATTGATTTGAGGTCATTTTCAATGATTTTTCAAACTGGTGAACACTTTGACAATCACATACTGACTAAGTCGATTTTTATCATGTGTATACAATGTAAATGAATAGGCATTTTGTCGTCTGCTCCAGTTCTCCAAACCATCAAAACAATCCAGGAAACTGGCGATTTTGACCTTAAAATTCTCACCTGGAGTTGTTTTCTTCTTCTGAAGTATTGTCAGCGTCTTCTTGCATTTTGTCCTCTTCATCAGATGATTTATCTTGCTGGGAAACCTGGAGGATTTGGTGATGTTTGGAAGGGGTATAGATGAACGGCAGGGACTCCGGTAAATCGCTGGGCAGCGGGGCGGTGGTTAGTAACATAGCGGAGGGGGCTGGCGGCGTGTTGGTCGGCGTAGCGGGAGGCAATACGTGCGGATTGACGGGTTGGTTTGGTGGAAATCCCCGATATCCATCGGGGGTAAAGAAGGGGAACTGGCGTGGAAAAGCAGGGGTACGGAAAGGAAAGCAAACACACATTATTACATGCATGGAAGCTCGTGCAAAGCTGGAGCAGACGACGCTTTTTTCCAACGTATTTCTATGGAGAAATCTCGACATCCACGCTGACGCGGGAAGGGGGAACAACTTAAACAAAAGTGGCCAAAGAAAAATCAAGCAACGCTTTAAAATAAACGAACCTAAAAAGCAAAGTAACGTTTCACACACATGCGTGGAGGTTAATCAGCTCATGCATGGTGAACTAGTGATAAATATTTCTGAATAAAAGCTGGCAAACTACGGATTAAAAATCAGAAATTGAAAAAAGTTGACCTGGTTCATTTTTGATGCGACGCACCGCACCCTCACTTTCTAATGGAGATGACTCTGGATTCGGGCGAAATTTGGCATTGAAGTGAGAACTCAAACAGGAAAAGATATGTCCATCCTCTGTTGGCAATTGATAAAATAATCTGCATTTATTTTAATAAACATTTTACAAATTTCAAGTTATTTTTCTTCCGTGGTTTCTCGAAGACGACAAAGATGACTTCCAATCCGTCCGATTTCGCTCGCTGAAAATTGTCGATGAATTCCCGAAGCATTAACGGATATTTTGAGCGGAAAATAAGCTCCAGAATATCTTACTATATTAGCGAACAAATAAAACATCACAAATGTTGCATTTTCGAGGTGAAAACTACCATGCAGATTGAAAAGAAATTCACCTCTGTCTACGACACGTCCAAGAAAAACAATTTTTCAATATCCGACGCCATATTATTACTATTTCATCAAAGCGCATGCGTCAGTGTGGGAAACAATGACATTGCGCTTGCGCAGTATAATTAACATAAAGTAAAACGTTTATAAATATAAAAATTCCACATGTTGTCACGAAGTTTTCGTAGTGTAGTGGTTATCACGTGCGCCTCACACGCGCAAGGTCCCCGGTTCGACCCCGGGCGAAAACAATGTTTTTTTTCTTTTTTTCTGTGTCCCCTCAATTATTTTCACAAAAGTAAATCTCTTGAGAAATCCTCGCGATGATTACCTTCTTGACATTTATTCCTTGCCTTTTTCTAACAATTTCCTTTTTATGTAGGCAGGCCCCCTAAATGGAATGTTTTTGTGCATGCCTTTGCCATTTCAATACCATTATTTATTCATTTTTGGTTCTGTGTGTACTTAATTTAATACCAAACTTTTCATGATGTTTTACCGCTGCCTTTTTTGAATGTTGAGTATGGGTTACGATATTTCAAAATCCCCCCCCCCCCCACCACCACCACCGGTACCACCACCGACCCGCCCTGCCCTTCTCAATTCAATTTATAGCAACTGCAGGGAAAAGGGTGACAATTTAGTTTTTAATATAAGATTGTAACATTCTTCAACTAGTCGTTGATGTGCCGAAAGAGACGTTATTACTACCTAGCCCCACCCCCGCTAATTAAAAAAATATCATTTTAAAAATACCCCCCTCCCTCCTTATTCCCCGCCTACACCCAAACAAGTCTTGTATCCACCGCAAAAACATTAAATAATGTGATGAATGGGTAGCAGCAGACTATGATTTTTTTATCACAACTATGGCTTTTCGCTAACGGCGACGCAATATGAAGTGATAGTCGTAGCCATGATATTACGCCTAATTGGGATTATGACTTGTCGATAAATGAACTGAACGTGTACGTGGCGCGCATATAGACTGCAAAGTGCAAGTGCAAGCACTTTCTGTTATTAAATCATTTGTTTTGGCGATATAATTCGACGTTTTACCTAGATCACCAAGATGGACGGGATGCAGGTTTTATCGCTTATCACCACTGTCTTCACTATTGGCATGTTCATGGCAGGAATGTAAGTAAAATCGAGGTCTTTGGTCTGGGTGGGAAAAGTCCGGGCAACTTGGGTTTGGCTACCGGGGATAAGCGGCGTGCGCGTGGGGCCAGGACGGGTCCGTTATCAAAGACTTGCGCTGGCATGTATGGACTTCGGACAATGATGCCTTTGCGTAGAAAGGTGTGGAAAGATTCCCATATCTGACCATCACTAATTTGGTAATCCTTACTTTTAGGACACCTCTATTTTGTACGAGTTCTGTCAATGTCTGTTCAAAACTGACTTTTGCAGAGATGACTGTCCAGTACAAAAGTGACTTTTGCAGGCTAAAGCAGTCTTTTTTCTTCATACAAACTCATGTTAGTTGTAATTTTGAAAGCACTTTCAAAGAAAATGTGACTTTCCTACCTTTTTTTGCAGTTCGCCATCTTGCTTTTTTAATATATTTTCTGTTTGTCATCGTCGTCTTTAACCCCTCATAAATCAAAGCCCTGCCCTCTTTCTACAAAATTAAACCTGCTGATGATATTCAAGAGGTGTCATTGCCAAATGGTCAAATGTGCCAAGAAATATCAGAATGTCACTTTTGAGTGTCATTTACATGTAGTCAGCTGTTTTGGTGAGTCTTTTAACCTTATATAGGAAAGAGGTCCTAAAGGTAAGGATTACCACTACTTTTTCCCTTCAATGACCTTTATAGCTAAAGTATTGAAGTAAAACAATTTTCAGACCAGTAATTAAAGTACATATATAGTTTTGTGCACATGGTAACATAACAAGTGATGGCCAGATATGGGAATCTTTCCAAAGAGGTTTTTATTATGCATTTGCTTAATTATATAATTGGGAAAGTAGTGACTAGTGTGCAGAGCTTTAGACGCCACTGAACATGCTTAAAGAGTGTTTTAAATTTTCCTTTCTATTTTTTTTTCAGTTTAGGCCCTAGGATTCATTGTTTGTTAATTGGTCATTATTTATTGCAATTTGTTGTTAGTGTTTACTTAAGATAGGTAACCTCCTTTCAAAGTTGCTCATGTACTAATATTAATATTAAATTTTAATTTATTAAAAAATGTTGTCATTTGAGATGATATTGTTATATTTTATTGTTATTTAAGCCAAGCCAAGTAAAAAAAAACACCAGTTGATCGTTTTTTATTGAAAACTTGGCTAAAATAGCCATATTTAGCTTTATACACGACGTGCCTTTTATAGGACAAGGCCCTTTTTATTTGATAGTTCTGGGAAGTTGTTTACTAGTTGATGACCACAAAACCTTCTTAAAGTGTTGAACATTAGTAAAGCTATTAGAACAACTTCTGGGAAAGATTTCCATATACGAAGTTCACTAATTTTCCTCTGTATTGACTAACAAGCCCCCAGATAGCAATTTCATGTCATCAAAGTCAATTTGAGCAGTGAGAAAATACAAGCATTTTCTTAGAAAACACTTAGAATTTTTCAGTCCAATCTCATAGGGTTTGTACACAGGGTGTTGAGTGAACTTCGTATATGGAAATCTTTCCCAACTTCTGAAACATCTTTTAAAAAATGTTATGTCTGAAATATTAAAGTATGAAAACAACTTGATAGGCTACAGCCTCGAAAAAGGAAGCAGGGGGGGGGGGGGTGATCAACTGGTATTTTGTGGCCTTATTTATTTATCTATTTATATTTATGTTTGCATTTCAGACCAGACTGCCTGAAGATTTTTAAAACTGGAAGCACAGAAAATGTCCTCTTTCTACCATTTCTAACCACAAACATGAAGTAAGTTTTGTACATTGAAGTTCATTACATTCATTCTTCATTTTATTGTTCTTTCTTGAAGTTTTCATTGCTGCAAAAAAAATTCAATTTAAAATGTCAACATACAAAAAAATGGAATTATTTAAATCATAATACTATTGTTCAGATGAAAAACTGTTCAAAAAATATTATTTGGTAATTTAGAAATTTTTGAAATTGGCATAAAATGACAACTTTTTCTCATGATGGGTAAATTCGTTTAAAGTCTATGATATGTGAGCAGATTCGGCGATGAATTATGCGAAACAAGACTTGACCTTGAGATTCTGACCATTCAGCAGGCGCCATAACCCGTTGTATTGCAAAAACAAGGCATCCAAAATCGGCCAATCCACAGCTTAGTCCACATTTCTGATCAAACTGACATCACAGTTTCTAAAGACCACTCCGATTGGCTGGTGTGTGAACGTGGGCGTTGCCAGGATTTTTTTCCAGAGGGGGGCAAAGCATATTTTCTCCTCAAAATCCTTGTACTTTTCCAGCATATTCTTGATTTATCATTTTTCGAGGGTGGGCAGGGACATTTGCCCCCCCCCCCAACCCATTGCATTAACAGCAATATGACTTTGCGCCTCTTTTTCTTTATTTTCCTTTCTTTTCTTTTTTTTTGGTTTGCTTTTCCATGGGGAGGGGGAAAGCGACCCCCCCCCCTTGCCCCCCCCCCTCGCGACGCCCATGCATGTGGATTGCAATTTAATGGGGCACTAGGTCCTGAAATCCCCGAAATTTTCATGTTTTGGATCATTTACTTATCCTATTATAAACATCTGGTTGAAAGGAAACCAACCTTCGTAAGATGGAATTTTGCGTCGGGGTGATGTAAATCAAATTAGGTTTTGCTCTTCACCGACGTATAAACACTGTATACTCAGTGTGTTACCTCCCAAGTGAAAGTTGGAAAAAGTCACTCAGGTGGGACTCGAACCCACGACCTCCTGCTTTCTAGTACAGATGTCTTACCACTCGACCACCAAGCTAACGCCGCAAAAGGCGAACACTTTACGGATGAAATCACAACTAGTACCCAAACAGCTCGACTTTTTGGGGTAGCAAAAGTGGACCCCGAAAGTCGTTTTCGCACACATACAGGAATAACACAAAAACGCCCAGCTTTTATCAGATAGTTGTGTGGATGGTTTATATCCTACTTTTAAATGTTCTTTCGGATGAACAATGACTTTGTTCAATCCGTGATTTGTAGCCCAATTAGGCTGGTCCAGGACACTGTGTCCCTTTAAGCAATGATATAAATTTGTAGAGTACCTTAAGTTTTTTTTTTGGGGGGGGGAGGAATGCAAAGGAAACAACTAAACAAAATATCTTGCTGTGCTGTACCCTCCTGTGTCCCCCTCTCCAATCCCAAATTTGCAGTCAATTGTACCCCTGTCAGTGTGGAAATGCCCATATCACACCCCCCCCCCCCATATTCCTTCATTCATCTTGTTTCAATGTCTTCGTTACCAGTAATATTTTGTGGGCGTCTTACGGCTATCTGAAGAGCGATCCAACTATCATCACAGTGAACAGTGTTGGAAGCTTCCTGCAGACATCTTACATGATTGTCTTCATGATATATTCCCCAACGAAAGTAAGTAAAGCTCGCAGTAGACTAGCACTCTATACAGGGTCAGTAAACAAAAAACCGAAACCCAAATGTTGGGGCCATTGTTTTAGTGAAGTTCTACATGTAGCACAAGTTTTCAAAATCTAGGATATAAAAGCCAAATTTATAAGGGTTTTTTTTAGTACAAGAATCATTCAAATCACTCATGTAGGCCTACTCTTCAAGTTACGGAATTTCAAACACAACCACCAACTTGAAGTTCTGTCCGTGGATCACAAGAAGGTAAGTGTTCTTTCAGCAAAATGAAAACAAATCACGTAGGGATGTGTGTGAATTGTTTTCATTTTGCTGAAAGAACGCATGCGGCTTTTTTTGTGATCCGTGGACTGAACTTTGAAATTCTGTAACTTGAAAAGTACAAGAGCGATTTCAATGATTCTTGTACTAAAAAGAAAGCTTATGAATTGGGCTTTCATATCCTAGATTTTGAAAGTGCTACATGCAGAACTTCACTAAAACATTAGTCCCAACATTTGGGTTTCACTTTTTTTGACCCTGTATGTAAGCTAAGTGTAATCAATCTGAAGCTTAAAATAAAATTGACATTTCAGACAATTAGGTTCTAAGGCTAAGTAAACAAATTAACCAAATAAAACTGGCATTTAAAAAAAATTCGACCCTTCTTTTTTTTCCCGGCGGTCTCCCAAAAGTGTATTTTCAAGGATAGCATTGCATTACATGGACTTTTCAACTAAAAACTCATCTTTGGTTATGATGACCTGGCTAAAGTAGCCACCAACTTGCTCTTAAAAGTGGCAACCTGTTTTTTGCACATTTCAGCAAAAGCACTATAATAAACACCTGTTTATCAATCAATTAGTCACTTTGCTTCATCAGAGACCTGTTTTCATATTTTAACTGTTGCAGGTACAGGCTTTTCAGCGCACCGTTTTGGCATGTGCCACCATGGTGTTTCTGTACCTATACTTTTCCATGTACATAGTAACCATCGATGTCATTCTTAACCAACTTGGTCTGGTATGCTGCACGGTGACAGTTCTTATGTACGTCTCTCCATTGAGTGAAATAGTGAGTATTTCATGCAATGTTCCTACTCTGATACATACCTTTCTTGAAAACTTGCCTAATCTGTCAAATAAACAACAAAAACTTAAAGGGAATGTACATCATTGGCTTTTGCTGTTATTTTCAGAAATGAACTATTTTAGGGGTTAGTATAATACTGGATCAAATATTGTTACACTAACATGTTTGAATTTTGTGGTAGAAAGTGCTGGAAAACCAAGAAAAACAAAAATGTTCAAGCAGTCTGGTACCCTGACTCCACTAAAGATGAAATAGATCAATATTTATAGATGCCGGAAAATTGTAAGGTGAGGGAACCAGTCTAGCCTGCCTGCACCCGTTCATGAACATATAACCAATAGCAAACAAAATTTGGACTGAAAAATGGTAAATTTGGATCAGTAGTTGAAAAATAGTTAGGTTTTTCCAACGGTGGTCGGCCGACCACCGTTGGAAATGTATACAAAATTACTATTTTTTTTGAAAATGACTTCACACCAGGTGCCATAATTTTACAGTATGCTTTATACTGTCATTTACCAACATCCTAGTAAAGTATTTCGTAAAAACTTGGTAGTTTTATTTTTCGATGTTTGCAAATGTTGTATATTCCCTTTAAGTGTTCCTCAAAAAAAAATAATACTTAATAAACCCTAACTTATCACATTTTTACTTCTATTGACATGTTCTGCATGACTTTTTATAGGAATAAAAATCCTTTTTAAATCCTAGGATTCATGTTATCCCTCCCCGCCCACCCTCTACTTCCCACATTTTGTCCTACATGTATTGAGAAATTGATGTTTGAAGACAGTAAGGCCAAAAAAAAAAAAGTCTCCGGTTTCTGATATGCGTGCACGTCACCATAGCCATGTGCGTCGGCAAAATTAAAAAAAAAAATTCAATGTAAGATGATGTCTCAAAACCGCCAAACTCACTGGTTTGACTGGATTCCTGCTGCTGCACAATTTTAACGTGTTTGAACTACTTTAGGCCAAATAAAAAAAAACATGTTTAGCCTCCTGCCTTTTTGAAAAAAAGGAAGGAGGCCCTTTTTTTTTCTCGCCAAAATGGTCGCCCGACCCATTTTCCATTTATTATTCAAGATGGCCGACAGCTTTTTCTTTGAAAATGGCCGCCACTTGGACTCAGAAAATGACATACCAGCTTGTAGAGTCTAAAAAGTTCGACTTTTTTTTTTTCCGAAAATGATCATTAAATTGTTCATTTTTTCGGGGTGTTTTTTTTTTTTTTTCAATTAATAAAAAAAAATATCGGAAGCTGCGTCCAAGAAGGAAGCAGGTGGGGACGCTAAACATGAATTTTTACTTTCTGTGAAATTTCAGGTAAAAATTTTGCTCTAGCAAGGCTACAGGCGAAAAATCAAAGTTTTAGGGCCACGCGGCGTTAGGGTACAAATAATGTCATCACTCTAAACCTGAAGTTTAAATTGTTGTTGAAGTTTTTAATACTGATTGATTTTGTTCAATGCAGGCGACAGTATTCCGTACTAAATCCACCAGCGGTATATCTCTACCTCTAACAATCACCACACTGTTTGCTTCCTCGCTTTGGGTCCTGTATGGTGTGTGCGTCAGTGATCTTTATATTCAGGTAAGAATTGATGGGCTTGTGGTGGACTTGTGATGACTTGTGATGGACTTGTAATGAACTTATGATTTCTTGTGATCACTTGTGATTTCTTGTGATGGGCTTGTGGTGGACTTGTGATGGACTTGTGATGGACTTGTGATGGACTTGTGATAGACATGTGATGGACTTGTGATTGACTTGTGATGACTTGTGATAGATTTAAAATGGACTTGTGATAACTTGTGATGGACTTGTGATGCACTTGTCAAAGACTTGTGATTGGTTTGTGATGGCTTGTGATTGGCTTGTGATGGACTTGTGATCAGTTGTAGTTACCTGGACTCCAACTCTTACTGTTGAAGGGCACATTTCTTGTGATCACTTGTGATTTCTTGTGATGGGTTTGTGGTGGACTTGTGATGGACTTGTGATGGACTTGTGATGGACTTGTGATAGACATGTGATGGACTTGTGATTGACTTGTGATGACTTGTGATAGATTTAAAATGGACTTGTGATAACTTGTGATGGACTTGTGATGCACTTGTCAAAGACTTGTGATTGGCTTGTGATGGCTTGTGATTGGCTTGTGATGGACTTGTGATCAGTTGTAGTTACCTGGACTCCAACTCTTACTGTTGAAGGGCACATTTCTTGTGATCACTTGTGATTTCTTGTGATGGGTTTGTGGTGGACTTGTGATGGACTTGTGATGGACTTGTGATAGACATGTGATGGACTTGTGATTGACTTGTGATGACTTGTGATAAATTTAAAATGGACTTGTGATAACTTGTGATGGACTTGTGATGCACTTGTCAAAGACTTGTGATTGGCTTGTGAGGGGTTGTGATGGCTTGTGATGGCTTGTGATGGACTTGTGATCAGTTGTAGTTACCTGGGCTCCAACTCTTACTATTGAAGGGCACACACTTATAATCTCAACTGAAATCATGAATTCTCCTTTGGTTTATTTTTGTTTGTTCCAGATTCCCAATATTCCGGGCGTTCTGAGCAGCCTCGTCAGAATATACCTTCTGTGGAACTACCAAGACACAACAGCAAAGCCAATTACATAGACACGACACATTAGAAATCAGAGCATGTGTAGACACTGGAATAAATAGTGGGGGGTGGAAACTGGTGAGATTTCTCATTTTTGATTGTCAAGGCTTTCATATTTTGATTGATTTAAAAAATATTTTGCTGCTACAGACGGCAAGACTAGTGTTCTCTTTGTAATATCCTCGTGTTCGATTACTTCCCAGCGCCGAGTCGTGCAAGCGAGACCGTGTTCGATTTAACACTCATGTGACTTCTCGTGCTTACTCTAGCCTGGTCCAAATTACCGACACGTTGAGCAGGTTCGCTCTTACCCTCGCCCTGCAAACAGGACGCTGGGATACTCTGATGAATTCACACTCTGATTGGTTGGATTTTGCGTGACCTGTGACCAGTGCGTCATCACGGTCATGACTCTGCAAGGTTTGAAACGGCCGTAAAGACTGATTCATTACTCTTTTATTCCAGCTTAGAGATGGGGTTTTTTTTCGTTGAAAAGCGTAATAATGTAGGAAATTGTGTAAAACTTACCTGTGTTGTACATTTACAATTCCCGTCACTTGCTCGGGCTCCGTTTCGAATCACGAACGGTCGGATTGCATTATGCGACGCTCAAAATTTTGTCCACATGATCCACAGTGAAACAGAAATCACATCCGGTATGGAACGTGTACATTTCTATGGGAAGTTTTCGGACAGCAATTGCGCACATTGTCTAACTGCGGTCTTGAACAGCTGCAGCCAGATGCTGTATACATTGGTCATAGGCCACTTCCTTCACAAGATTCTGTGAAGCTCATCAGTGTATCCCAGCGTCCTGTTTGCAGGGCGGCGGGGATGGGGGGGGGGGGGTACGAGCAAAGTTGAGCAGGTTACTTAGGTAGGTATCCCACAATGCAATGCAAAAGCATGGCCGCTGCGGTGGCGGGGGATTCAAAAGCTTCACACTATAATACTAGGCGACGGGAGGAAAATCAAGTCAATTTTCTTTGTTGACTTTCGAAGAGCACGTACAGTGGCCACAATGGCTCACTTTCAACGGCTTGAACCCATTTGCAAAGGGATTTAATTACCACATGACCTCTTGACCAGGTCCAGTTGCTGTGGCTCGACCTCGAGTAACCCAAGATCATTCGTTTATTGCTACAGATTGCGCATTTGCATCTATACCCGAGACTTAAGTACGAGCAAGCGCGAGGGCAAGTATCGAACGCGGTGAATGTTAGACTTGTTAATGGTGAGTTAGACTTGTTAAGTCTCACAGTGGCCCAAAAGTTTGACTCGGATGCTACCTCAAATCCTGGGACCAGGGCCCAATTTCTTGGCTCTGCTTACCATCAGCGAAAAATCCCTGCTTACTGAAGCAGAAAATGTGCCGAGGGTAAGCGCATTTCATGGGTTAGAGAGGACTGTTGGCTTCTGCGCATGCGTACAGCCTGTAACTTAAGGATTCTGTGCTTACAGGGTTAGCAGTTAGCACAGAATTTTCTGCTAGCGTGGTTGGCACAAAATGGTGAGCGTAAGCACAGAATTCCGTGGTTAGCAGAGCCATGAAATTGACCCAGTGCTACTGGGCTTGCCTTGTCTTGGTTGGCTCAAATATATCACAGTATTAATAAGCTGTGCCTGAATTACGTGGCTATGGCTAGCAATAACACAGGGGTCTATGGGAAGTGGCTGCAGCCGCTTCCATAAGCGCGTATGTGATTACAAGCCACAGCCAAGTAATTCAACACGGTCTTAGGTGAATGAAAGCCATTTTTGTTTCACTGGTTCCCGTCTGTTAGGCCAAAAAAATAAATAAGTCGGTCTCTGGTCAGCGCGCGCGTCGATTTTAATCATGCGCGTCAATCTTATTTTTTCCAAAATGTTCCGCGGTAGCTTCAACAGCGCCCTCTATTGCCGCACCTCCTCAATTTTTTTTACCAAAGAGCACCAAGGAATGGGAAATTGCACCAAGGCAAATGATCGAGAGCACCAAGGCAAATTATGGAGGACACCAATGTACATGAGGACACCAAAAAAGCTAAATACAAATGTAGTACCCCACCTTGTCTGTAAAATCCAAGCTTGGGGGGAAAAAAAAAAAAAAAAAAGAAGCCGCGTCAATTCCGGAACTTTGGTCTGACCAGAGACCGAATATTTTTTTTTTGGCCTTATCCATGTGTTTACAATTGAGAATGCACATCATGGAAAAGAGATTTCGATTTCGATTTATTTATTTTCACACCAATCGTGGCCCTGAGGCCAAATTTAAAGTGTGGTACATGCAGTAACCAAACAAAATTACACATAAAATTGTAGTAAATAAAAATATGAATATATTTAATACAACATTGGATATTAAAACATTTATGACAAGAATGATAATCACCTTCATACATACAAACACACTGAAGAAGTAATAATAGTTGTGGATAAGTGGCAGATAACCTAATTATTTAAAATGTCGATAAAAAAGGGGACTGGGCTTATTTTTAACCTGTTAGTTCTTGCTGGCAACAGCGAAATTTCATTGTTAACCTTGGACATCTGCCATGACTCTCTAACCGTGTTGGGGGAACGAGGGAGCTAGTGCGGGGATTGGTTTTGAGCCCTTTTTGCGAAATTATAGCAATGCTGCAACCTCCTATCTGATAGGGAATCCAGATTACAACGCTGCAAGCATAGAGCTAGAGTTAATTACTAGAGCGCTAACTTCGTGTACAAAGTAATGCCTGCTGGGCGCATCCATGTTTGTGCACAAACCTATGGATACCTAGAAATTTTGTATGGCTTTTGTACGGCTATTTGCATATATGTGTTTGTATTCCATACCGGTGCGTCATCGAAGCCAATACGCCCAAACCGAAATGCACGATCAGCAAATGAGCGTGTCATTTTGCTCGACGCAAACAGCGCAACACGTGCGCGTATTCGCTGCAGATGCTTTTTACCATCACGCTTTCTGAACCGTCAATGACGCGCTTAAAGCCCGAGTCCATCATTTGCAGCTATCCAAAAAAGTAACTGGCGTAATTATTGTTGAAAAACATACTGGTTGAAAGATAGTAAGGGGACTAAACTCCCTGTGAAATTATTCTTTCTGGCAAGCTCTCATTTTGAAGAAATCAACGAAAGAAGGCATTTCCAACGGTGCGTCTTAAGAAGCACCGTAGGAAAATTTTAATTAGTAATTCGTTTTGTTAATCGGCGCAGCGCGCACAAGCATTGGAACGACGCACAGGCGCGCGCGGTTGCTATAATTCGTCGGATCAGTGCGCGACATCGCGTAAAGCTGCAATTCAAAACAATTGGAAACATGATTTAGCAACTTTTGATTTGAAATTGAGATCCTAGAAGTAGAATGCTGTTTTTCTCAGAATATCAAGTAATTTGTTCAGTATCCTTCATTAGATTTTGAACACTTTTGTTGCTTCAAACGAACAAAATGCAATTACAAATGATGGACTATAGCTTTAAGTTGTTTGCTTGTGTTCTACTTGCGTGTTGCATGTAGAGTACACTTTCAAAATTCAATCCATCTACATTTTGTAATTTCATTTGTGTTCTACAAGCATGCACATGAATTCAAAATGTCTGCGCCTAGGACGGCTTCAAAGCGTCTCCGCGCGCAGAATGGCGAGTTAGCGCTCTAGTAATTTAATATACATGTAGCTCTATGCTTGCAAGTCATCTTTATAATTCTCAGACCTATCACCCAGTATGATTGTTCTGATATGGAAGAGTAGGCTGGTTCCCTGTACTTCCATTATACCATCTGTACTTCAGTTAGAGGTGGCAGGAACCAGCCTGTTGATATGACCTTTGACCTCAAAGGTTGACAGGCACAATTCTATAGTCTTGTAATTTCAGGGTACATATTTTTGTCTATTTTTCTATGACATCCATTTCCTCTGTATAGCTGCCTATGTAATAATGAAAATGGGTTTGTACATATTCTTGGTTTTTCTTTAAAGCTATTTTTTTATTTTAAGTTAAATTGATTACAAGGGAATTCTCTGAAAAGCTTAAAAATTTATAAATTAATATTCACTTTTGCATGATTTATTTCTACAAATGGTGATCGTGAAATCATATGTGATGCGATCAAGCTAAATGAGTCGTTTGTCGGGAACTTTCATTTGGAGATTCAGGCCAAAATATGGCCACTTCATCACATCACTTCATCACATCACTTCATCACATCTCTTGGTGTTCTGACTTCCATAATTGGTAAACTAAAGATGGTACCAGTATGCAGTAATGCTGAAATTGTGCTCTTTTCAAAACTCTAAAAAAAACTCATTTAGCTTGATTGCATCACATATTGGTAAAGAAATGTACAAATAGGATCAAGAATGTGATATGGAGCATTCTTTTCTTTAAAAAATGTTAACTCTCATAGTAGATACACATTGTTCAGGTACTTTCTTATTAACAAATGTTTTAAGAAATGGTGAAACGGGAACCTTCAAGCCTTCGTTAAATTTCCCCTTACAATCGTATAACTTCACGAATTGACTGTGAACATCATCAAACAAACCTTTTAAACTTACAAATCAAAATGATATCTTTTTCCCAAAGCCAGGTGTTGTATTTTTTTTTATTTTAACACCTTCACCCACAGATTCTGTATCTTGATTGGCCGAGAGTGAGTCACATGACAGAACATGTATGTCCTTTACAATTATTGTGAAAGAATGTTGTATAAAAACTACCTGTTCAACCCCCCCCCCCCCCTTTAATTGGGAAGAAAAGGGGGTGTCCTTGGAATATTGTGAACATGCTACAAGATTTCCAGTTTTTTACCGAATGTAGCTGTTTTTCGACATTTTATGAAAAATGTAGTGCCTTGAAAGTTGAAACATGGACATTTTATTTACTTTTAGTCAGTTTTGTGTGCAATACTTCAAAACCTGTGCACACTTTTCACACGGTAGGGGAGGTCAACCGACCAGCACTGGAACTTGATACAACTTTTCTTGACAATTACAGCACACAAGGTGACCTGATTTTACAGGATACTTTAGACTGTCATTCACTAACAGTCCAGTAAGGTATTTCATAATAATTTGGTACTTTTGTTTTTTGATGATTGCAAATGTTGTATATTCCTTTTAAACAGAAACCCCCTAAACTAAATAGTGTCTTCCTGTAATGACATCACACTACAGCCTCGGTTGTCCGGGAAAGCATGGTAAATTGTAAATGTTTCAAAAGAAGTTAACCTTTCAATAACATTACCAAAAAGGGATGTCAATTGGTTTTTTTTTTATAGATTTAACAGTACAATGTAGTAGAATATTGCACAAAATGTGTTTCCCAAGAAATATTCCTCGCATGGAACCTTTAAGACGATATACATGCATTTTCGTTTAGAACTTCAGATGTTTACATGCAAATTCAAGCAACTGGAATAACTCAAAATCTGTCAGCTTATTTGGTTGGGACAGCCCACTTTGAGCACTTGTATTCTGGGGCTATCGGTTCTCATTATCCTTTGGAATTTCGTTGTCAATTTAATCCATTAAAAATCTAATTATTTCGAAGAAATAAACGTTTTCAAAACTAAACATTTCAGCAGTGTACACCTTGTGGTTATTTAAAGATGTGTGAAATTTGAGCAGCCATTCTGATGGAAATTTCAATGGATTTTTTTTTTAAACGATTCTTCAAAATGAAAGACGTCAATCACAGTATGGACAGAACACTTACGAATCACCAAATTTTTGTGGATAATTCACAGTCTAAAGATGTGGCTGCGTGTAGCAAATATTTTAAGAACCATCAATCAGAGTTGTAATGACTCGAGTCAATGACTCGAGTCCGACTCGAGTCACAATTTTGGTGACTCGACTCGACTCGAGTCCCTAAGGGCAAATGACTCGACTCGAGTCACTGCAAGCAAATGACTCGACTCAACTCGAGTCCCTCAACAGAATACCTCGACTCGACTCGAGGAAGGCTATTGAGACTCGAGTCCAATAAATAAAATCAAAACTTTGCGAAAAATATTTGCAATGACTTACGCCGGTGCCGGTTTTTGTTCACGTCACGTTGGAATTTTGCAAATAATGTATACATATATGTGGTTTGATCAGTGTCCCCATTAGTTGAATGACGATCAGCTGGCACCCCCTTTTTATTTTCATTAAGAGGCAAACGTGGTGTCGCCACATGTAGTAGCCCGAATGTAAAATTTAAAAAGCCAAAAAAATGACTTTCTCTCTTGTGTGTATTTATTGTATAGTGCTAAAATATTTGTGACTCGAATTGGCTCGAGCTAAATACTTGACTTGACTCGACTACACACTGTAAATCGACTCGACCGTCTTGACCTAATAACTTGACTCGACTCGAGTCACTTATTTAAAATACTCGACTCGACTCGAGTTACAAAAATCAGTGACTCGTTACAACTCTGCCATTAATAATGTTTAGCCAATTCACAAAGGCTGACGCCTGCCCATTATGTTTGCAGATAGGTGTGATTGACATAATAAAAAGCGAGCAGTCATTGAAAACGTAAAAACGTAAAAAAGTGTACCTACTACCCCGAGTGTAACCGAGTACGTTCTGCGGTGCTCCTAAGGTTTTGGATATTAAATAGATTTGAAAGCATTGTTAATTGTCTATGCTTTAACTCAAAGGAAGATCTGGTAAATGTAGGTCCTTTTTTATAATTTGGGTTTTGTTTAAACGTTTTGGAAAATTTGTAAACGGATTTAGAAATTGTTTTGTTTACACGTTTAAACGTCACATTCTTAGCACATTATATGACAAAAAAAATGGCGGGAAAAAACACAAAGTGCAAACACCAAAGCCACGAAAGTTCCAAGGCATTTAAATTTATCTGAGAGTTACAAAATTACTGTTTCCCTCGATATTGATATTGATATTCATGAGGTGTTGTGGAAGACTATCTTTCAAAAATTTCAACATCCTGTTACCACCTTTTACTGCATTTCTTCTGCCTTTTTTTACTTTAAAACCACATATTTTTTTCCTTTTTCCCGTAGTTTTTGAGGAGTCTGCATCAGGGTGCAGTTCAGTTTGAGTCTCCTTGTCTATGCAGGGGACATAATTATCTTCCTCACTTTCAATTTCAATTCTACCAAAAGCGACAGTCGGAGTCTCCTTGTCTGCACAGGGGACATTATCTTCCTCAATTTCAATTCTAGCCAAAGCGACAGTCTGAGTCTCCTTGTCTGCACAGGGGACATAATTATCTTCCTCAAGTTCAATTTCAATTCTAGCCAAAGCAACAAGAACACCAGTGGCAGTTGCAAGCATGACAACAATCGGAGTCTCAACACTTGGAAAAAAAGCTACAAGAATAACACTCGGCACAGAAAACAGGCATAAAGCAATGATCTTCTGGTAGTAAATGTCGTCATCATCTAAATCCTCTTCTGTATCAAGTGACAAATCCTCTTCTGTATCAAGTGACGAATCCTCTGCCGCCTCGTCATCATTCCCATATTCATCAAGTGAAAGTTCCACACTCACAACAATGGCGGTGTGTAGCCAGACACAAACAATGCACAAGAAAACAAAAACAGCAAAAAAAGTAGTGGCCAAAGTAAAAGGAACAGAAATCATTGCAGCAACGATACAATGCCGCTTTCTAAGAGTGCTATTTTGTTTATTAAGCAATAGCAGTACAAAATATGGCATTTGATAGGGCACAAATATAGAAACAGCGAAAACAAAAAAGACACACAAAATAAGTGTGACGGCAATAATTTTCATTACAATTTTCAGAGCAATATAAATCCTTTTGAACAAAAAGATGGTGCCCTGTCCATCATTTCCTGCAATGCCAGTTATGTTGCTGTGTCTAGACCAGAATAAAATGCAACAAGAAAAATAAGCAGAGAAAAACATACAAGCAACAACCACACAAGCAGCAGTAGCAAATTAGAAGCGTGCTGAATAACACAAACTAAATCAGCTACAATAGCAACACCAAAAACAACCAAACAAAACCAAAAACTGGCCTCTTCTTCCAAATCTATGCCAAGGTCACCCTCAGACCTTTCTGGGTTTGGGTTGTTTTCCGTTTCACCATCATCAGTGCCAACACTGCGCAGTGCTTCAGTCTCATCACGCGCTTGACTAGACGCCATGGTTCTTAGTTCGTTCCTTGGAGTTGGAGCAGGTAACTTCAAAGCGTTGACTGTAACTGCATCAGGCATAACACAAAAAGGATCTTTTTATATCATATTTGTAAACCAGATTTTAACCCTTAATTCCAATAGGTTTCCATCAATCAAGAAACTAGGGCTGTACCGAATATATCAAATACTCGAATATTCAATTATAAACCAAATATTCGAATAGCTTTTTGCCGGTTTGAATATTCGGTGACTGCTCTCTGTTCCGACACTCCTATCTTCTGACACCCCTATGTTGCGACAACCTGCACATCATTGTTACTCCCGGTTTGAGTTAGTGTTAGGGTGAGGGTTAGGGATAGGAAAATCAGCTCTATAAGTACAAGAAACCTACTACTGAAGTCCAGTGCTACCGGTACTCTATGAAATTCAATTACAGGGGGCGGGGCACATGCTGCCCACAAAATCCCCGGTCCTGCGCAACCCCCCCCCCCCCCCCCCCCCCCCCCCCCCCCCCCCCCCGCCCTCTGAACATTTGGCAAACATTTTGCTGTGGATACACCCATCACAACCCCATCCCTCCACCCTTCAAATGCCAGCTGATGCCCCACTGGGCCCCCACAAATACCACCAAAAAATACCCCGGCCAACATGTCCAACATGGTTTTCTGTTGTTAACTGCCTTCTCTCCATAGATTTCTTCAGGCTTGCTACGATGCTTTTGCAAAATCCTGTTTCATTTCCAGAAACAAAACATTGACAAGGCAGCGATTACGAGTTCTTCAATAGTTTTTACCTTTAAGTATCGTTCCTGTAGAAGTCAACAACCTTTTAGCAAGTCCTCAGCTGGATGGTGATATTGAACTTGATAGTATTGGAGACTGTACAAATACAAATCCAATCTGCACTGCTGTATGAATGGGATAAAATTATATACATTGTATATTAAAAATGGGATAACATTTGGTATGCATCACAGTTCTTCTAATTACTCTCTCCACAAGTTTGCAACCTACAATCCCGGCCAAAATGGTTGGGACACTTCCTGAGCCTAGCAACGGTCACCCACTCCGGTCCCCTGGTCCCCTGGTCCCCCGCTCCCCCGGTCAATGTTGTTCTCTCCAGCCGATGGAGCACACACTGCGCAATGAGAGACAACACTGAGTGGGGGTCGGGGGGTTGGGGCCCCAGTGAGATTTGGCCAGGATTGTATGTCCAACTTGTCACCTAAGTGCAGTATGCTGTACATGTAGCTAGGGTGCCCCAGCTCCATAAGGTAGAGTACATAAATAAGTAGTTTCTCCACCGGCCTTTTAAAAAAAATGAAAGAGTTGGGAACTTTTTCCTTTCTTTTTGATGGCAGATTTTCCAAGATGGCGTATGGAGTCTTCAATTTTCACAACTATTTTGCCAATACAAAATTGTGTCCAAAGGAGCCACAACCCTTTCTACATATATAGCTACAATTTTGTAGGAAACAAATAAAAAGATAATTAATATATGGACAATATTCTGTGCAACTTGTATTGCAAACATACATGTATGAATGAAAAAAAAAGGAATTAGGCCTAAACCAAAATTTCATATCATGTAAACAAGGCATGACACATTTTATGGAGCGAGTTTCATCAGCTTTGTGCAAGAGGGTGAGATTTAAACGCCATCCGAAAAAAAAATACTCACTTTCAGAATCTGCCACTTATCACTTGACATCCTCGATACATTGCTGGAGACTGAGGCGAAAAGCGCATGCTGCAGCCGAAAGCTTCTGAAAGAATGCAGGATCACCTGTATTGTTAACAAGTGACGGAGTGTTAACAAGTGTTAACAAGATGTTAACAAGATGTTAACAAGTGCCCTATTTCTTTCTGAACAAGTGCCCTTTAAAAAATCGTGCCCTTTTTGTGCTAGCGGCATTTCTAGTGCCTTTTAAAAAAAAATTTCACGCATGTATAGGCCTGAAATGCGCCAATATAGACTGGTAGTGTGAACGATCATCGGTTTTGAACAGCGCCCCCATCGACAGATGGTACCAGTGCGCTGCCCCCCCCCCCCAAAAAAAAAAAACTGCACACAAAACTGCATTGTGTGCAATGATCCGCAACTGTCTCATGAGGGGATAAAAATTTGGCATTTCAGTCAATTCAAATGCCCAAATCATTATAAAGTACTCAGTGATCCTTACAAAAAAAGCCTAATAGTGAAGAAAAAAAAATGATAAATATTGACTATAAGTATACACTTCACTGGAAACCAGATTTTTGCCTTAAATTTATACGTGCAGCTTCCTTTCATGATGTTCACTGGTCAGTTACAAAACAAGTGGATATTTCTCCAAACTTAATTGGGGTAGCCCCATAAATGTGGCCAATTTACTGGACTACCACCGTAAACATGGCCACACATCCACATGTACAAAAACGTGTTGCACTTTGTCAAATTTTGATTTTCACATTTAGGCTTAGTTTGTAGGTTTATTTTGCTTTAGAAGCATACTCACCCTCTTTATAGGCTAATCAGAAAGTGCTGCCTTTTTGAGATGTCTATTTTTCGTGAAATTTCCAGATTCATTTGCACACGTTTGCGTATCAAAATTCAACATGAAATTTCACAAAAATTAGACATCTGAAAAGGGCAGCACTTTCTGATTAGCCTATAAAGAGGGTGAGTATGCTTCTTAAGCAAAAAAAACCTACAAACTAAGCCTAAATGTGAAAATCAAAATTTGACAAAGTGCGACACGTTTTTGTACATGTGGATGTGTGGCCTATGTTGACGGAGGAAGTCCAGTATTTTAATTGGCCGCATTTATGGGGCTAGATAGTGGGTAATGTTTAACTTAGCGATTTCTTTCATTTCTATTCCCCGACAATTGCAAAATGATAGACCTTTTAACATTTTGTCAAATGGGCCGAGTCGGCCATTTTGAATTGAAAGTGGGGTTAAATCTTCATTTTCGGAGCTTGCGAAGAGAAATGATCGCAAGTAAATTACTAATTAATTCCAGTCTGCTTCAAGAAATAATTTAAAATTTGTGATTAAACATTCCCTAATGTTTTAAGCAAGATTTAAAAAAAGACAGTAAAATAAGGCTGCATAGCGCCATCCCATTCAACGGTTAACAATTTATGAAATACATTCATTCAGGAACTCGACAAAATGGGCCATTTGCATTGCTTTTAAAAAATCTTGAAAAAAAGGTTGGTTTACACTAGACCCGTGAACGTGACATTATGTTCACGGGTCTAGGTTTACATTTGAATTAATTTAATCAAGTGATCCGGAACTGTCGATGATCCAGATTTGTCGCACTGACTGTAGCTGTACTACTGTTAGACCCGTGAACGTGCGTTGTATACAACGCCACGCGCTTCCCTCGCATAAAAACAAGCGAAATCATTATATCTTTTGATCCGCTACATATAACCACATATAATGTTGCCCATAGGTAAATCACTTACTTGTTAGGCTTCCTGTGAATTTACGCGACACAGGTCACCGCGCTGCAGGCCTGCTGCTGGTGCAATGTTGTCCCCGTCCCCAGCCGCGGCCCTGGCGCCCTCCGTAGGGGCGGTATCGCGCGCACGCCCACCATGCAAATCGTTCGCTCCCGAAGTCGTCATCAAAACGGGAGTTGTGCTTTGACGTAAGCACCATTCCTGAATTTAGCAAGGCGCCGCGCAAAAACAGTTAATAACTTCACTAATATACAGTCTGGGTGCTAGACTTGTGACGTTGCACGGGGACACATTTACCAGGGGGGACACATTTAACGTCGTGCAGTGGGACAGATTTACCTAGAGGGGGACAGGTTTACCTAGGTAAAAGTGTCCCCCCGGACAGATTTACCAGGTCACGACCCGGTAGATCTGTCCGGGGGGACACATTTACCAGGGGGGACAGAATTACCTGCCACACCAACTGGCGGTTGGCTGTTGGCGCATGACGTCGCGCGGAAGCGTAACACCCGATGACTGTTTCATGCACTATCGGTTGCGGTTCCAGTACCGCAGCTGTGATGCGAGTGGTAAACTTCATATGAGTGCATGAAACAGTCATCGGGTGTTACGCTTCCGCGCGACGTCATGCGCCAACAGCCAACCGCCAGCCGGCAAAAACGACTAGTTGACAGCCTGGTACCGGTAACCGACCGCCATTCATTGTACACAATTTTTTTTTGTGCACAAACCAATTGCTGTCCTGGCCATGCCTGCAAGGTTGTCAGGTTAGCGGTTATTCCTCCCTTTTTTCACTGCAATTGTAGGCTGAATCTTCATCGTGGATCGTTTTTTACTTCAAGGACCTGTGTAATGGTTATTCCAGGCAAGTTTGGGGTGAGTTGCAGTTGCACTTAGTGTGTAACGGGGACAAAATTCAACATTTTCCAAATTTTTTTGCCTATACTATCGGTTACGAGAGAAACTAGCTCCAGCCCTAATAGACAACCCAATGATAAAACTCAGGGCTGGGTAACTCCAGCTCGGTATGTAAGTAGAGATTAGTCCGAGTAACTTGGACCCAACTTATCGCCTTTTTTAACATTTGGACATGGTCTGGCGATAGTAAGGTCCAAGCTAATACCGAGACCTAGACAACACAGTCATGACAGTCCCAAAAACCAACATTTTCCAACAAAAAACATCAGATTTCACCTTCAAAACGGCCTCCAAATTACTAGATATGTCACCTGAGGTACAAGTAGACATAGATGATTAAGATGGTTGTACTTAAGTTTACTTACGATCCGGAAAAAAAGTGAAATTTTCCGTTCAATTCTGAAGACCCCCCGTGCCTAGGTTGTCGTTGTTGTGCTCACGTTCAAAACTGCATGATAATGGCGTCTGACCTCGACCTCATGCAAATGTCTGGACGGCGCGCTTGCGCATAATGCACTGCATGCACGGCAGATTCCCCCTGCGCCGCGCCGATGACTGTTTCCTGATGTAGAGCGCCAGCCATGCGCCTGGCTAGCCAGCGCGACTCCTAGGCGTACCGCGAACTTACACAGCACTCTACATCAGGAAACAGTCGTCGGCGCGGCGCAGGGGAATCTGCCGTGCATGCAGTGCATTATGCGCAAGCGCGCCGTCACGACATTTGCATGAGGTCGAGGTCAGACGCCATTTTCATGCAGTTTTGAACGTGAGCACAACGACAACCTAGGCAGAGGGGGTCTTCAGAATTGAACGGAAAATTTCACTTTTTTCCGGATCGCAAGTAAACTTCAGTACAACCATTTTAATTATCGATGTCTACTTGTACCTCAGGTGGCATATCTAGTAATTTGGAGGCCGTTTTGAAGGTGAAATCTGATGTTTTTTGTTGGAAAATTTTGGTTTTTGGGACTGTGTTGTCTAGGTCTCGGTATTAGCTTGGACCTTACTATCGCCAGACCATGTCCAAATGTTAAAAAAGGCGATAAGTTGGGTCCAAGTTACTCGGACTAAGTAGAGATAATAATAATTTATCAGAATTTATCAACTTTACAGAAATTATTAAATGTTAATTTGTGATTTTCCGAGATTTATTCAAGTGCGCAACGTTAGGGAACACTCCACCAATTTGTGCCCAATTTCCGGACGCCACCGTTTTTGAATTTCCGATTAAATTTCATGACACCGAAATTTTTCACAGAGATTAAAAAGCAAGTATTAAACTATTAATAAGGTAAAGGTACCAGTATTTCACTGCATAAATTTGAGGTTTGTCAACAAAGAGGTTTGGAAACACTACACGAGGAAAGTTGGGTAAACGTCGAAGTGCGCCACGTTAGGCCCCCCCCCCCCCCAAAAGTCTCCGGTTTCTGGTATGGAGCTTGCCCCAAAAGTGGTGCGGCGACGCGGCTTTTTTTTTTTTTTTACCTGTTTTTTTTTTTTGGGGGGGGGGCTTCAAATGTCGGCTGATGACTGCAAATGGTGCCCGACTAAACTTAGTGCAAATATATGGGAGTCCAGAGAGGCCACATAAAGCTTATTCTCGATCATAACCCCATCTAAAAACACGTTAAAATTGTGCAGCTCAGCAGAATTCCAGTCAAACCAGTGAGTTTGGCGGTTTTGAGACATCATCTTGTATTGAAAAAAAAACTTTTTCATTTTGCCGACGCGCATGGCTACGGCGACGTGCGCGCATACCAGAAACCGGAGACTTTTTTTTTTGGCCTTAGGGAACACCACCATATAGCCACGTTCACGGGTCTATACTGTAGTCTTTCTGTACACGATCATGACGACTCAGATTACCAAACAACAAAAGTTTAAATTAGGGCAAAAAATAGGCTAGAGATTTTGGATTAAAAAACCTATTCTTTTGGAAAAATTGAAAAAATGAGGCAACTCACCAACGCAATCTGCAACACAAGCTCAAAATATCGGGGCTTTGAGCCAAATTTGACAACTCAAAAAAGTCAAAGAACGGAACTGTTGGCCTCAACTTAAAACCACAGCAGGGAATTCCCCACATGTTGCAATACCGCGAACTTTAAGACAGAGGGCGCTCTGGTTAAAAAAGGTAGGGTGCAGGCTAGCTTTTTTTAGCGGTTTTTTTTTTTATTCCTGAAATTACAGGAATTTGAAAATTCTAAAACCTTACCAAAAAACTTACAATGTCAGGATCCTTTGGAGGCAGATTTCAAAAGACAATAAACAAATGAATTATGTCATATGTATTAACTATTTCTGGTTGTTTTGGCTTTGTTTTGTTTGTTTGTTTGTTTGTTAGGGCTGATGTGGTGTTTGTTTGTTGTCATGTTTGTTGGGTTGTCGGGCTGTGTGTCTATTTTCCTTATTAGGGAGGTTTCGCAAGCGAACGGATACACTTACACTTACGTTTAGCTATCCGTATCCGTTTTTTACATACGTGTAGCGAGCGAGGTATGCGTGTCGTCTGCACGTTTAGCGGATAGTGAGTGGCGTATGACGTCATACGTGCAGACGACACGCATATCTCGCTCGCTACACGTAAGTAAAAAATGGATACGGATAGCTAAACGTAAGTGTAAGCGTATCCGTTCGCTTGCGAAACCTCCCTATTATTATCATCTTAAATGAGAATACGCTATGTACCGGTAAATGAACTTTTATTGTGTACACTACCACTTATTAGATTAACTTGTCTTTAGAGATGCACCCAAATATTGTAAAGCTTGCAAAATGGACATAATTTTAGTTAGCTGTCAAATCGAGGCTGTCAGTGCTTAGTCTAGTCCCAGACCTGACGATTATTCCCGACGCTCTCATCTTAATTGTAGGTAAAGCAGCCTCCATGGCTAAAAATAAACATGAAGACATATCGACTGCCCTTTTTCAAAGCACGGCTTCGTTGCCGAAATGGCTTTATCACATATGTAGCTTTTTAATATTCCGATAATTTTGTTTTAATAATTCACTTGCTTGATACTATCACACAGGTTTGATAATACAGTTTGATATTTCTGTGAGAAAACGTTGACCTAGAATCTTCAAAGTTAGGCCCCAAGTACATCTGGGCCGCAGGGCGAGGATGGGGAAGAGCAAAATCCCAAAATTGCCCTGCCGTGGAAATTATTGTTTGGGGGAGGGGGGGGGGGGGCGGACACTACATTCAGGGAACGCTCTTCAGGATATCAATGTATATCCATATGTATACTCGCACTTACATCATCAAAACGGCGCATTTTAAAAACTTGTGTTAGTACTTTGTTTCTCCACGTGACTTTTTAGTGCATGAATACATTTTTGTTCGAAAGATACCTCGAAATCCGCATTTTTTTCTCATCACGAAAAATATTTTTTTTTGGGGGGGGGGGGGGGAGGAATGATTCAATAGCACATATCCGCCTCCCCTGGTCAAAAAATGGGGGGGGGGGGGGTAACTCCCCCCGGGATTTACGCCCTGACCAAATGGCACGTTTAGCACTAGACCACGTCTAGTTTTGGAAAATCCCGGTAACGGTCGTCAAATTCAAAACAGAACATGACGCAGCAAAAGGTTCGCCCCTCGTATACGATCCGAGTATATACTTGATGGACACAATCGTCGTTGTATTTCAAGTTTTCTAAAGTAAAGCAATGAATATTAACTTTCAACTCATTTTTCAACTCATTTTTCAAGGGCAATTAGCAGTTAATAAAACCTATATCATACTCAGAAATACTCGGGCGCTATCCGATTGTCGACGAAATCAATTCGGCAAACTTCGGACGTTTTCGGAAAAAGGAGGAATTCCTTCCATTTTAGTCACCATTACTGGACCAAGCCCAGTCTAAAGTGGCTTTCTTGGCTGTTGGTAGCTTTCCAGCACTTAACTGGCGCATCACTCATCACTCAAATTCTGATGGGAGGCAGGCTGGCTCTAAACAACAGACGCATATACATTGGGGATAGCCTGAGTGCTTATCAAGAACATATATTTATGGTCATCAACTGATTAAATAGCCATTATCTTAGTAGGGGGCTCATGAATACGAACCCGGGATTCACGGGTTCGAGAAAGCCACATTAGACTGGGCTTGGTCCAGTAATGCATTGCGTACTTTCTCTGTAATACAATGTATTACTGACGGCTACCTATTACTTCAGATTCATCAGAAAAAGTCAGAATCTTTTGGTCTGGGAACCAGACTAGCCAGTGCTAATTAAGCATAGAGTTATATTATAAAAACTAGAGCGCGCATTCACTATACCGCACGCACAATGCAGACGTGCCACCCTAGCTGTAGACCTCGCCGCCAGTTTGTAAGTGGGCAAAAAATACTCGGATGTGCACACTTCAGGATTGACTGCAATGCGTATCTTGTTGTTTTACTGTTGGTACCGGTTCAACTTATAAATCCCCCGACGATGCCTTGTTTTACCGTGCTGTTTTGCCTAACGTTATGTGTTGTGCGCATGTGCTTTGCCCACATGTCCATGCCAGTACGGGGTCACGTGATGAGTGCGCTCTCTATTTAAAAAAAAAAATATAATTCTATGTAATTAAGCCATTGTACAACCTCGTCCCCAGTGCTTACTTTATTTCCAACATCGTTTCCAAATAGTACACCCTGGATAGGAAACTTTCTTCCTATGTGCTGCCTCGATACCGCAATTGGCTAGAACTGGATTTATATGGTGTACTTGGTGTTGTTATTCATAACGTGCAGTACGTGTTTTCGCGATCATTCGCCCATGTCTTCTCGAAAATATTAATTTTCTTTCCAATTTGTTCATACTAATGTCGCGAGGTAGCAACCCCAACGATAATACGGGTGGTCAGGTTCACCCTCATGAAGATAGAGTAAGGTGGAAAACAAGCAGAATCGAACTGGGACACTCAGGCAGTTGTTATGTTGATTCACTTGATCAAGTTTTAATTAAACTCACTTTCTCCAACTGTACAAAATAATCCAAATGAAGATCCAAATAAGAAATAGGGAAAGACCCAAATGAATCCCTTGAATGAAGAAGACGACCAAGAAGAAGACCCCCCCCCCCCAAAAAAGGACCCCTGATATAAAACAGAGAAGGCCTGTAACTACAACGTTGCACTTGAGATGTCGAACTCAGTTCAAGGCTTGTGACTCAATAGTCTCAGCCCAAAAATGAGAGAAAAGTGGGCGACTTTTAGCCAAGAGTTGGCTCGGACTGAGCTTCTTTCACGGCCCGCTCGCAAGAGAACAAACCATGTGAGCGCTAGCGCTCTTACCGTAATGCGATATGACTACAACCCCTCGTCGCGCATGAAAATGGCTCAGGAGGAGTATTGACTTTGATTACTAACAATGATAATGACATACTGTTACCAAATAATCATTCTCAAGACAGAATTATCAAATGACATAAATGTCGACGAACATAGTCCAAACTTGTTAATTAGGGCTATTACACTGGCGGGTAAGTACACTAAAAGGAACAGCCAGAAAATAACATTTCATGAATTATTCATTATTTTGAACCCAAAACCCATATCGTTACATTAATATGAAAAATATGAAAGGTGATACTGCATATTGTCTTGATAAGATCGTAACAGTTTAACTAAGATAAAATCGTGTTTTCGTAACTCACGGCATGCTCGGGCTGCGATGAATTGATTCTGTTCTTACCCCAGACACTGCACACAAAAACAAACGCAAATGTAACACACAGGCAGGCACCAGACTATTCCTCATTCGCATACGTGTTCAAAAATCTTGCACATGCAAATGGTCCAATACCAGGGTGAGAAAGCAGCTAGTGGTGGGCGCGTACTGCTCGACACCCTGGGGACGAGGTTGGCCATCGTAGGCCACTGGGAACCTTTTCGTTAAGTTCAATCTGCTAATTTTAAATTCAATTAAACTTGACCATTTTTCTATTTAGACTATTAACAACATGTACCTGTAGTTGCATATACAAGTGTAGGGAGACCAAGTGCGCCCTCAGTTGTTGTACATTCAAAAGTTTTGCAAGTGATTTGCATATTTTCATGAAACACTTTGATTTGCATAGTGTGACATTTGCGCTTCCCGCACAAAACCAACCTGTAACAAATTTTCTCAGTGGGCTTCGAGCAGAGAAGACCGATCGTTGTCTCTGAAAATTCTCTCGTTTTGCTCCTGAGCTATATCACTGCGGGTGGGTAATTTCTTAGAAAGTTCCCAGTGAGTATTGCTGAGTTATATAATCGTTTTGTGAGAGAATTGTGGTATTCTCGTGACCATTAGTCATACGATTCGTTGCATGGTTCTATAGTCTGTAGCGTATCCAGCATCAAGTTGAACATTGTATGTATTGTGACATTCTACTGTGCATACAGGCTTGGATGCTTGAAGTCTTGTAAGAATAAATTTAATTAAGTTCAGGAGATCACAGTCGTCATATCATAGGGATTGTATATTTTGTTTGAACACTCGTCTGTTTTAATTAGAGGACCGTTCCTCTTTCCTTCCCCCTTAATTGACGTTGGTACTGGTTCACTTAACTAATTTACATTTTAACACAAAAACAGTTTCGACATTAAACCTATAACCCATCATATATTCATCAGTAAAAGTATATTACTTAATACGATGTAATTTTAACAGTTGTATATAGTTCCAAAGTTTAAAGGTAAACACTGAAGATACTAGGTAATTGTCGTTTGACACGGCACGGTCAAAATTCAGGTTACGTCTCGATGAGTCCGAAGTACCATTGGTCCGACGTCCCATTGGTCCGAAGTCCCATTGGTCCGACGGCCCATTGCTCTATATGTTTCATTGGTATAAACGTCCCATTGGTCCGACGTACAATTGGTCTGACGTCACATTGGTCCGACGTCCCATTGCATTAGCATCATCATTAACCTAATTCGATCCAATGCTGTATGAAGGCCTCCCCACCAACTTTCCATGCTTTTCTGTCCCTTGCCAGTTGTTTCCATTTCTTCTCTATGAAATCAGAGATTTCATCTCGCCATCTCTTAGGCTGTCTTCCTCTTCGCCTCTTCAACGATAATCACGTCCAATTTGTTACTTTCAGGGTCCATCTTTGCT